CGAGACAGACCATCAGGGAAACATACGCCGTCCATCGCCAGGACTTGCTTGGGAAGATGCTCCCGAGAATGATGGGACCTGTGACAAAGACATCAGTATCTGTCCAAATAAAAGGGGACACGGGATTCCAATACCGAAAGCTGCCCCGAGGTATGAAGCTAGCGTCAATCCGGAGTAGTATGTAACAGTAGTCCTCGCGGGCCAGACATCTGCGAATGTGCCTTCGATGAGCACGAGACATGGGCCCCCTCCAAGTCCAGCGAAGAATCGCAGGACGGCCAGGGCTCCAATACTCTGAGCTCGACTAGAGCCAAGGATAAACAAGGCGCAGATTGGCAGACTGACAAAGTAGATCGGGGCACGGCCAAATCTTTCTGTCACATGAGGGGTGTAGACCGGGGCAAAAGCAATGCCGACAAGGTAAAGGGAGAATGGAGCAATGGCGAGAGTCATTGAGATGTTGAACTCTGCGACCACATCGCCAATGCCAATTGTGTACGACGTGAGACCAAATGCGCTGTCAATGTGTCAGCTTAAGCATACTGAGAGTAAGGGGAGTGGTGTACATACACTGCAAAAGCGAACGAGAAGGCGACGAGGGAGACATAGACCTTTCGGTGTAGAGGCCAGTTCTGGGGGTTATCAGGATCTGAGGTCGGCATGGGGTTGCTGATTCCTCCCATTGCCTCCTCCATGGGGCCAGCATGATCCATTGAAGCCCTATCAGTCTGATCTGCCGACTCCTCTGTCTGGAGTCCCATATACTCCGTTGTCTGCATATGGAGCGGTGTCTGGTCCTCCATTGGAGCAATAATTGTTCGGTATGATTGGAGGTCTCGAAGATGTGATTGAAACGTGCTTGAATGGTGAGGATATGTAGGTTTGTGTCCCAGCTGCTTCTGTATGAATGACAAGAGACAAATCCCTCGATGAAAGAAACAGCCTGAACTTATATCTGCTGGAGGAAAGTGAATGAATGTACCCCCTCAACCCAAAAGGCAGATCGGACATTAGTTGGCAGCATGATGTCTAAACAATTTCTTGGCCTACAGCAGCCTCTTGGAGCTTGAGTAGGCGGGTCGAGTTTCATGTAGAGAGTTCTCACCAGCCGGTACCGAAGCGACGCTCGCATCCAGCCAGCCGATGGAGCGGATCGACGCATTGCGGACCGCTGGCGCAGCTCTAAACGGGGAACTTCATGTGCAATGGGCCGGGACATCGTGACGAAACCACATAACGGCTCGTTGTCAGGCCCATTTCAGATCGTCCTCAAGGAAAATATTATCGGGTTGTCCAATCCAAAGCGAGCTCGGCGACGGGGAATGACAAATGTGCTACAGCAACGTGCTATCAATGGCTATGCTTGCAGGTAGTCAGGCAAATTCAATGGCAGCTATACCCTGTATGCGGATGCGATCTGGCTGTAGACTCCAGAGGCTGTCCCGGGGCAGATCCAAAGGGGCGGAGAGTGATGAAGGCAACTGTTTGAGAAACGGAGATGGCAGTGGATGGAAGCTGCGCCCAGAAGATCAGTCAGCACTTATGTAACTACCTCTAGACTAGTCTATATCAGGAAAGACTGGCGTCCTTGGCACGAGTTTATCTTCAGGCCGCCCCGAAGCCCCAATTTCCTCGATTGCATTGATTCCATCATCAGGAATCCACGAATACAACCGACCACGACTCTGCTCACTCCGCACCGGCCATGCTCCACGCCGCGGTCCTAACCTGCACAAATGAGTATCAGCCTCATTGATCTGAAGCTTCAGTGGGATAAGCTGTCCAAGACTCTGAACCTCTTGGCTTCACGGATTTCCTTGGCTGCTCGAAGTACCTTCCAGCTCCGCCTCAGTGGGATCGGCTTATCCCCGAAAAGCTCATACGGAGACTCGGAGATTCCAAATGGCAACAGCTACAAGGTACAGGTGAAACAGGCTATACAGGAGCACAGGTCATTAAGAGCAGCATTGATCGAAAGGGCACTCGATCGTGACAAAAGCTCGGGCGTGCTCCGGTTTCTTGGAACGTTGATCTGCCCCCTTTACCGTAAACCAGCTGCAGAAGGAATCCTGCGGTCCACGAGCTTATGATATCAACGGAGAAAGGGGCCGCTCTTCACATGAACTCCTAAATTTGTGCTGCTACAGCCACTCGATGCATGTGCTTCGACTCCGGACACATATCTGTGGAAACCCAAATCCTGGTCGCATGCGCCAATCCACAACCCGGGCCGACTTCAGCACGGCTGATACAGATGTCCATATTCGTCTAGGGACTTGAGGACAGTACAGATAAAAGCCGGCATACTTCTACGGATTTCAGAAACAGCAACTACCGAGTATTGAAGGCAGGCCACGCACGCACACTTCCACACATGCCTCGAGAGAAGTTCCGAAGCTCGTCCCTTATGTGGAAGATGAGCCGCAAACTGTGGGTTTCTCTGATCTTGTGTTTTATCTTGTCGCGCATGTGTCATTTTTCGCCTCGTTCCCACCGGCCACTTTATCTCGGAACCTCGCAGCCTCCAGCTGTGCAACCGATGGCGGCACTAACATGAGCTGTTTGCCACAACCTTCAAGATACCGCTTCCTGTGTAGTGGCAGACTGTACACATTGTGATATCAAGGCGAATATCACGCACATCCTTCTTGCTGAAGCAAATGCAATTTCAGCAAATATAAAGGTATGGGGGTCACATGTGCTCCTCTTCATTGGGTGCTTGACAATGGGCCACTTTCATGATGCCGCCGAATAGTCGCTCAAAGTGCCCTGATGGTCTCGGATCAACCCCTTGTGGGGAGACGTCTACTGAACCCATCCTAGCATTCAGCCTGAGATGTCTTTAAGTGAGACCTAACTTGTCGATCTTTCTTAGAAGATATGACTTCGTATCGCACTCGAGTCTAGATTTTCGGCACCAGACATATACTTCACAGGCATCGAGTACATTGGTTGTCTGCCGAGATCTCCTCACATGGCAAGCCACCTTGGGACGACCGAAGTCATTGCCTCCTTATCCAATGCCCGCGGAATGCCCAGATCCCCGCTGTGTGGAAGGTGCTGGACCCGTCCCACAGAATGGCCACATCCACAGATGTGAAAGGGGAATCTCTAATGGCTGACCAGAATCGGCAAGCAGCCAGCACTTCAGATCAGATGGCGCCGCATTCGTGAGGTGTGCCCAATATACCTACGCGAGCACCAGGAAGGACATGGAGGGACTGTTGGCGAAGTTTAGCCACGAACTCAAGAACAAGTGCCAATCTGCGTTCGGACATACATGGTTCACGGAAGCGATGCCTCGAGACATGATGGAGAATGTAATCGGACACCACAGTAACGAAGCTCTTTCACTGCGGTATCACGTGTTTACCATGATCAAGCATTCCCCGGTCCGAAGTATGTGGGAGCCCTAGATTGACCCGAGCGGCATCATGATTGTGTCTACAACAGCCGGTCCGGTGTCAACTACTCATGGAAGTCCCCCTCTGTTGACGTGAGGAATCTCACAGGGCGCAACCCAACATACATCGCGTATCGAGAGGCCTGGAAGGTGGCTGGTAGATTCGTGACTCTCAACTACCTCCTGCAAACGTCAGCCATGCGACGACTGAGATACTGTACTTGGTAACCCCAATACACGCCCTACCGTCCACCTCTTTACTCCGGAAAATGCTTGCTGAGACTATTTCGACCCAGAGCGTATGCGGGTATCTAGTTTGTCCCTCTCTTTCTACAGTCCCAAAACTGGTTATAGGCTGGGGCTGGAGTATTCGTTTTGTGGGTTTGCCTCACGTCTTACACCTTACAAGTATAGCATGCCGATACTCCAGCCCTTGAAGAGGTCCAGAGCTGGAAACAACGACTTGTTGGGTTGCCTTTTTTGGCAAATGAATTGCGCAAATACCCTGTCTTAAGCCAACAGAAAGGTAGCATCCATGACCTGGTGACTTTGTTTGACTGGGTGACACACGTCCCAATATGATTCGGTTAAGGGCGAAGCAGCTTCATCCACAACGGACTAAACCCACACACCGGCTTCAAACAAATTGCCGAAGCTCCAACCATCGAGAGTCTCCCTCCTCCTTGCGGAGAATTCGATCACTGCCGACGAGGACGCTCAAAAGAGACCAGTGTCCAGATCTGTGCAGATCAGAGTTGAAAATCTCCACGATTGAATGTTTGCAACAGCACAGGACCCTCCGCCCATGGGCAGCATTTTCCCATGAGAGACCTTCGGAAGCGCGTTCCTGGCCGCACTTCCGGCCCCCCTGGCGTTCTGGGCACGAACTTGCGACGCGCCTCCCTCTCGCCACAAGAGATAGCAAGCTGCCCTCAGTTTCTTGTGAGCGCTCCAATTGCCAGCATCGCAATCCATTCTATAGACTATCCAGGTTATGTGTTGACGATGAGGGAACAGGAGACGACACTACTTCCAACAGTTTTTTGTTGAAGGACAAGTCTTGCCATGGGAAATGTGATGATTCAAAAAGTGGCTGTCTGTGATGAGGCAATGAATTGGCACTGGATCGACAGCTGCATCAACTCACGACTGGACGAGGCTGGGCTTTTGGGAGCTCTCACCGACTTGAATGACCGCCAAAGCCAGGGTCTGTCTAGGCATCACATTCATTATCCAACTTGCCAGTGGGTCATTGCCGGCTTTCAGTTTAGTCTACTCCAGCATTTCCCCGGACACCCGCCCAGAACGCCTAGGAGCTGGGAAGACTGGGCAGACTTGTTGCCTATCACAAGCTAGCATGAGACCATTGTTCGCCTCTACGTGGGGCTTGTCCCCTCATTATCGACTACAGTGATCTATCCCAGAATCGTCAAGGTGCCCCGGACCTTTCGATCCCAACTGCCTTAAAACGGATGTTGAGCTTTTGCTGGGGTTTTCAGATATATCAACCGACTCTCTGGAGGAGTGCGACATCCCAGCCAACTCACCTGATCTTTTCCCTTGGATCCTAGTTGGCAATCCGAGACTCACCACCGCAATGGCGACCGCAAGGCCTGATACCCTTAAAGCGCATTGGAAGTGCATCGCAGCATGTACCTTGGTTAGCATGTGTCCGTTCCAATATGGAGTGGATTTTGGTATTATTGGTGGTCTACAGGCGATGCCTGGCTTTTTGGATGTATGCTCGTCGAGGATGATATGTGTCTTACGAACGTCGGCTCTAATAACGCTGAACAGGTCTTTGGAGAAGAGGATCCAAACTCGCCTATCGGGTACAACATTTCCCACACACGCCAGCAGCTGATCTCATCCCTTATGATCCTAGGCGCCTTCATCAGCTCTTCCTTTGCCGGCCCCGTTGCGAGGTTCTGCGGCCGAAAGATGTCCATCTGGATTGCGGCTCTGCTGTGCGTCGTGGCGAATGTCATCATGATGGCTACGACGAGCATCGGAGCTCTATATTTCGCGCGTTTCTTGATCGGCATCGCCAACGGCATGCTCATGACCTTTTCACAGCTATATCTCCAGGAGTGTTCCCCTGCGAAATTTCGAGGGCTCGTCATTGCCCTTTTCCAGTCCTGGACGTCGATCGGGACCTTGGTTGGTACCATCATCGACAACTTCACCGTCAAGCTGGATGGCAAACAGCAATACATTGTCCCCCTGGGGATTATCTACATTGTACCGGGGTTTTTGTCAGTCGGCATGCTCTTTATCCCCGAAAGCCCCCGATGGTTCCTCCTCCAAGACAAGGCCGAGAAAGCCCGCAAGGCTCTCAAATGGCTCCGACCCTATCCCGAGACGGTCGACGACGAGATCAAGGAGATCCAAGATGCCATTGCGGCCGAGCGAGCCTTGGCCAAGAGCGCCGACATCCTGGACATGTTCCGCAACCCTGTCGACCGCAGACGCACCCTTCTATCTGTGGGAGCTGTCTCCCTCCAGGCGGCTTCTGGTGCCATGTATATGATCTGTGAGTTGGGCAGCAGGTCTTCTCTGACATAAGGATGGCTAACCAAGATTCTCCAGCGTACGGCACATATTTCTTTGAGATGGCTCATGTCGGCTCCGCCTTCGAAAACTCGTGCATCCTGGTCGCGGTGGGCGTCGCTGCCATCTTGATCAACAGCGCCGTCATCACGAAATGGGGCCGGAGGCGAGTTTTCTTGACCATCGGCATGATCCTTTGCGGCCTCACGCAGCTCATTGTCGCCGTTGTGTACGACAAAAAGGGTCCAAGCACCTCGACTGGACGAGTGAGTTTTCTCCTGGACCCATCCTGACCATGATAGCTACGATGGCCTTTTCTAACGCACTCGGTGTAGGTCATTGTCGGCGTCTCCGTCGTCTACATTGTCGGCTACAACGGCATGGTGGCAACCTACGCGTGGCTTTGTGGCGGCGAGTTTCCATCGCAGCGTCTCCGAAGCTACACGTTTGGTCTGGCGGCGTCGATCGGCTTTCTGGGAGCCTGGCTCGCCACCTTTACCGCTCCATATTTCATCAACCCGGATTCGTTGAACTGGGGACCCAAGTATGGCTACATCTGGACCCCGTCGTGTTGGATCGGGGCGTTGTGGACCTTCTTCTACCTCCCCGAGGTGCAGAATCGGACTTTTGAGGAAATCGACGAAATGGTGAGTCTAGACAAGAATCCACCGGAATATGAGTACATTGCTAACCCGGGGTTGTTGTGTAGTTCGAAGCACGTCTGCCCGCTCGCAAGTTCCGCACGTACAAGTGTGTGGGATCAGTCGCCGCCGTAGCCATGGCTGCAAAGGAGGACGGAAGCAGTGCTAGCGAAAAGGATCACGGTGAAGTCAGGCACGAAGAGGTCATTTTCAGCAACGAGAAGGTTGCGACTGAGACTGCGGTTGCCATCGGTTGAAGGTGTTCAAGTGGTTTTATAGCAGTATCCCACGACATCAACATTCCCAAGGGGAACTGTCAGGGTTCAAGGGGCACTCGAGCTGGTCGCGATGAGTGTGGGCGTGATTATCTTGTAACCAGCACAGCAGATATGATGTTTCTTGTGAAGATCGTTGCAATCGACCACCAGACAAGGAATGTACACATTTTGTCCCAGATTGAACCGAATCAAGACTGTCGTCCATAGTGAGTGACAAACCACGATGATTACAAGTAAGCGCGTGGTAGGAAGGGGTTTATTCCGGAACAAGCCTATCCACAATAATAATGGCCTCTTTTCTCCTACTTTACAGCCGTCCTCGTCATCCTCTTCCGGACTGGACTTGACAGTATTACCTCGCTTGTGCACGCCACATGCTGGATAAAGCCCCCCGGTATGTGTCCCAATCTGACTGGGTTTGCTCGATGGGATCTCCAGGGATTTTGCAAATCGTCGGACCTTACACCAGGATCGTTGGTGTCGTTGGCATGCAGCTTGTCTCTCGTAGTGTACTTTGTACGTAGGGAGGTGTGTATGTATGTAAGCCGGCCCGTGACGACAACTTCAGGCGATCAAGGCAAATGCGAGGGGGGTGGGAGTGGTGGCCTCGTACCGAGTTTATGCGGCTGAAGCGGTTCGGGTGCCTGCGCCCTAGAAAGAGAGAGCCTGAGAAGAAGAGAAGAAGGAGGACTTTGTGAGGCCCCCACGAAAAACCCCCACCTGCGCATGGATGACTGGGCCTTGGTGAGGTGAGCCACTCACTGCTAGCCGCCTGCGCTCCAGCCCGAACTTTGGAAGATCTCAGCCGACCAGTCTATTCCACCCTCACAGTTTTGACAGGTCCCTATCGCTTCGCCCAAAGGTTGTCGGTAACCGAAAAAGTGGCCCTGTCATTATTGTCAGGCCCAACCACATGGTGCGAGAGGCGAGAGTCGAGAGAGCCACGCCTTCATCGTCAATTGGTTGGATTCCAAAAACGCAGTCGGGCTGCCACCCATGATGAGACCACCACCACCACCACCACTACCACCAAACACCATTGCCTCGATCACTGCCATCAGCTTACGGATCGGGATGACTCTGGGCACTTCCTAGGTGGCATTTAGGCTGTGGATTTTCTTGACTCTCCTAAACATCATGGCCAAAGTGAAGTGAAAAGTCGATTCTGGGAAGCAGGTTGGTGCCGAATCCGTCACCATCTTCTCTCTCTTTCTTTCACTTTTCAGACCCCCGCGAGTTTTGTCGTGAAGGCAGCCACTCCATCTCTCCTTATCTCTCTTACTTCTCTAGAAAAATGGCTCTCACATCCCTTGTTGTGATTATTCCGCCTTTGCTCTCCCGGCTGATCTCTGCAACGTGCTGAGCGACGCGACACCTGATACCCCGGACTTTGACATGTCAACCGATGCCATGTACGACTATCTGATTGTTGGAGCTGGCAAGTCGATCCCTTTCACCCCTCCCAGGCAGGCGCCGCCGATTCGCTAACAGGTCTTTCAGGCCCCTCAGGGCTGTGCGCCGCAAAGACGATACGCGAATGTGAGCCTGAGGCCAGGGTGAAAATTCTGGACTCTGTAAGTTGTCACGGGTGCTGGATGGTGGGTGTGATTCACGTACTGATTCACTCGCGTGTCAGAACAAAACGGTTGGTGGTGTCTGGTCCAAAGAGAATCTCTATCCTGGCCTGAAGACGAACAATGTCCGCGGTGGTATCGACTTTTCGGATTTTCCCATGCACGATGGCTTTGGCGTGCCTGAGGGTCAGCATGTCTCCGGCGAAGCGATGCACGAGTATATCAAAGCGTATGCCGAAGCTTTCGACCTCTTGCGTTTAATCGACTTCAACTCGACCGTCGCCGAAATTTCCAAGCTCAAGGACGTCCAAGGCTGGAATGTCAAACTTGACTCAGAGGCCGATCTGCCGACGCACAAGTTGGTCGTTGCGACAGGTGTCACAAATGTGCCACACAGACCAGAATTGAGCGGGTCGGAGGATTTCGGCGGTCCAATCATGCATTCGGCAGAACTGGGAATGAAGGGCAGCGTTCTCACTAATGACCCTAGTATCGAGACGATTGCGGTGCTGGGAGGAGGCAAGTCTGCCTACGATGCCGTCCATCTCGCTGGTAAGGCTGGTAAGAAGGTGGAATGGATCATCAGAAAGTCGGGCAAGGGTCCTGAATGGATCTTCCCCGCCCGTACCATGGGACCACTACAAGCAGTGCGAGAAAAGCTCCCGGCCAGGAGATTCGTATCCTTCTTCAGTCCGTGCTTGTGGAATGATGGGTTCGGCTGGATCAGAAATTTTCTCCATTTCACCAAGCTCGGCAAGATTATCTCACAAGGCTTCTGGGCCAATCTCCACAAGGCGACTCTGGACGATTGCGGCATGTTGAAAGATGAGAGAACCAAGGTCTTGGAGCCGGAACAGAGGTATGCTTCCCCTGTGAATCAATAGCTCGTCTAACATCCCATGTATAGCCCTTTCTGGTACGGCACCGCGTCTGGAATTTACAGTTACGAGAAGGACATCTACGAGATGATCAAGACTGGTGAGGTACGAGTCCACCGTGAAGACATCCTCCGCCTGTCCAAAGGTGCCATCAACTTTGCCAGTGGCTCCAACATCCAAGCCGACGCTCTAGTTACCGCGACAGGCTTCTCGGCAAATTCCACTATCAAGTTCGTCCCAGACACCATACATGCCGACCTCGGTATTCCGTCCACCAGCTACAGCCAGGAGCAGTATAATTTCTGGCAGGACCTGAACGACAAGGCCAACACGATTATCGGCTCCAAATTCCCGCGCCTACTTGCTGGGCCGTTCAAATCACCCACGTCGACCGTCATCCAACCTTTTAACCCCGGCGTGGATCGCGAGGTCAACTACACGCCCTTCCGACTCTACCGCGCCATCGCACCGCCCGGGCCAACTCGGGACGGTGACAACTCGCTCGCGTTCATCAGCATGTTCTCCAACCTGGCCAACACACCGCGGTGCGAGCTACAATGTCTCTGGGCGTACGCGTACCTCAACCACAAGCTCGACATCGACCCGACCATGGTATTCGACGAGGCAGCCTTGATGTCACAGTACGCCAAACACCGTGCGCCCTATGGCCACGGCCGATTCTTCCCGGACCTGGTGTTCGACCAAGTGCCGTATCTGGATTTACTCCTGCAGGACCTCAACCTGAAGTACTGGCGGAAAGGGAATTTCTTTGCCGAGTTGTTCAGCCCCTACATGGCTAAGGACTACAGGGGGGTAGTGCAGGAATGGCTCCGGAAGGATTCGGCGTCGAAAAGGGGGGGATCTAAGCCGAAAGTCGAGGGGGTCGGTGATCGCGAAAGAGAGCCGCTTCTAGGTGGTAAGGCGGCTTGAGGAGGGCAAACTTGTTCACCGCGGCGGCACTTCGCCCTTGTTACATTCAAAGGAGTATTTGGGCGACTGACCAGATAGATGAGGAACAAATCCACGGACATGACTTTTTTTGCCTCACTCTCCGAGATTCTGCACAGCACGACCACTGCCGGGTATCCTATCTCTGCTCTCACGCTTCTCAAGACCACTGGATAAATGGATGCATGGACGGATATGTTTTGACCAACAAGGCGTCCTGCATTGGAGTTGAAGCTTTCCGGGGTTTCTTCTTGATTTGTTCCCGGGGACATCCACGACTGCTAGGTCTCCAAAGGTAGAGGTAGACTTGTGTGTCCCATGTCCTCTCATTCATTCGTTGTGGATCGGCCAGTCGCACTCACTCGACGCTCAACACTCAACAGAGGGATGGAGGGATAGAGCACGAGCAGATTATGCAGTTGAGGGGGAAAAGAGAAGAAAGAGAACGAGCCACCACCAACCAGTCCATTGTATTTTTTTTTTTTCACTTTTCACTTGTTACGTGTTACGTGTTACATGTTACGCGTTACGTGTCATGAGGGAATGGCGGAAGAGAGGAATAGAATAGATTGAGAATGGTGCGATGATCCATCCATTCTTCCTGGATATCCATCCAGGATATCCAGCTCTTTCGCAACATGGCCTGGTCAGCCGCATGGTTGCGATTCCTTGCACGTAGTCGTGATGAACCTTCCACCGAATGATCTCCCCCGGTCATGGATGATGGATGGTGGATGATGGATGACTGATGACTGATGAATGGGCACTGCGAACACAATTCCAATTCCTATTCCAATTTTCAATGACCATGATCTTGTGTTTTTGACGGTTCCGGGTTCCTTGTCCCCGGTTCCTTGTACGTTGTACCTTGTCTTCTATACTATGTACCTGATATATCTGCAGTTCGACACGAAAATAGGATGTGGATAGATATTAGTGACAGATTGATAGGAAGGTGGATAGAAGACAAGGCAGATCGGTGGATCAGTAGATAGGTGGGTCGCCCCGCGTGAACGCGTGCTGACACGTGACTGCTTTATGCGCCTACATCGTTAATGCGTGGCCAACTGCGCCCATCATTTATTGTTTCACCCCACCGCACCTCTTGAAAGAGCCACCACACTCGGTTTTTTTCATGGCGACACACTCCATCCTCCGGACTTTGATGGTCGACGCTCCATGGTGCACCTAAAGGGAGGGGAAAGACGCCCTCTCAATGTGCGCTCTGTGAATATCGACGCGTTCAGGTCCGAGCTGCTGTCAAAGTTCCCTTTTCTATCCGAAGAGGAGAAGGAGAATCCTCCCGTGCCTCAGACGTGGGAGAAGCTTCGCGCTCAGAAGCTCAGACGCTATCCATCAACATGTCAAACTGTGCACGGCGAGGAACTTCTCGATGATCATGGGATGGAAGGCTACGTTTTCAAAGTAACGGCAGACGGACGTGGGCCGTTTGTCTTGAAAGTGGTGTGCTTCTTCTCTCCTTGGATGTTTTTGGTTGAACAAAGCTGACGTGGTTGAGCTTATCAGTTTAAACAAGTTTACCGACCCGCTGAGCCTTATATCTGGCCTTTTCTCGGAGAATGCCTTTACTACTCAAGGGCGGAAGCTGTGAATGCAGGTGTTCTGGCTGGTAAACCGGTGCCGCGAGGGCCGCCCCCCGAATCCTACACCGAACGGGACATGATTCAATTCCTACGATCATTTTCTTCCGACCACGACGCTTGGACGCTGGAAAATGAGGACCAGAACAACATTCAAGTCCGTCAGATCCTATCAGAGATGGATGGTAGTCTAGGTTGGATCAGGCTGGATCGTAGAGACATGAACAAGATTATCCATACATGGGGACTGGACGTCGGTTACACGATGAACGGCATGGGGTTCCAGGACAACCCCTTCGGGATCATGAAGAAATTGGTCGCACCGGACACGCCGTTGGACAATGGCAAAATGCGGCAGTGGATGCACCTGGCCCATTATATGGGATATAGCCTTCGTGTCTTTGAGCGGCGAAATTGGATCGGCTCAGGGATTCTTGTGGATGGTGGCGATGTACTAACGTTACCGTTCCAAGGCACGTGGCAGACGGCCACTCAGGCCTACAAAGCCTTCCTTTTAGAACAAGATTGTGAGACTGATGGCGACTGAACATCCAGACCCGTGAGCGCATCACCTCAATGCCTTCGACTTTATTGAGGTTCAAGTTTCCTCCGCTTACCACGCGTATCATCTTTTCCCAACCCCGCGACGGGTTCACCTTCGCGCGCAGAGTGTCTTCCAGTCTCTTCGACCAACGCAGGCGGATCGGCAATCTGCCCTGAGATATCGTACAAGAGACTATTCGGTTGAAGACGCTCGCATACTCGGCCAGTCGAGTTGTGACGAAAGACCTTCCCTTCCAAAGACCAGGAATCGAGTGGAGGATAACTGGTCTGAACGAATTTTGGGCCCCCAGGTGCGCCGGCGAGCATGAAGAGCATAAAGAGGGCTTTCTTGACATTCAGGCCCTCACTACCTTCCTGCCACGAGACGAACTTGGCCTTGATCGGCTGATATTCGACATTTGGGGGTTCATCTCGATAGCTCTGGGTGGTAATCGATAATGGAGCTATCATAGAGCTGAGATCGGTGTCGTCGGACGCGACACGTGCATGGCCCGGAGTTGCAGCAGAGGTTCGTGGGTTTCTTGATGCCGAAAGGCCGGGCCCAACAGAATCTCTGGTAGTCAAAAAGACGGTCAGTCCATCCTCGGTGATGATCCAACCATAGCGAACATTCCAATGATCTCCCGAACAGGTCTGGATTTGTTCGGGTGGAATTCTCCAAGATTTGAAGTCTGTTCGGTGCCACTTGTGTTTCCACTTGATCGCCAGCTTCGTGTCACCGGGACAGAAGTTGATATAAGACTGGGGCGTGGTAGAAGTCACAAAGCTTTCTCTCACGCAGGACCAGTCCGATCGAAAGCGCTATCCCTCGGGCGTTTAGCTCTACCGCCGGCCCCTGGGTCAATCGGCACCAGGAATTCGCCCTGAGGATTGTGCTCCCAAGACTTTTCGCAGCACTCGTAAGCCTGTCGAAGGGCGTACCGAATCGGACTCAACATGTACTGTGAGAACAGCAAGCTAAACTGGTTCTCATCCCAAATCTCAGCCTCCAACTTTGTTGGGTTCTGTTGGTCAGGCGGGCTTTGGAGGGTGTAGTCCAGAACATCGCCATAAAGGTTCCGCAGCGTCTGGTAATTGAATTCTTCCCAATCTTCAACTGCGCTGATGATGGAGTAGTTTATACTGACCGTATTCGGCCCTGGCAAAGTATTACTGCTATCAAGACTTGGATTCTTTCGGTCGAGAAACTCTTCGATCGTGACCATGGCTGGTTCAAGAATGGTTTTCCACATGCGTTAGCACCGTAGGAGACTATTATCAAGCGAATCTAGGCTGAGAGAAGTAGTTTATTGATATTTGGAAAGAACTGCCAATCTGTTCGAGGGGTGGAAAGCTGTCAGCCCGTAGGGTAATTTTCGCTGGCCAAACAGGGGCAACCGTTTCGCAGACTGGCTGGAGGGGAATATGTTGATATGATTGTTTGCAGGTTGTGTGGAATCAGCAGTGCGTCAACTGAGCCTCTGCCATCCTTCAGGAGGGTTGCTATACCCAGCCCTGTAGAAGTAGTGTTGGGCAGCCCGTAGCTTTACAGCCTGCGCCTGTGGACGAATCAAGAACGCAGAATCTTTCGACACATTCAGCGCTCGTGATGATGACGGTAACCGTTCTCGGTTGCTTGGAGTTGATGGCGGGGTTGAACCCAGCTGGCACCTTCGCGTGCGCTTGAACGGGGAAAGTGATCGACAGCGGCACATTGTAGACAACAAAGACACTTTCCAAATGACAAAAGACCGGGCAGCGAGTATTTCCTTCTCGACGACGATTCGGCCCCTCCACTGACCGTAACTCAGGTATAATGATCAATATCGAGTCGCTTGCTTGAAAATAGGCACTGTCGTAAAATCATCCTGGTTCCACAAGATCTCATTCGACGGGCCGAGTTCAGCACCTTCATCCGTGCTAGGCAATCCAGCCTTCTCATTCTCATCCACTTCGCGTTTTGACATCCCCTTCCTGTCTTTCGGTAGCCAGATCTTGGGAGTTTTCGATGTCAGCGCTGGAGGTAGATATGCATTCTTGACTTGTTCCTCGCCATAGGAATTCACTTCTTCTGATTCACCCTCGGGGTCCTGAAGCCATGGTCGAAGGGAGTCTTGTGAAGCGAAAATCCGAGGCTCGAGCAGACTAGCCAAAGGATCGAGCAAGACCGCCGGAACCTTTCTCGAACCAACCTTGTAGCCCGATGATTGATCGGCCCGAGCGGTGTGATTGCGCTCAGCGCTGAGTCCGAGAAGAGGCCGCTCCTCATCCTCTTCCGATAACACATCTACCGGCATGTACTTTTCCAACGGTGCAAGGTATTGGTTGACCGTCAGGTGATACAGCGCGGTGACGACGAGCAATACCGTCATAAGAGTCGACGGGCCAGCCACCTTCTTGATGCCAAACAAACCAATCAAGCACAATTCCGCCAGGTAGACACCTGTCATGAGGTGCTGAAGGCTCCTCGTATAGCTCTCTCCCCGCGTCTCCGTTTTGACCTGAATCACGTAAAGGAGGTTGTAGCGATAGCTCAAATAGAAGAGGAACAAGCCAATTGCCGCAAATCCCAAGACGAGCGGTGCAATGCACGAATAAGCGATGGCAATGACCGCTAAATTCGTGAACTTTGGATAGGCATTGAACCAGCTGATTCCCTTCATCTGCGCATAAGTGTTGAATTTCTGTCTCGGAGTTTTGTTCATGCCGTAGTAAAAGAACAAGAAGGAGAAAAGATCAGTGTAATTCAAAATATTCTTCGACGCAGTGCCGAGGCCTTGAATGATGAAGTAAGTCAAATAGAAGTTCGATGCCTTCGGGAGGTTCTTCGCTAATAAGGTCGGAATCGTCGTGGGCTGATTTGCTACCTTGGTAGCCAATGCAGCAGCCCCTGACGAAAAGGTCGTGATGAGGAAGACTTGAATCACTTGGAAAGCAAAGTACCATGTTTGTGCCCACTCGACTGCTGATTTGCTTGTCGGTTGACCGGATAGTCTCGCCACATACTGAAAGAGGTACGGTACATAGGACACCACAGAGCTGAGTAGTAAGGGTGGCACCAGTCCTGTGAGGAGTCCAAGAATAGGATCCGGGAGATTGTTGATGAATCGTAGAAAGTGAAATTTGTCCGTCAGGTAGTTTATGTTGGAGATTGTGCCAATGATGCCGACGGGTATAGACCAGAAGATTATTGTTGCAACAGCAAGTGCTATAGCAATATAAGAGTACGTGATTCGGACCGACGGAACGAGATTGAGGTTTTGCCACAGGACCTCTTTCGGCTGGATACCAATGTACTTTGGCTGTAACGTAAGAGGTGATGGATGTCGCACTTGCTGAAACGCTTGATGCGCGCTAACCTGATCCTTGAACTCGACGAATATCGCTCCAGTCCTTTTACCAGGCGCGTTGGAGTCAGCCTGTCGAACTTGATCCACGTCAGAAACAAGGCCGGTGATGTCTTCTCTCAGACGGGAGATGCTGTCGATCTTTTCTCCTAGAAGATATTTCGACTTATGTTTGGGTCTGTGCGCCTCGTTCACTGGCTTTGGTTGCTGACTGGAGCTCGCGTCGCCACTGTCTCGAGCTTCATCCTTACTGCGATTAGCATTCTTCAATAGTTGTAGTTCGGACTCTTCCAATTGGTCAATCTTTTTGTCCCTTTTTTGAACCAACTTTTCCAAGTCGCTCTGATTTGAGACAACCCAAGATCTCACAGCATTCTCACCAAAGTATCGACGAAGATTTTCCTCCTGAAGTCCCTCGGGAGGTACGCTCAAGTATAATACCACGCGAGAAGAAAGCCGGCTTGCATTCACGGGAATTGTCTGGTAAGCTTGACGAATGCCGATGACAAAGAGTCTCTCCCTGGTGACGAGTAGCAAAATGAATCCTGAAGTCAAGCGTTAGGTAGACCAAGAAGGGAAGAAAGGCACCTTACCAAAGAAGACCCAAGCCACCGCGGCATGTGCATAGAGCCGCCTGCCGTCAGCGACATTGCTGAACGAGATCCGATCCAGTTGCGTCGCATCTCCTCCTCCCGTGGCATTGACAGCAAAGAGGATCGGCCAGGTCAAGAAGCAGCCCACCACGCAGATGAGAACAATTAGGCGGAGGAATCGCAGGAATAGATACGCCTCTAATGAGGAATGGCGTAAAATAAACTTGTCGTCGAGAGCCCGGAAGTCATGCCACCAGGAGACGGATGTATGACTAGATGAAGGTGTGCGGTCTCTAGACCTTGTTAGAAATCACCATTCGGCTCTATTCGAGGGACATACCGGTGGTCGATGGTTCGGAAATACGTTCTGGGTGCGTAAATGTTTCGATACCTCGAGCGAATAGTCGCAAATGCCAACAAGAAAATGGCAGCTGTTATGGCTGTGGGGATAAGTGCAGCACCAATGGCAGCAAATGAGGATGAGTGTTGACTGCGATGCCCGCCAGACCCTGGTGTCTTTGAGTGTGTTAGCTATGTGAGCTTTGCAAGGCATGATTGTTCGCTGAAGCCAGGGTGTTGGCGCCTTGTCCGTGTATAGAACCGAAGCTCGAACCAGAGCTTTCGTCTTGCTTCCGACTCTCAACTCTGAAGACGTAGGCCTAAGATATGTGTGGCATTTGTCGCTTCGATATGGACATGGCATTCTCAACAAGATGCATATGGCTGGTCTCAATAAACACAACTTACTTTCTCCTTCAAGACGTCCATGGTTGCTCCTCGGAGGACTCTCTCCAAGCGAAACATATGAGTCTTATTGGATGTTACACATCTGGAGCGCACACATCTGTGAGCGCAAGGGGGCAGCTTGAAGGCCAAGATCGTGAGGCCTAATATCAACTTTGTTGTCTCAGTGAAGAGGTGAATGAAGCAACGCAGGAAACAATGGCGCAGGCTGAAGCTTCAACCTCATAATCTGACGTCATGGCATCTGCCTCTGCCGCCCACAATTTCATCCTCAATCCCAACTCACAAGCCATGGCCAACGCAGCGAGAGGCTACTGGTGGCTACACACCCCTAGTTGCTGACACCGGCATTCATATGAGGAGGCAGACTGCTGGTATACTCGATTTTATTGTACAAGGGATACGCAGGGAGGGACAGAACTGCAGAAACAAATAGAACGGATGTATTATGTATACAAGAATATTGGTTGCTTGTAGTTCATTGGGCGTTGCTCGTCATATCCTACTCGATAATCTTCGTCATGGCATCACGACATTACTATCGTAAAAATATCAAGATTTGCTTTTATTCCTTCTGCCCACTGAAACTCCGCCTCCAGGCAGACATTCGGCTGGAGCTCTCCCCTGAAGGTGATCCAAGATCTTCGTCCTCGGCTATAGTCGAGCCTGGCACAGTGCTTCCTATCGAAGTTGTCCTAGTGGGAGTGACTGGTTCACCGCCAGAAAACAGGCGCTCGCTGACTCGTCGACCGAGACCACTACCTTTTGCGTCGGGATTGAAGGGAGGCCGCTGAGCTGTGGGTTGAGCTGGTACCTGGTAATCCCTCCTAGGGCCATCCACGGGCGCGATATCCTCAGCCATCGCGTCTTCATAGCTGGGTGGAGCATCGTCCGGAATATCTGATTGTTCATGCAGGTTGTAAGAGCCCACTGGAGCCGGGTACGAGTTGATCTCGGACAACGGAGTTGTCGGCGTCTCTAATGGAGTGGTCGGTTGTGAAGACATCCCATTGATCTCGGTCGGTCTTGGGGGCGCCAGATGCAAAGGAGAAGGTTGGGGACGGGGATTGTTGGCCATAGCCTGCAGCAGCTTCGGAGGAGGCGCGATGCCCGAGTACACCAAGACTGGCAGACGCAAAGGAAGGACCATAAGTTCTGGTCGTATGCCACTCGCCATGGCATGTGCCAAACCCACGGTGACCTCTAGTTCATACCGTCGAGAGATGTTGCAGGTATCGAACGTAGGGCATACAGTGTTGGGGAGAGGAAGGTCCTCCCATAATCGAGAGGGGAGTTTCCACTCTTTGCGGCTTTTCTCGGTAGGGTTTCCGAGGGGCATGTTCATGTTCGCCTGTGACATCAATGGCCATTTTGTGATTTCAGTCCTTTCCAGATCAAGGGCTCTGACTTGTGTGTACCCTGTCAACTCAATTTGTAGCATCTTTAGATACGCGGTCGCCGAACTATCATTGAGCTTCTCGACCAATATGCGCAACGGCAGTGGTTCATTGCATGTGATGATGGCGGGACTTGGAAGGCGGGCGTCAACCTGAAAAGCGGGAGGCTCCTCCTCAGCGGATGTGGGAGTCGAAGATTTCCTGCTGAAAAGGCCAGCCATCTTTTTCTGCGACTCAGCTGGGTATCTCTGAAACTGTCTCTTCCGCCGTGCAAAGGTCTCCTCATGACGATTGGGAGGTCGAGGAGGCTCGATAGGTAGAAAGTTGATATCGGCAATCTTTGTCATGCATTAGAAGTGTCTTAGGACAAGCCATATTGTGGATAGCATACTGCTCTGATGTTCTCTTGAAAGAACTTGGGGCGGACGACTGTCGCCTTCACATAGTATCTTATTTCCGCCTCGCCAGGGAAGCCACTCAGTGAGGGCGGCAACGTCTTCTTTACGTGTCTTGTGGTGTCCGGTGCAAACTGGACATTCACATGGCCGAGTTTGATATCTTTAAGGGGACTCGGGTTCTTCTGGCAGTCGTTGTTGAATGGGAACTGTCCAGACCAGTTAGCCGCAGTCACCGTCAAACTCCCAGGTCAATTGCTGGAGAGATCTAACCTTGAACCTAAACGGGTAGTGGTATTGACCGGCGAGGAGGGTGTACGCCGCACCGCTACTTCTTTCTGGAAGCTCGGGTGTTGGAAAGACGGTTATGACTTTATACAGAAGCTGGAGCCTGGTGTGTGAGCAAAAGCTGCTGTAGACGGGAGCGATTCTTCTCACCAACCTTGTGCAACTCTAGCTCCGATCTCTTCTTGTCCGTACGCTCGCTGTTGGGGAATTTGGGCACGGCAAGCCGAGTTCGGCTCTCGCCCTCGAGCTTGACCGTGACTGCTGAGATAGTGGCATCGTTGGGTAGGATGAGGATGACAATGCCCGAGACGAAGTCGAGATTTGTATAGCACCTGTGGTCGGGTTGATCAAACTGAATACGGACCGACATCGATCCAGCGCAGATCAGGCATCAGGACACTGAGGGATCAAAGGAGGAATGAGTGTGTGACCATGTCGTGTTGCTGGAGAAGGCGGAGAAGCGAAACGCCTTGCGAGGCTGAGCAGCCAAGAGGCCGGCGAGGGACCAGCGGATGGTGGAGGCGCGATGGAGGAATCACTACCGAGTACTCCGTATTTGGGATATGCACGGAAGAGGGTTTTTGTGAGCCGGGCGCCTGTCCAATCAGATCAGCTTATTCTTGCAGAACGGAAGAATCTCGGAAAAACATGATTCTCCAGTCCCGGAGGAGGCGGTTCCCCTCTTTATCGCAGAGCGGACATGTGCCCTCATCTTTTCATGTCAAACCCTGGCTGCCTGGGTGTCTTGGGATCTTTGCTGAGGATCATTGCTTATCTACTTATCAAACCAGGAGATTCGAATAAGGCTTTCAATGTAACTGAACCACTACCCTCCTGGTCCACGATTACCATGCACCCCGGCCACGCCATGTGCCATCTCGGATGAAACCAACTCACACAGCGCGCAAAGCAACCAAGGCTCGAGAAGCCGTCAAGCACACGAAGACATTCTCAGGTTGCTGGACATGCCGTGATAGACATGTGAAGTGTGACGAAGCAAGACCCCATTGTGCGCGATGTATCAAGGGTGGATTCCAATGTCAAGGATACGGCATCAAGCTCGTCTGGATCGACCCGAACAGTCAAGAGCGCGAGCAGAACATCCGGCGCGTCATCGGCACGCCCGCTGTCTATGATGATGCGTCGAATTTCATGCGAGTCGATGTCAATGAGGCTTTGGAGGTCATAGAAGGTCTCTCGCCCGGAGAAGGATACGTGTCGTCAGGCCCATTCTCAGTCTTTTCGCTACAAACAACCGAGGCAGAACAGCTTGAACCATCTTTTGATCCAGACTTACAGACACTTCCAATTTGCGGAAGACGAGATTCGGCCTTGCCAACAGATCTCTCGGAAGAGGATGTCGATGACCAGGGCGACGAATTGATAGAAACCATCATCTCTCCTTCCACAACCTATCTTCAAGGCTCAGCGGACACTCTGGACACGCCCACACAATGGCCTTCGAGTCCTGCTTTACCGCTTACAATACGCCACCTCGACCTTCTACCGCGCCCGGCTGAACAACGAGATCTCATCCACCACTGGACAAACTTCGTCTGCTGGCACCTCGTCCCCGTCGACCGGCCGGACAACCCATTCCGCAGCGTCTTCACGCCCATGGCTCTCGCGGGCCTATCGTCGCCATCAAACCAATCGAACGGACAGATTGCACTTTTCCACGCGCTATGTGCCACCTCGGCCTTCAGCCGTGGCCAGCTTCTCCATGGGGATAGCAGAAACCTTACCTTGGCGATGAAGCATTACAACCTAGCAATCATGCACCTGCGCCATAGCCTCGTGAACCTCAAGGACAACGACCAAAATCTCGGCCAGGTCCACCTACACCGGGGCTCCATTCTCGCGACTATCACCATGTTCTCGGCAATGGACATGATCACCGGCCGCGCGGGCGAATGGCGCACCCATCTACAAGGTGGCGCCTCGTGGCTGTCCACCATAGAAAACAGCGAGTGGGATCGCGACAAGTCTTCCTCCATGGTCTACCAAGGTTATCTCGCCATTGCGGCGCTGTGTAATATCAATCTCCCGTCCACCATCGACGTCGAATCCGAAAGTTTCCTGGGCGACGAGCGGAACTACGTCCTTGATCGATTCTTCGGGCTCACCCGTCCGATCCTGAAACACATCGTCGTGATGAACAGCCTGACCAACCGCATTTCAACCACAGCTTCCGAACCGCCAACGGCCGCGATGCTGGACGATCTGGAAACCCAACTGTACGCGCAGACGCCGTCGAATCTGGACCTCTCAGGCCTTCCACCCCTCGCTCAATTTCTAACCTTGCACCACGCCTACGTCTTCTACTACGCCTCGCTCATCTACTTTCTCCGCACCGTCCGCCGCCTCTCCCCGCAGGCCGCGTGCATCCAGACTATGGTTTCGCAAGCCGTCACGCATCTGGAAGACATTGAAAGCCTCGGGGGCGACAGCATAGGCTGCACGTTGGTTTGGCCGCCGTTCATCGTGGCGTGTGAGTGCTTGAGCGAGGAGATGCAGGAGAGAATGCTCAGCTGGTATCAGCTGAAGAGGAGGCATGGGTTCATGAACCTGGAGATTTCAAAGGACATTGCGAGGGAGTTGTGGCGGAGACGGAAGTTTGCGGATGATCGAGGGAGCGCAGACGTGGATATACAGTGGCAGGATGTTTTGAGGGAGATGAAGATGGACATTGTCCTTGCGTGATATGGTACTAAAGGGCCATTGCCCTTGAATGGAATGGCCGGATGTATCTAGAAAGCCATCTATAGTTCGGCTCGTCGGGAAAAGAGAGGGTGGTAGGGATCTTGAAATCCCATTTGTTCAAAATTACACATCTGTAGTATCAAATAACGATGGTTGTCTGAATCGCGAATCAAGTCGCTGAAGCAGCACATTTATCGACTCCGTGAGGACCCTGTCGACGAAGTCCTGCTCTGCAGGCGTAGTGGCCACGCCAAACATGCGTTGATTGATCTCCGACGCTAATACCACTCGCCCTTCGCGTTCAAAAAAAGCAATAAAGTTCTGCACCGCAGCCGCTTGCATGCTGTCGACATACGGATCAAGTGGCAACGGCGAGTTCGGAAACAAGATTTTGTAGATGCCAAACCATGCTTCGGAGCGCTTTCGGCCTATTTCGCGCCTTTTGATCGCCATCAGTTGATCTTGGGTCATCTTCTCTTCAAAGGGAGAGACGCGCTGCCGACAAGATCTCTCGACAATGTGGGCGTCCAAGACGACTTTCGAGTCAAAAGATGAGAAGCAGGTCGGGCAGTGATGCTCAGGTCGCCGATGGACACGATATAAATGCTGCTTCAAGCGTGGAATGTCTTTGAGAAAACAGCTTGAGCACCCTCGATAGTTCTGTTCGTGCTCATTGCGTTCTGAATACCGGGCTGGGTCAAATTTCGAATACGGGCAGGCGAGGAGTCTCGAATCTGTGCTAGTCGGCGAGACGTCGGAAGTTCTAGGGACTTTTCTGTCTCTTGACTCGTCCTCTTTGTCATTAGGGCGCGGTCTCTTCCGTGGAGATCTCTCAATTGACGGAGACGTTGTGACAGAGCTTAAAGGAGCATTTCCGTTCGCTTGGCTAGACATGCTCGAGCTAGGACTTGTCTGCGAGGAAGTCTCACCACCATCTCGAGGCCCAGGTATCTGTCCAAGGTAAAGCGTGACGAGCCGCGAAGCAAGCGATGCCAACCGCGCTCCTGAGATAGATACATCACTGAAACTCGCCAAAGTGACAGAATTATCGTCGGCCACAAAAGACGCCTCTCCATCCGATTCGAACCATGGCGAACTCGAGGAGTACGTGCAGGAACGAGTAAGGGACGAGGTTAGTTGGCTGGGGGTAGGAATGATAGACTGGTGTAAAGCGGCTGTTGGCCACTGTCCTTGACTCAAAGGGACTGTGTCTCCACCGCAGTTTTGAACCTCTTCAAGCCACTCATCAACGCTTTCAGTAAGGGCTTATTAGCTTATCTCCATTCCAATATCCACGTCGAACTTTACTTACGGTGGCTTTGGAGAATGCTCTTCAGGAGTAGAGTATTCTGTGCCCAAATCCCTCTGGTCTGGCGAATCTTTCTTGGGCTCAGCATCGAGAGACTGCGGGAATGTTGGATCTGTCTCGACAATCAATTTATAGTCGGGGTGTTTTGACTTTATGTGACTGTCATAGTAGGACTTGCGAACATATTCACGTCGACAGCTTGGAACAGGACAAACATATCTCGGTTTCGTTTTGGCATTTTGGGGCTTGGTATTTCTGATGCCCGGCGGAGAAGGCTCAGGTGCAGGGGATGTTACTTGGGTTTCCTCCGGCTGTAACTCAATTAGAACCGAAGGCAGATCTGCGGGTTCCATGCTCCCATATCCAGAGTCCCATGAAGGTGGAGTGGAAGGTGGCCCTAGCGATTCCGACGTGCTGAAGAGGAGGCTTCCGAGTGGTGTTTTTTCATTGTCGTGCGTGGCTGTCATCCAGGTGATCGCGTCGGGAGCGTCAACTGGCCATGTTGTGTAATGCTGCATAAAGTCGTAGTCGTCCATCGTCGTGAGAACTCACCCAATGTGTCTGATGAAGCGTGAACCTCTTGCTAAGGCTGGGCCAAATGTGCACATAAAGAGAGCATCGATGAGGAGCTCGCAACTGGGCAAGCCTTTAATGATATTCACCGAAACGAAACGCTTGTATCAATTCTGCAGCCTCACACCCCTGCGCGGGCTCATGACTGCACAACACACCGTTGTGCGAACTGACTGCGCCGCCGATCCAAAGGTCTGCATATGGGCTGTGTCGATAGCCAATCGCGTAGAGATGGAGTTGTTGCCACTGGCTGGAGGGGTCCATTCCAGCCAATACTCAGAGAAATCCCTGGCATCACTAATGCGAGATGAAGAGTCCCAAGCGAGTGCTCCAGTGCTGCAACATGGGTTGTCCAAATGGTGAGAAATGGGGGTTGATTGGATCGAACTTTGCGAAGGGAAGCAAGGGATGTCGACGAGTCCACCCAGGGAAATCATTTGTCTGACTTGTCATGATGTCACCTATTACCATAGAAAATTGTTGTCAGACAGAAATGTATATTCTCGGGGTCGTCCGCCTCATCTTCTCTAAAGCCGGTTGCCATCCAGCATTGATACAATATCATAAAGCTGAGGCAAACGGAAAGTCCGAACACACTCTCTTTCTCTATCGTGTTTTTGTTCTATTGAAATGCCTTTGGCTCCCCTTCCGTCGTGCTGAAGAAGGTGCAGCTCGGGGAGCACGAGACATTGCAATAATGATACACGTGGCAGAATCGCCGTCGGGCCAAAGATTCCATTGTCTCGTTCTTTGACTACGCTCTCAATAGCTTTTGTTCTTCGCTTTCGTGATTTGCGCAACATGTATCACCTGGCTCGCTCCCTGTACCTCTATGCGACCAGCAAGCCCGGTAAGCCCCGCCAACGACAGCTGCGTCTTATCCACGAGGCTGACCTGACCCCCGCGGTAATTAGAGTACTCCATCATCCTACTGGGCCTTGACAATGCCGGCAAGACCACCCTTCTCTCACAAATAAAAGCCCTTTACAACACCACCGCAGACCCTGTCGCTGGTCAGACAGGCGATGCCCCTGCCTCAGACACCGCAGGCAACACGGTGCCCACTGTGGGCCAAAATGTTGCAACGATTGACCTGCCAGAGATGTACTTGAAGATCTGGGATGTTGGCGGACAAATGAGTTTGAGGAAGTTATGGACAAGCTATTATAAAAGCGCGCATGCGGTTGTGTTTGTCGTGGACAGTACCGACGTAGGGAACGGAGAGATCGACGAGGCACCCAAGACCCCTGGGTGGCATGGGCGCAAGAAGAGCTATATTGGCAAGGGTGGTGATGAAGATGAACCACAGACTCCATGGACCCCGATGACGCCCATAACACCAGGATTTTTCGCTTCTGGACTATCTCAAGGTCGATTGGACGAATGCCGGGCTGTTCTAGAAAGTGTACTCGAAAATGACGATACGGCCGGAATTCCTATCTTGATTTTGGCCAACAAACAGGACAGGGAAGATTGCCTCGAAGTTGTCAGGATCAAGGAAGGCTTTGTGAAGAAAGTGTTTGAAGGCGAGAAGGGAGGCATGGTCCGAGACAGTCGTGTTCTACCAGTGAGTGCGTTGACAGGGACAGGAGTGAAGGAGGCTGTGGAATGGGTTAAAAGCAGAGTGGTGTGGAATAAGGAAAGCCGTCCTCCAGTCATGAGGTGAATACTGTCTATCTGATTACGCATGGAAAGCACCATCTTTCCGTTGCAAGATTCTCTCAGCTATCGGCGACCACACCTCCAAGATGCAGCAAGACTCTCAAGCCCCACGCGCCTCAATCTTGAGTAACGCAGCCGCAGTGTCCCGCACAGTCACTTCCAAGGCTGTCCACTCGAACTTGAACACTTCATCTACATCCCTCGTATCGAGCCTCGGGAGTGTCAAAGACGAACCCTCATCATTATCCTCACCGATTCGATCCGAGATATTCAATGCAGACTCCTTCCGCAGCGCATCGGCAATCTGATTGAAGATCATAGGATGGCCCACCACAAACCGCTTATTTGCTGCCCCAGGATTCGTGAGAGCACGAATTTGGATTTTGGCGAGATCGCGGACATCGATCTATGTCCAAACCTGGGTCAGTGTTGATTCCTCCAAAGGGACCGATTCAATGGTATTCGTGGGTAAGGAGGAGAGGACTCACACAACCTGGGAACGCGGTCGCTGGCACTTTGCCAGTCTCACTGTTCTTGCTGTTCATGATGGCATAAATCAGACCATCGCTGAAATTGATCTTCTCCACCCCGGTCACTTTCTGCAGCATGGGGCCGAAGATCAAGGGGGGCATGAAGTTGGTCACCGTGAAGGCAGGTTTCTCTTGTTCCACAAATTTCCACAGGGCCTGTTCTGCGAGCTTTTTGCCAACGCAGTAGGAGATCTGAAAAGAAAGAAGGCAGCGGTGTCAGCGGTTTTGCTGGAGACTGGGCTCATTCACGCCTCCATAATGTCCCTTACCCCGGACGAAACTAATTCCCAGTGGAAGAAGACAGCAAGGAAAATAAAAGGAAACTCACATAGTTACTGTTCGCTTCCACCGCGGCCTCTCTGCCCAGTGGCAACCACTCCTCGTTTCCGAAAACTCTACTCTTGATATCCTCCTGATCGCCGAGGGTGATTGCATTCAAGCTCCCCGTCACACTCACGGCCTTGACGTTCTTCCCGTACAACTTGGCGCTGCGGAGCAAACCCAGATTGCCCAGGACACTGGGCTTCTCGAACGACTCCTCGAAGCTGGTGCTGTCAGGCATATCGACCATGGGCGCCGCAACGTGAACGATGTATTCGATTTCCGGATGTTCTTGAAACACCGAGTCAAAGGCCCCGGGGACGGTGAAGTCTGGGACTGCGTGCACGGCGATTTTCGACGCCGGCCACGACGGATTGTTGGACAGCAGCGACTCGGCGGACGAGGGGGACCGGACTGCGAGAACAACGTTGTGATTCTGCGCGAGGAGTTCATCGAGGACTGTAGCCCCGACGAATCCCGACCCTCCAGTGAGCAGGGTGGTATGGGAGTCCATGCTGATGACAACTGAGGCTTTGGGAGTTGAGATGGAACTGGAACCCTCAGAGTCCAGGCAAGGATAGTTATCAAGTATAGAGGAAAGGCGTGAAAGGTGATAGATTGAAATAGAATTTGCTTGACTCAAGCCCTTGGTACATACTTATACCCCTGGGATACTCCATTTATCTGGGCGTGCATTGCCTTCACAATCTTCCCTGCCATAGCCCGGCCTAGCATTTCTCAGCACGGAACGATCAACTCAGTCATCTTGCGACTGGCGGGGGGCCCAAGAAAAGAGCCCAGCACCATAGAACCGCTGGCCTCAAGTGGATGTCTGGCTGGCGAGAGAATATACCTTCAGGAGCCAAGAGAAGCAAATGCGAGGCAGATGTGCTTTGTCAGCCTGTTCGGGGGTCCTCATTGGACCATTTCCGAATTAGGCAGGACGAAGTTGCCATATGAGGAAGAATGAACGCCTCTCCCTTTGCAGAATTATTCTTGTTCTAGAGCTCCCAGTGATTCTCAAATATGAGTTGCATCCCACTCCCGGTTTCAGTCATATCCAGCATTCCTGGTTCTTGTCAAAGCCGATTAATTGTAGATCAACGTTCATTTGGTTGAGCATCATCTCCATGGTGAAGAAACACTACAATAAATTGCAAAATTAGTGCGCACAAGGGAAAAGAAATAAACCAACCTTGGACTTACAGTTTCCGAACATTCAATATTGCTCTCAGCATCCATAGTGTTTGCATGGTCGGCCTCCTCTGTCTCTCTTTTGCCGTGGTCGTCCTCCACTTCGCCCGCAGATTTCGGAGCAAACGCCTCGCTCTCAGCATTGTTCCACAGTCGCGAGTCCTCCTCAAGCTGTCGTCGCCACTGAACAACGCCTCCCATCATGTCAACCCTCTGTTTGGCATCAGCGAAAAGTTCATCTGCAGCATCTTGGGCGATGGTCCGCCAACGGGAAACCAGAGACTGCACTTCAGCATTCTGCTTTGATCCCTCGATCTGAAGAGCGTGTTCTGCCGTCTGAAGAGACTGACGCAGATGAGTGAGCCTATTGGACAATGTAGTGTACTGCTTCTGGAGATCTCTCAGCGCGGACTCGTCAGGGGACAGTAGAGAAGAGCTTTGCTGGGTGGTGGTGATCCGAGAGTTTGGTCGAATGTCTGGTTTTATGTCTGGGGATAATCGTTGACAATCGGAGAGAAGTGCCGCAGCAGGAACCTGGGTATGGGCTCCTTGAGCAGATGGCTGAGGTTGAGTGTTAGTTGGGCGAAGCGGTGAGCGAAAAGGTTTATTGAGAAATCCACCAGGTTGATGCAACTTTCTTTTTTTCGCCGGATGCATTTCGTTGTCCAGGGGGGTTTACAAAGTAGGCCTTGTCATTCTTATTCCTAAATTGCCTTCACTGTTATCCTGACCTGGCAGATTTCCGTAGGGGGAAGATGCGGAGATAGGCAGAGAAGGAGTCGCTGTTTGATGACCCAACAGGCAGCAGCTCGGCGATGAGGTGGGAAACATTAGTCGATTCCAGTGGTATCGATGATGGCCAGCCTCAGGCGATAGATACGGCGACCAAGATTTTCAGTGGATTGCTCCTTGGAGGTAAGTGACCGAGGAGACCCAGAAAGTGACTGGCGAAGGAGAGGCCTTTACGAGAAGGAGGCAAAAGGCTAAAGGGCCGCAGGTCGCAGGAGTGGATTTGACCACAGAAAGTGACAAAGGCCGCGCTACCGTAGGCGGTTAGCGTAGCTGGGCACTTTGCTCCTGACTAAAAATGCTGGTGGCCAGGCGGGGCGCTGCACGGACGGACGATCAATGATTCTGTCAGACGGTGAGATTCGAAGCGCTTCGGCGCCTGACACGCCCTGGTGCTCACGCCGAGAACTTCAAATGACCCCCCTGCGTTCGCCCAATGCGGGTTCTCGCAACACCAAACCGAAAAACCCTGGTCGCTTCATCCTTCTCTCTTCTAAGAGCGTCTTCGCGTGCCGTGAGCAGCAAACCGCCCTGTGCCCTCTCCTGCTCGCCGCCTCCCGTTCTGCCGTCACACGCGCCCTCACGACCCCTTCAGCCCTCTCACTTTTTCTCTGCGCTCCCCAGATCTGATCTGAGCCAACCCAAACCCAAACCCATAACCACGCAAAAATCCCAAGCCATGCCATCCAGAATGATCCGGCCACTTACACACAAAATCACACGCCAGGTCCAGCTCCAGCACCGTCTTTGTCTCATCCCCTTCAACTCCCATGCCCACCTCATCTTCACTTTTTCTACTTCTCATCATCACCCTTTCTATCCATCAACCTGCACACACCCACCATGACCACTCGTCACCAGTCCATTCCACCCTTACCGACACCACACAACTAAGTTGACCACAATAATAATAACCTAGCACCTCAGCTTCACGCACGCAGGCGAATAATCTCTGCCACCTTCCTGCTGCCACTAGCACGGGCCTTACTAAAGCCGAACCGTTGAGTGCACACATACCAACCAGCTTGCCTCACGCTCGAAAACTCCTACCATTTCCACCTCGACACCCTTGATAATACCCGTCCGTGGCCATGTCTTCCTCCAGTACGGCAGGTCGATCACCGTCAGCTACGGCCAAACCAGACAAGAACAAAAAGCAAGCCAAGATCCTAACACTCAAGTTGTCACCCCAAGTCCTGCGTCGCTTCGAGGAGCCTCCGGCCAAGTCAGAGGAACAATCGACGGCCTCAGCAGCGTCGTCTCCCCCTGCTACAGTCGAGGAGACATCCACTCTGAAAGTCCCCGAAGTCAATGAAGATGCCTCCGAAGCCGCCTCAACCCCGGCTCCCACATCTGCTGATGCGGCCGATACCTCGAATGGTGATGGCTCGAAGAAGCGCAAAGGAGGTTCGCTGGCAGGCACAAAGAGAAGTCTAGGACAAATGTCTGAGGTAAATGGACTACCAAGACCACGAGGCAAGCCTGGCCCAAAAAAGAAACCCAGACTGTAAGCATACCCGACCTTTGTGCCAAAAGGTCCTACACCTTTGTCTTTGATACATTGCTGACTGACTACCTATAGTGAAGATGGCACCATTGATCATGGTGGCGTCAAGGCCTCGACTCCAGCTGGCATCAATATTGGGCACAAGCTGGGCCCAAAAGCTAATCAAGGTGCCATCAACGCCGGCCTTCGTGCTCTCGACCGCTCCGGTAAGCCCTGTCGCAAGTGGAGCAAAAAGCCATTCACTCTCAAGAGTTTTACTGGGGTGGTTTGGGAGCTTGCTTCGTGGCGAGGGCAAGAAAGACCACCAATACTCAACGGTGAAGAGTCAAGCGATACCAACCAGGTCTCACAACAAGGTTCTAGCGACGTCAAACCCAACGAAAGTGACGTCGCCATGGACAGCAATGCTGGCGACCAAGCAGAGCCTATGCTCATGTCAACGCCTGCTGCCAGTTCTCCAGCACCAATGCCACCCCCTTCAGCAGCCATTGCTGCTCAAGGTTGATTGATCGGTCGAAGCACACACCACCACTCACCGTCAAAGGCTAAGTCTTATCACTTGGCAGCTTCATATGCGGCAAAAATCGTACGCAGGAACTGGGCTGCGTCTTTCTCGCATTCCAAAAAGTTGGGAATATTTTGGATTCCTGCATTGCCATTGTACTAGAGCCGGTACAGCTCAAGATGGCACCTTTACAACGTGATTTTCCATACAGCATGGCGTTTTCGGATTCGTCGTTATATTTCGGTGCTTGTCATCTGCCTGCAAAACGGAATACTATGAATTACAGGGGACTTGTACTACAAGAAACAGGGGATCAACTCGTAGCAACGGTTATTGTGGCATGTCTCGAAGAAATGAAAGGGGTTTCAGGGTCATTTATTTGGGCGTTTCTCTTTCTGTGAGCTGTATGAATAGATAAGAATGAAAACAGTACATGTTCGACACGTCCTTCGCACCACCGAGCTGCTTCTACCAAATGGTGTGATAAGCTGGATGGTGTCAGGCATGATGATGCTGGCGTATTGGGCTCTGGTGCTGCTTTGGTCGAAGTGGCCCCCGCAACTTGCTTAACTAGTGAAAACCCCCTACGTTGCCCAATTGCCACCCAACAGCTTGCCCCATAGGACCTGCACCAAGTATTATTGCATCAGTAACCTCCCCGGAACCCATATCAGCACGATAACAACATCCGCAATGCCCTTCCAACCCTTTTCTACAGGCCACCAGCTGGTACAGACCTTGAACCGCCGTCAAATCTGGGCGTGAACCGAGGAGACGAACATGCCTTGAGTCGAATCTTTTGCGGAATCTCTCACGTCTCACTCCGGACCAAACGACCGTCCAGCATACCCACCAACCGACCAACCGCACCATCTACCGCGTGACCTTTCACCGATTCTCTTCTCTCACTCCCTACGAACGCGGCGGTCGACCATCTCCATTCATTATTACGCCTTTCGCTCTGGACCACGATGACTGACGGTACTGGCTCAGGCAGTAATAGCCGATCGAGTCAGTTTGGCGGTAATGTGCCTCGACGTTTGTCATATGCTTCTGTTGCCTCTGGCGCAACGGCGCAGACACTCCACCACCCGACTCGATCGGGAGCGTTCTCCCATCTTGTGTCTGCGACTCCCAGCAGCTCATACCCTCCTCAGTATCAACCAGAACAGCATTATCAAAGACGACATTCGGAGCAAGACCAGGACAGTCTCGGAGTTAACAACTGGCGGAAGCCCACGCCTCTACCCTCATATTCACGAAAGTTTGCCAATCTAGCGACTTTCGGAATGAACACGATGTCCCCCAATCCCTTCTTCATCCCCTCTTACCTGAGGCATTCTCGATACATGGCAAAGTTGGAAGCGGCCCACAAGGCTAAGGTGAAGAAAGAGCGTGAGCAACCATCCGGAGGGCCTTCCACGCTCAACTCGTTTCCCACAAGTGCTGGAAATACAAGATTGGCACCCTCCCACCGTGGTATGACTTACGACATAATTGAAAGCAATCCGCCCAAAGAAGAGGACGTGTTACCTCCGTTGCCTTCTAAGTGGAGCGAGCAAGATAAATACCCAGGGTTGGATATAATCGATGGGCAAGACCTGAAATACAGTGGTTCAGTAAGCAAGGCCGATATTGAAGCAGCGTCTGTCAGAACGGACCATGCAATGCCACTTGCTTGTGGGCTATACTATTTCGAGGTGGAAATTAAACAGAAGAGCAAGGAGACAGCTATCGCTATTGGGTTTTCCACAAATGAAGCGTCGCTTCAGCGTTTGCCGGGCTGGGAGACTCAATCCTGGGGATATCACGGGGATGATGGAAAGATGTTTTTCGGGGAGCATTCAGGTCGAAGCTATGGCCCAACCTTTGGCGTAGGCGATGTCATTGGTTGTGGAATCAACTTCAACACCTGTCAGGCTTTCTTCACCAAGAATGGACAGGATCTTGGTATATGTTTTCGGGAACTGAAAAAGGATGCGAAATTATACCCCACGATTGGTATGAAAAAACACTCGGGCGTGTTATTAGCAGGCAATTTCGGTCAGCGGCCTTTTGTCTTTGACATTGATGATAAGATGATATCTGAAAAGGCGAATTTGTCAAGAGAGATTGCGAAGGCCAAAACCACATCATTACGGCCGCAAGCGGACGAGGATACCCTGATTCAGGACTTGGTGGCACATTTCTTAGCTCACGACGGCTATGTTGAAACGGCGAAGGCGTTTGCGGAGGAGATGCGAAGAGAAAAGCAATCGTTGAACAATACCCTTCCTTCCAATGTGGCGACACCTGGAGATCGGGACGACACAGACGCGGTACACCGACAACGTGAGTGAGATGCTCTCTATCCACTAACCTTGATGCTGACCAATATAGGGATACGGCGTGCAATCTTGTCCGGGGATATCGACCAAGCTCTAGAGATCACTCACGCACAGTTTCCAACCGTTCTAGTAGAAAACCCAGACATTGTTTTCCGGCTCAAATGCCGGAAATGGATTGAACTCATTGGCAAATCGACCGAACTCGATACCTCCAAACATCCAACTGGGCATGAACGGAAAGCGAGTGGCATACTGGAGAACAGCTCCGGGGTAGATGACGATTTCGCCCAAGACATGGAACTTGACGAGCAGCCCAACGGCGACAGTAGCGCTAATGGCGTGGGCAAGTCACGGGCTGATGACGGAGCTCTACAGCACGATCAGCTGCTCAACGAGGCGATGTTGTACGGTCAAGAACTGCATAGGGAGTTCCGCGACGAGGATGGGGATTACGCAAAGACACTGCAGGACATTTTCAGTCTGGTGGCATACGACGACCCCAGAGGCAGTGTGAATGGACATCTCTTGGACCCTGCCGGCAGAGTTACAGTCGCGGAGGAGCTCAACTCTGCCATTCTAGGTAAGCCCTTCACGCCGACCTTTATCATCACTTACTGACAGCTGGCAGTGTCGCTCGGACGCTCCCCCTCGGCTGCCCTGGAGACGGCGTGGAAGCAGACAGAGGCTTTGATCGATGTTCTTAGCGAAGATGGAGGCCCAGCTGCTTTCGCCAATCTCCAAGCAACGTTCTCGTCTTGACCACCGCTAGCGAAGTCGGTGGTTTACTGTTGTCGTATCACCTCATAGGAGGCCTATCTGGTCGTGCGGCATTGCCCGGGGGTTGGGAGGACTCAGCAGAATGGTGCTATGCTCTATGGATCTGTGGTTCATCGGGGACTTTGTTGGCAGCGGACATTCATCTCATGGCCGGGGGCGCTCGCGAGTTGGGGGATTACCGAATAGTTTTGACCGGTTCAGAACGGAGCTACGAGTCCCATAGGGCATGGGCAGGGAATATACTCTCCACATGTATGCCATTTGTACCGCGTGATAGACGAAAGTATCGGCAACGCTGAGAAATGGCTGATCAGAGGCAAGTTTTGCATTTTTGTCTGTCACCTTTTATGCAACAACAGCATTCGCTGCCGCTGCTTGTAGTTCTGCTACTTTGCCCTCGAGCACGCAACCCAACGCTCTCTCCAATGCCACCACCAACGCTACCTGGATCTGCGCGTCGGCCTGCTCCTCGACGAGCTGTGCGTCGTTCAGTTGCCTTTCGTGCAACCCCATGTCTCCGAGCTGTTTGTTCCGGTGAACCTCGTCGACGATCATGGCCCGCAACTGCTCTGCGTCGTCGACGGGGATACCCACCTTTCTGACCGCGTCGAGGGCCTTTGAGTCCGCGTACGGCCACACGGCACCGCCCCACCCGTCCACGCACTGGATCCTGCGACAGAAGATTTCGCCGCCCGTGACGGCCAGGCCGGGCACCGTGGACTTGATGTGCTCAATGACCCCTTGCGGCCCGCCATCGTTCGCCTCCTCGGCGAGCTGGAACATGGTCTCGGAGTCGCTGTAGAGCTCCGCGGTGCGGAAGATGTACGACGCCGTCTTCTGGCGGTGTTGCGTCCGCGCTGCTTCGAGGGCGTCCCACACTCCCTGCTCCCCGGCCGAGATGATCGCCTCGGGCGAAGTCAGGCTGAAGGGTTCGTTGAGCAGGGTGCGGATGCTTCTCATGCCCAGAGTGTGGGAGAGGGGCTTAGAGAGCATGTGCGCGCAAAGTAGGTGCTCAAAGGGCGTGAAACTTGCTGGGGACGTCAGAGAATACGACTTGTACTCCCTGGCCGTGCTCCGGGCGTCGTCGAGTTCGTCCGCGGGGAAACAGTAGGGCATCGCTGAGCCGGAGAGAAGGAATTTGAGGAGTTGTTTTAGCGAGGCCGTGGTCTCGGTGTTGCGAGGTGAACTGCGTGTGCCTTGTCGTGGTGCCTTGGTGTCTGCTTCAGACTGGGAGGAATCTGTTGGTGGATCTTTGCGCTTCTGGCCAGCATGTGCAGAATCTTCGTTAGGTTCCGTGTGCTCTGGCTTCGTATCCTTCTCCCCTTGAGCTTTGAGGTCGGCATCAGTGACTGGCTCTGGTTCCTCGAGAGAAGCATTATTCTCCTCTTCGGCCTCTTCCTCGGCCTCTTTCTCCTTGTGTGCCATCACGAGATGTATGTCGTCGAGTAGCAGATGGAGGTTAGTTCAAAGGCGACAATGGGCCCCCTGTTGTTTCTGAAGCCAGAGGCACATTGGAAATCTAGAGAGCTGACATAGTTCATCTTACATCCTCTCATCTCACATTCGTGTCCACTCACCAGGAACCCGAATGGGATAGTCATGACGTATAGGAGGAGGGGACCTGGGGAAAGTTTCAGTAGCGGGCGACATGAGCTTAGGGCCGATGACCTGTCAAGTCTGAGCTCTCTCGAGGATTTGCACAGGGTGGTATGCATTCTGGCCTTGAAAGTACGTATCCTCGGCGCATGAGCTTGTATAGGACGTGTCGGGACGCACAAATGGGATCTGCGGCATAACCCCTTCTCTTTGACTTTCGCTAATTAGACTGCGGTTGAGAGGTGTGAGTGTGTTCAATCGACCGAGGCCCACGGTACCTCTCGCATGCCGCCTCCTCGCTAGTGAAAGCGATCACGGCGAGGTACCTCGTACTCGGTACATGGTTGGTCGCTCGGCAGGGGTCGAAGGTCCAGGCACGACAGTTCAGGCTCACACCATTTCTTTTCGCATGCATTCTCGCCTATTGTGCGAGCGAGTGTGAGAAGCGAGTACCTCGTACTTATCAATGGATTAATGGAGAGCTAGGTGGCGAGGCGGGATTTGCCTCGAGGTAGTACGATGTTTGGTGAGGTCCTGGTGGGCGTGGATATCAAGGAGCGCAGGCCCATTAGAATCTACTTGTGAATGGCGAGTACCTACGAAGACGTCAGGTTCCTAGGTAAGTATGAGGTCCAGGCGGCCCTGGCGACCATGATCAAGACTAGCTGCGTGACTAGGGCAGGCGCTCCAGGCCCGAGCGTCCCTCAGTCTCACACCAGATCCAATGATCACCTCCAAGCACAAGATACCTTTCGCATTGGCACCCGCGTTTATCTTTGGCGCTGCTAAAGCAGGCTCACACTCAACCCTCCGAGGAGCGTTGAGAAGAGAAAATACCTGGGGAGAGCTTTGTTCTCTTTACGATGTGCCTGGGCTTTCGATCTGCACGAATCAACCTCGGAGTCAAATCTCGAAACTTTTTCCAGATCATCATGTTACTGGATACCACTACCTGAGGAGGAGTGGGAGGATCTTGCGAAGAGGCTGCAAACCCCAGCTGCGGATGGAGTCCAGCGAGCACCTCAATTACCTACCAGGATATTTGGTTGGGCAGGTGGTTGACTCTAGCGTCCCTCCCCCGGACATTCTTAGTCCCGACACCTCTACTGAATTCTGGGGGGAAGTTCAAGGGCAACCCTTGCCCACCCTTGCCCAATAGCCTTGGACCCAACGGCAACCCGTGCCACCCAAGGACCATTTGTGCACATGTCTACTGTCCTTATGAAGCACAAGTGCCACTAGCAGCCACCAGCTTGCTCCCCATTGTCCCCCCACGAAAAACCCTCCCCGCCGCCAAGCTCGGGGCCAGATCTCATGAAATTGTCAGTTTCTTTCTTGCCTCGGTGTCGTAGAACCTTTCTCCCCTAAACCCACCTCTACTCCCGACCTTATTTCAACCCATCTTAGTTGTTAGTTTTATTCCAGGGCACAGCAGACATCAGTCGAACTCTGAACCATGGAACCACAAGGAGACGATGTGTCTCCTCCTACCCAAACGAGCACTGCTACCTCAAGAGCGAGTAGGATGTCCCCTGCACGGCTTGCGAGAAAAAGAAAGGCCGACAGGGAATCGCAAAAAGCCTCCCGTTTGAAACAGAAAAACTATATCGCGCATCTGGAGGCCCTGGTCAAGTCGCTGGATGCTTCCGCGGGCTCTGAGCCCGTGGAGCTGCTCAAACGTCAGGGCGCGGAAAATATCGAGATTAAAAAGGCCCTCACGACCATCTGCAGGATCGCCCAAACGGCCCTGGGTGTCGAAGTGAGAGACGGTCAATATCTGGGCACTTCGTCTTCGCCCGAGCCAATGACAGACCAAGCAAACGTCAAAGAGATGAAGCCTGATCCCCCAAAGCCCCGGAAAATCCAGCCGTTTCAGACGACCAAGATGGACTTCGAGACAGAACCTGTCAAATGCGTGGGTGAAGCAGACGCGACTATTCCTTCCATCGTTGAATCCCAAACAGATGGTGCGGGGTTCTCATCAATGTTTACCGGGGAGGACGCACATCTGGGAGAGTTCATTCACGACGACCTTCTGGACTTTTCGGTCCGGGAGCCGGTCGACCCCCAAACCTTCGAGGCGTCAGAAATTCTCTATGTCAGAGAAACAACGTCCCTGAACGAACCAACTCCTAACTCTTGGCCGTTTCCGCCCCTCTCTGAATCTTTACTTATACGCTCCCTCCAAACGGGGGCTGGAGGCCGGGATTGGGTAACTACGGTAAACCTGCTGGCTTCACCGGTTTTGTACCCACTTGAACCACCCGAGGATGCACTCGATGGAGATATTGCAATTACAGCCGTCCTGCGTGGCTGGAACGCTGTTGAGGCTCGAGGGCCACTGGATCATGGGTGGAAGGTTCTTCGCGAAGTTGACCAAACCATTTTTCCCAGATGTGGTATTGCGGAAAGAATGGCCGTCTTGCGGATGATGAGGCTGATGTGCCAGGTACGATCTTGCGACCCTAGAAAAAACCGGCTTCTCTTTCCATATACATTGCTCACTGACGGACCTACAACAGTACGTGACGACGGCTGAACAACGACCAGAGCTGCCACATTTTATGCTAAAACGGTTCGTGACAGTCTATGCCTTGCCGTCATTGCCCTGCGCTTTACTAATTGGTGCTGTATTATAGCCCGTGTCAAGAACACATCAAGCATCATCCAATGATTGATTATCTCGTCTGGTAAGGGTTTATGTTTCCCCTATCAGTCACATCAACTCGGTGCTTGCCGAGGTGGATGGGCAAAAACGACTTGTTCTCACTGACAAGTGCAAAAGGCCCGGCGTCCGCGAAAGATTGATCTTCTCACCACACAAGTTCGCTGCCGACGCAGACCGATACGCTGAGCTTTTCAGCGCCAACTTTCGCTTTCTGTGGCCGTTCGAGCCCGAGGACATCTACTACCGGGACCCAGACACCGGCCTATATGCATTCTCGGAGCAGTTTATCGGGCGCACAGAGGATCTCGCCTGCTGGACAATGCACAATGACTATTTCGTCGCCTTGCCAGAGCTACGCGGCGATATCCCCGGGTTCCCGCAAACTTCCATTTACACCCTGCAACCTTCGGTGTCACAACAGGCTGTGGCTGTTCAGCGAAAGACTTTGACGAGGCCGGGAGACAGCCAAGAGTCTTCACAGAGCGAGAAGTGTTCGGTCAACATGGACTTTTCTCATACCATGTGGGGGAGAATGCCACAAGTGTCTTGAAGGGGATGGCATGTCGGCGACGAGGAGTAGAATACGAATATACGATACCCACTATAATTCTCGAAAGTCTCTCATGTTTTAAGACCATCGTTTGTTTATCGGTGGCCAATAGCATGGCCTTATCAACGTCTAGTCCTCGTTTAACTTGGGCCTATGTCACGCCCCAGGCCCTATGTTCAGCTACATGGTTTAAACGGCCGTCCTCAAATCCACCACTGCCGACCGTTATGACCCTAGTCCTCCCTTGGTCCTCCAGGGAAAGTCCTACACTTGAGTAATCTGAGAGTGGCCCCTTGTCAATCTCTTCCGTCTCCTCCACTGCCCCGTAAGCCAGGATTTCGAGGCTTCTTCACTTTTGTCCTTGACATATTCTGGGAACTTCCAGCTACCAGCCTGACTTGGCTAGTGCTTGTCTCTAGCTAAGCAGTTCGCCACACCCACCTCCAAGGTCCCGGTTCTATGTACCCTGGTTCAGTTGAATCGGAAAGGGCAGCCAATGATCGCGGCACCCCCTTCGGCGGCGTACGACCTCATCGCCTCTGCCTCTTTCAGGACGGCATCCCGCGACATCTTCTCGAACTTGGCAGGACCCAGCTCCTCGGGCAGGTAGCCCTCGCTCTTGAATTTCGGGCCGGGGACGTATTGAGAGCCACCAGACAGCCGTGCCGAGAGTTTGTGCCACACCGTGTCCTTGACGTACCAGGGCTCGATGCTCTGCTGTTTCACCGGGTGGAGACGGCCGGATTTCTTGTCCGCCTTGGCCAGAGGATCAATCGGTCGCAGGCGCGGGAGGAACAAGTTGCGCACCACAAAGGCGCGCAGCCGGAAGAACCGGTAGACAAAGATCTCGATGGCGCGCGAGGCGGCGGGGTATCCCAACGCGTTGCGCGTCCTCTCCTCCAGCAGGGCCATCATGACTTTGCGGAAGAAGCCGCGCAAGGGGGGCGAGACGTGCTTGAGGAAAAAGTCGACCGAGACGTCGGCGCATTTGCGGTTGTTGTCCGAGTAGACCATGGCCGTCTGCTCGTATTTCTCGGTCCACTCGGCCAGCTTCTCGAGGGTCGGCGGGATGTCCTTGATGCCCATGCGGTTGCCGACTTCCTTCCAGTAGACGAACATGGCGACCTGTTCCAGGTACGTCAGCTTGCGCCACTCGTACGTGTTGACCCAGCGGATGCCCTCCATGATGTTGACCCCGAGAGTGTGCAGCATCTCGGGCTGCGTGATCTTGTCTCCGTACTGCCGGTGTATCCAGTTCATCTTGGCGAGGGCTCGCGACCCGCGCTCGCTGTCCATGGACCCGACGACAAACTCGGTCGTGATGAGGGCCGTGTCGTTGATGCGTCGCCCCACGTTCGGGCAAGCGCTCAGTTGACGCGTCTTTGCGAGCAGCTCGGTGCCCGAGGCGATGGCGAATGTCTTGAGGAGCGAGAACTGTCCGCTGAATGCAAAGATGAAAGGGCAGTCGTAGAGCATGGACAGGTGCATGATCTTGTGTGCCGCCTTGTAGTCCATGGCATAGGGATCCTTGAGGAGAGGGGCATACTCGCGTTCCAGCTTGCGCAGCGCGCGGAAGCGCAAGGCTCGGACGAGGATCAGATATCCGAGCACGCCAATGGCTATGGTCCACGCGTATGGAAGGTCATGGAGGGCTGCTACCTTGGGGAGGCGCAGGGACAGGAAGTCCACGGCGTCTGCTTGGACTCCCATATTGACAGTCACCGGGGTGTTCAAATCGAGGGGGGGTGGTTTCGAACGAGTTGTTGATCACCCACCACGAAGCGTAGAAAATATGTTGGTTTTTATGAAGATGACGCTTTTGGCAAAAGGCTTCGTGTTCGTGAAGCCTCAACCCTCCTTTGTATGTATACATTATGTACCCATACTCGTGGCTAGACATGTTGTGCACGGACAGAGTCTCATTGACACGCCAGTACACCCAGAGCCGATGGGGCCATTTCCTGTCAATACAAATCACTCGAGACCGTCGGAACATGTTTAGGATGTCGAACTAGGCACCACGGACGAGATCGAGACTGCATAAGGTCCAAGTCAAGCAGTCGATGTCAAGCTTGTGTCCCGCCAAGCAACGACCATGTCAGAGAGACGGAGTCAACCAAAGCCCCACCAGGATCCCGAAGTGGGTGTAATCAAGGCTTATTCTATTGGCTATTTCTTTAGTGGGTTGTGGGTACCGTCACTAGTGCAGACCTCTATCCGTATGAAGGGTGCTTTGGTACTCGTACTGGTGTGCTCGAGTCTCAACCTGGGCCCTCACGTCGAAGGACTCGGCACTCGTCTTGCACTTTGAGCTTGCGTAGATACACTATCCGGTCCCACTGCAACTGCTGACACCCCGTCCGCGGCCTTGGTCAAGGTCATTTGGAGCAAATTGTTCGTGTATAGGTCATAAACTTGGGGCAACACTCACCCTGTCCATGTCGAAGTGCACCGCACAGTGTGGTATCAATAGATTGGTGAAGATGTCCAGGACATACGATCTAACAAAGATCCCGGTGGCCTCTCACAAATTTCATCTACCAACGGTTTCCTCGATCTGACCGTGCCATCACAACGCCATCTATACACAATGCCGTATGATACCAAGGAAGAGATTCTGGCCCTCGGGGTCATTGACCCTGAACTGAAAGCTGTATGTTATCCACGACTCCGATCTTTTGCTGGGGTCTGCTGTTTGTAAAACTCGTTGCTGACTGAAAATGGAACCAGCTGCTCGAAACCAATCCCCCTCCTCCCATGACATTCACCACCATGCAGGCTCTCCGAGAAGACGTCAAAACACGGACTCTACAGGCGATTGACGCGCTCGGTCCACCGCCGCCTTCTGTCAAGCAATCCGACATCAGCTACAGGACTGCGGATGGGACTGAGTTGCGCGCCCGACTCTACCAGCCCACCTCGCCGTCGGATGACGGCAGTCCGTTGATTGTAATGTTTCACGGGGGTGGTTTCTGTCTGGGCATCCCCGAGGCCGAAGAAAAGGCGTGTCGAGAGTTCGTACAGGCGTTCAACGCTGTATGTGTCTCGCCTGCCTACCGGCTTGCACCTGAATTTCCTTTCCCCCAGGGGCCCAAGGATGCGTGGGACGCTCTCAAATGGGCCGCGGAAAGCGCTTCGTCCTGGGGCGCCGATCCGGCTAAGGGCTTCATCGTCGGAGGGTCGTCTGCTGGCGGTAACCTGGCCTGTGTCGTGACGCACTTGGCCCGCGATGAAGGCCTGAGTCCACCTCTGACGGGACACTACCTGTGCATCGCAGGATTGGTTCCCCCGTCACGCATGCCGGATAAGTACAAGAAGTGGGCGTACAGTTACGAGCAAAACAAGTCAGATCCGATCAACGGGCAGGCCGTGATTGATATCTTCAACGCGGCATATAAGCCCGATCTTGACGATGGCATCTACAACGGCCCTCTGATACACCCCCAAGGCCACGCAGGCCTGCCACCCGCGTTCCTGCAGGTCAACGGGTCAGACACCTTGCGTGACGACTCGCTGATATACGAACGGATATTGCGGGAAGAGCATGGGATCAAGACGAAGCTGGTCGTCTACCCGGGTCTCCCTCACGCCCACTGGGCTTTCTTCCCTTCTCTGAAAGCCAGTGCACAGTTTTGGGCGGACCAGTTAGAAGGGATGGGATGGCTATTGGGGAAGACCCCTGCCCCGGCCAAGATCTGATGTAGCTGTTCCACAGAAGTGGCAATAAACTTTGTGGTGTACCTACTCGTACCGAGAGTCCCCCCTTGCCGAGACTAGAATACAAGCTCATTTCTTGGGGGTCTAGCTTTATCCTCGCTGCACCACGTGCCAAGTTGAACCCCCCGGTCCCGATCTCTGGGCATTATGAAGCTGTTCTCGAGCATGATTGGGTCAAAGAACCAATCTGGGGTATACTCGCACCATGTCTGTGGCTGACAAAGGCGGGATTATCGCGGGATTATGGCGGGGTATATCAAAGGACATATGTATTCACGAGGAGTCCCCACATTTCTCATTGAATCAGGGGGGTTGGATCAATCTAGCCCTCTCTTTCTCTCTGTCCACATTTCCTTTTTTTTTCCCTACCCCAGCAGCCTCTTTGCCTCTCTGCCCTAGGCTGAGAGATCCCCAGCTATCAGACTATTGACTCGTCTCCATGACTCGCGCCGGAGAGTCGCCTGGGGTGAGTCAAAGCTGCTGTATACGCCCTGGCCTGCAAGGGTGGGTTGCTTATCCGTCATGTCTAGGTAGGTAGGTCGACATGGCACCCCATGGGTCTCGGTTTAGCTTTTTATGCTTGTCGTCTAGAGGCGTCAGCCCCCAGACAATTTCCCCGGATCATTTTTTTCCTTTCACAGGAATTCGAATTGGTTATATCCCGCGTTTCTTCCACCCCCAGATTTCCTGTATTTGTCACATCGTCTATTTAAAAAGGACTGTCGACGACACAGACGTTTTTTTTTTGGATTCTGCACTTTGGAAAGGGACTTTTGAGGATCACAAACAGAAGAGAGGTCGTCAACGTAGATATCTACCCATCCCGAAATGAATTCGAAGTCGGGGTCTCTCGTCAATGAATCAACTGCCAATACGGATACGGTCCATCTCGAACGTCTCGCTGTCGACGAGGAGAAGCATGCAGGGAGTCTGCAGGTCGAAGACGCCGATTCCCTAGAAAAGAGCCAGAGCGTCGATGTGGACGTGACGAATCGAGACGCCATCAAGGGCGACGAGTCGGATGGCAAAGTCAACTGGACATGGATTCAGATCACAGCCACTGTCTGTCTTTCAGGCCTCTACGTTGGTACGTCTGACTTTACATCCCATGAGCTACCTGAGATATCCACATTCATCCTGGCACTAACACTGAAGATCTATTCCAGGCTCTCAGATCCCGCTCTACTTCCTGGGTGGCACTTTGACCTATATCTCGGCCGACCTGGGCACTGAGGCGTCCGCATGGCTACCAGTGTCCTATTCCCTCGCTCTCGGCGCGGTGACGCCCTTCTGTGGCTATCTACAGGACTTGCTCGGTAGACGTTACGTGACCCTCGCGGGGGGGTTGATCCTCCTTATCGGGTGCATCGTCATGGCGACAGCCCAGACGTTCCGAGCTGGCGTTGTCGCCATGTGCTTTGCTGGAGCTGGTGCATCGATTGGCGAGTTGACCGCCGTGGCCGGGTACGTTTTGCTTGACTCTCCCTTTGTTGCGCTTGTCCCTGGTCGCCAACCAATGAAGGGAGGACTCTCCCAGGCGCTTTCATCGCTGACTTTTGTATTTCTAGAACCGCCGAACTGGTCCCGATCAAGAAACGTGGTATCTACCTCGCTATAGTGACTGCTTCGATCTTGCCCTTTGCACCGTATCTGCTCTACGCTCAACTCCTGGCAAAACACTCTTCGTGGAGATGGGGCATGTGGCTCTGTGTGTGAGTCTTATCAAGCATTTCTCCTTCTCAGCATGCCGTGCCATGGCATGCCCTCTATCAGCTCGACTGACCTCCACATCAGGATCTGGAACGCCGTGTGGTTCGCCGGTATTGCGGCCAGTTACTTTCCCAAGTCACAGACCCGGGCACGAGGCGTTTCTCGACGGGCTGTCCTTAAGAGGATCGATTATATCGGCGGGCTGCTGTCCATCATCGGCCTGGTTCTCTTGTACGTCTCGCCCCTTGCGTCCCCGTCTCTGATAATCATGGGATTATCAATGATAACTCAGACTGCATTCGACGAGTGATGCTGACCCTTTACCTCCAGCCTCATTGCCTTGCAAGCCGGAGGTTCAAGCCACCCGTGGATCAGCGCCTACGTGCTGGCCAATCTCTTCATTGGCTTCTTCTTGCTCGTGGCCTTTTTCATCTGGGAGTGGAAATTTGCTCGGTATCCCATGATCCCCAAGGAACTGTTCCGGGGCCAGAACATTGTTGCCAGCTGCTTCGTCGTGTCGTTTGTGTCTGGTAAGTTCAGCCTTGTCTTCTCCCGGATGAGACGGAGAGAGTCCAGTCTTGGCTCGGGATCGTTTTGATACCGCGATACCGTGGTAGGGAGGATGTTATGTTGACTCTCGGGGATATCAGGCATGAACTTTTCTGCGCTGCTCAACTTCTTCCCGTTGGAATTCACGACCGTCTTCGTCCCCGACCCGATTCAAATCGGCTTGAAGGACATTCCCCCGGCGCTGCTCTTGATCGGCGGCTCCGTCGTGACCAATGCCCTGTTGTCATACCTGAGAGGCCACGGCCGTGAGTTGATGCTCGTTGGGTGTCTTATCATGAGTAAGTCTGCACTGGTTGCTGGCGTGGTGCTTTCCCACCCCCTTGTCGACCTCTTATATAACCCACATCCTCTGTACCCTTCCCTCATCTCTCGCGGTCTTTGGTATACAAGACTGACCATGGCGCGATTCGTCCCTCTACAGCATCCTTCTCCGGTGCCCTCGCTTCAATCAACCCCGACAAGACCGCCGCCGTGATCGGTCTCGGCTCCATGGCCGCGCTGGGCGTCGGGATGGTGACCTCACCGGCGTCGACCATCGCCATCACCGTGGCCCCGGACTCGACCATCGCGACCTGCGTGGCCCTGATCCTGTGCATCCGCGCCACGGGCGGCTCCATCGGCTACGCCATCTACTACAACGTCTTCGTCGAGAAACTGACGCCTGCCCTGCCCAAGTACGTGGCCGAGTACGCCGTGGCGGCGGGCCTGCCCGTGTCCGCGGCCGAGCCCTTCACCGCGCTGTTCCTCACCGCGCCCCAGAACGTCACCCAGGTGCCCGGCGTCAACGCCGCCATCGTCGAGGCCGCCACCGTCGGCAGTCGCTGGGCCTACGCCTACGCGCTCAAGTACGTCTGGTACATCAGCCTGGTGTTTGGCGTCTGCTCCATCGTGGCCTGCTGCTTCGTCAACAACATGCAGAAGTACATGACCAACCGGATCGCCGCGAAGGTTGGCAACTAGACGTTGCCTCCTCTCCCTCATGCTTTCCCGCGCTCACGGACTTACCTTATCTGGGGGGTATAAGACGGGAATGCTGCGAAGAACAGAGAAGGGAAGAGGATGATGACCTGATGGCTTGAAGACCTTGACCCTGGAGATCTGGGGATCCGGAAAATAACGCACAGAAGGGAGGGGGAAAACAGGGACCTCGACGTTAGAGATCATCCGCTCATCCGGCCCCCCTGAGAATACTTATACACATAATCTATCCAAGTCTTGACCTCTTCCAACGCCATGGAGTACCCCACAAACACGTAAATATCTGAATTTTCTTCTTCTTCTTCTTCTTCTTCTTCTGCTTCTGCTTCTGCTTCTGCTTCTGCTTCTGCTTCTGTGTGGTGGTGGAAAAAAGGGAATCGAAAAGTCTCATTGTGTGAAAACCTCTCGGCCTTGGGAAACATTGCATTCCCCGTCTCTGCGCTTTGGTGACGACGTGGGCTGCACGGGCTATGGGGTTCAAAAGCTCAAAGGGCTACAAGTCCGAAGTCGGATACTGAAATAGATATTAGAGCGGGAGGATATGGCAGGGCAAGAGAAGCAAAAACCAAAACGAAAGCAAAAAAATCTTTTTGTGTTGTGGCATTTGATTAATTTCAAAAAGGACTAACTAATATTAAAACAAACCACAAGAAATGCTCACAGCCAGAGTAGACCCGGGTACAATGCCATAAGATTGAGGTACCTCCTCCAAAAAGAGAGGCCTCAAGAAAAAAAAAAAACCAAACAAGAAGGATGTTGAATAACAAAAGGAAAATGCTGGACAGGGAAAACAGCGAAAGCAAATATGCAACAAAACAGGAAGCGTCTCCACCAGACACTCCCCCAAGAACAGCCCCGAAGTTTTCCGGGTCTTGTTCACATGGCCGTGGGCCCCTGGAACTTCATAGGGACAAACCATTTAGAGACTGAATTTGAACTGCTCCCACAGGGCCGAACCGGATGATTGCACCCCGTTGATGCTGGCGGAAATATCTCCGAACCAGCGAGAGTAGGCGGACGAGTCGACCTGTTTGTTGTAGCTGGTGACCGTGGCGTTCAGAATGTCTCCGTTGTTCAGTTTCATGACAATGGTAAACTGGTTCGGGTCCGGCGTGAGGATGGTTGGCGGATACGGCGTGCCGACCGGGCGAACCTGAAGTCCAGCGGTGCCGAGCGCACAGGTGGAGCCGACCACCTCGCCGTTCTTCAGGACGTAGCCACTGACGGTTTCCGTGCCTTGGGGATCCAGCGCGTCGAACCAGACCATGTTATATTCTCCGAAGGTGCCGTGGCCCCAGTACCAGCTGCTGACGGCACTCGTGAAGGGAATGTCGCCCCAGTTCTAGTTGGACGATATAAGTATGTGCCGGCAAAGAATGACAGGGGGCAGAGGCTGAGTTACATACCTTGTCGTGATACCCGTTGCCGTTGAAGACCATGGGTGTGCCTCCAAAATTCATATGGACAGTAGCATCCGAACCAGGAAGGACGTTCGCCCAGCCAACATGAGGCACAATCTGCTCTTGCGCCCCACCAACAAGAGGGCTGCATGGGTAGTGTCCAGGACCACGCTTTTTTTTTACGTATGTTAGCAACTCCATGTTGTCGGCCGAAGGTTAGGAAAGCAACTTACCGAGATAAAGTCGACGGTTCCGGAAACGCCCAGGGACGGGTTATCGATCGTAATTGCGTACTGGCTCAGATCGGGTGTGCCGGTAAAGCTGCATCCACTCCCTGTCCAGTTGCCCGAAGCTCCATCTCCGATGGTATGGACAGTCACGGATGTTGCCAGAGCTGTCGTGCTCACTTGTGTACCGTTGGGAAAGGTTGCAGTAATGCCGACATTCAGTATGTCTTGCAGGGCGGGCGTATTTGGAAATCCAAGGAATGAAGCTGTATAGAATACAATCGCGAGAGCCTGTGTCCCATCGTCGGAGACAGCGTCAAAGTACCACCAATCATAAGAGGTAAGGTCGATGGGGTAAACCCGCGGGCCGTCTGCCGCTCCGTCGCAAGAAGTGAATTGGACCGTGCTCGAGAGCGATTGGGTCGAGGAATAGGTTATCGTGTCGTTGAAGCATTGAGATAAGGCGCTAGGCACCAGGGCCAACAAGGCTGGGAGAAGGACAGGGGCTCTGAAGCTCTTCATTTTGCAGCTGGCCGGATGTGCTTTACTGAGATAGACGATATCTGGAGGCGCCTTCGATCCTGACTTCTGTGATCTGGGGAAGTCTTCTCCAGGCCGGGACGATACAGCTCTTTGTAGTTTTCCATCCCCTGTAGACTTGAGAAAAATTCTTCAACGATCGTCCGCACTTCTGACTCCGCCCGCTCAATACAATAAACTGTCATAGTGACATTGAGTCTATTACCTCAGGAACACTGTACTCACTTTTGTTTCATTAAAGATCACTGGGAAATTAGCAATTTCTCGTGTGAAGGGGAATATGTACGGTAAGGAGCGCACAATGTCATCTGTGCAGTACCCGTGCGGTGCTGGTCAAGTCTGTTCGGACATATGTAATATCGTGTGGCACTGTGGCGTAAGAAACAGGGGTAAACAACCTCCCCCATATGGAGCAGATCGGCGAACAACCTGGAGTCGCCCGCACGCGGACACAATCATTGTGGGGAGGGTGCTCTGAATTAACCTAGTTTCTATAGTCGGGAGAACACATCGCCGGTGCTAGTAGGTCGTGAGGACGAGTCAACCATATTGACACGGCGGGTGGACAAACTCCGAATGCGGACCTTATACACAGGACGGGCAAGCTGTAAGTATGTCCCTCCACATAGACATGTTGGTTAACCGACAAAGGTATGGCTTTGAATGGTCGTGCCCTCATTCGGCCTTGGAAGGGGTCGACTGACCACCGGTCTGCGTCAAAGGCAGACACCTTACGAATCAGCTCAAGTCGGGGCCGCAAAACTCGGCTCTCGGCCCCTTGACTCCTTCATTGTAGACACGCGCAGAATAAAGAGGTATAGCGTATGTCAGTTAATACCAGGCTCGTCAGGTATTTGCTTGGTTCGACGAGGGAGGACGACACCACACTTACCGGTACAGACTGAGGCACTAGAACTGCAGCCCGAGGAAGTCAGTCCTTAGTCCACGATCTTTCCTTTGCTCGTATCTTCAAGTGAGGCAAGACACCTGATTGTAGCATTCTTGGTCAGATTCGATGATACCACATGATGAGCCACTTTGACGGTTGGTAGAGTAAGTCTGATGGGATCCCACCTCGTGTAAGTGAGTTGACTGGTCCGTCATAGTATTGACTGTGGTCGTGATAACATGCGTCGACGCAACCGCAGGCTAGTTGAGCAATGATCTTCTCTATGGTGTTGAGACACGGCAGGTTTTCTTCCCTCTAAACGCTGTGGCGCCCTTATCATTGCAGTATCTGTACAAGTTCATGAAGCGACATTTCCAACTTCTCTAGCTCTTCGCAGTGTCGGCCGTTTCGAAAAAAGTCCCAGATCCATACTTCCAAAGTCTCTGCAATGGGGTCCGGGTTGCTCTTCTCACTTGCCCTGGTATGTTTGACCACGGAGCTTTTCCATCATCAACGTCGTCAGTGCAGGAGATGGGGTTTTCTCAGGGTCAGGTAGAGTCATCGATATTATACAAGTTTTCAAGGTTACTGTCAGTTAGTCCACGGGAGGGACATGAGAGAGAGAGAGAGAGAGAGAGATGAATGCATTCGTTCCCTTCAACGTTGGATCAATATCACGTGAGGCTTGGCACGAGCGACACGGTACCTGATCACAAACCAAGTCAATACTGAGCAGATGCGACCACCATACCATATGTGCTGTCAGGGTGGATGTGCCTGGAGCCGACCTTTTGGTCAGGGAGGAGAGGGTTAATGAGAGAGCACTTATAAGTGAGTGAGAGATTCCCTCCAACATGTTATGTGAGGCTTGACATACTGACTGGTACGTGCGCTCCAAAGACCTTTTCTCCTTCTCTTCCTCTCTTCACACAGTCGTTGACCCCCAAAGGCAGGAGCTTGAACTTCAATGACCTCGTGGAATCAATATCGACTACGAATGGAATCCTCCACATTTCTCATCAAAGGCTGGAAACCCCAAGAGATGCGCATAATTGGTCGGCTCTCAAGCGGCAGCTTCTTCCGACAAACTCCCAGGCTCGGGGACCGCTCCACCACTCACATGGCACCCTCTATCGTATCATGACGATCAGCCTGCATGGCATTTACGGGAAGAACATTAGCACGGCAAACGAGAACTCTCGAACTATCAAGTAGGGCCTTTCCAACGCATCCCGCACTCCAATCTCTACTCCAATCGCCCACAATCCATCCCGCTGCGGAGAACAGCTACTGGCATGGAGGGGACTGCCCATCTGAGTAAGTGATGGTTGCTCACAGCTTGGATTGATTGATTGTTCGCAAGATACCCTGCGCAGGGCATTGCAGGTCTACCTGCGGCGCCCAGCATACAAAACTGACAACCTTGTCGCATCTTCCCTCGTCCCGTCTCTGTGTCATTACTGTGTTTTCCTTTTGCAGCCTTCCCGGTGGTTGCAGGCAGAGAGCTGTGGCTCTGGAGGTGTGCCATTTGAAGCACTGATACCACGCCTTGCGATAACTTGAACTGGTCATCGTCTTTCTCGTTCATTTCTAAATATGCCGGCCACAATGTCCGCCTTCGTCCAATGGCTCAATCGCGAGTCGGGCTTTCAATCCATCTCCACCTACGGCAATACTGACATCTACCTGATTCTGCTTACTCGCTTTCTTCGCATGTTTGCCTATGGTGGCGCCGCCCTCGTCCTGGCCATCTTCTTGTACACTCAAGCCGGGGTTGATTGGAAAAAGACAGGCACATTCATGACATTGACGTTGCTGGGCGACGCGGCGATCAGTTATGGGCTGACCATCGTGGCTGACAAGATTGGCAGAAGACGTGTGTTGCTAATAGGATCTCTGCTAATGAGTTTTGCCGGGACGGTGTTCGCACTGAGCAAGAATTACTATCTGCTTTTGTTTGCGGCTATTGTGGGTGTGATATCCCCAGGAGCACATGAAGTCGGACCATTTCGTGCTGTCGAAGTATGTATGAGATTCAGTGTCCCAAATTGACTGCACACACAGCAAGCACACAGAACTGGACCACTATGCTAATCTCTTTTCCTCATAGGAAGCAATCCTTGCCCAACTTTCCCCCCTTGAGGCTCGTACAGATATCTACGCCTGGTTTGCCGTGTCGTCCACTCTGGCAATGGCCTGCGGTCTATTTGTTACAGGATGGCTGACCTATGCCCAACGGACCTACATGGAGCGAGACTGGAAAGAGACATACCCTCCTGTTTTTGGTCTCTACGCAATGATTGGTCTGGTCAAGGTTTCCATCACATTCTTGTTAAGCAAGAACTGCGAAGCTAGTGCGGCTGCGCAATATTCTTGGGCTCCCACTACGACGACAAACGCCATCGATGAAGGCGGTAGTCCCTCGTCCGAGCAAACAAGGCCTCTCCTGGATGGCTTGCCCCGTCGCCCTTCGGTCCCGAAGCAAGCCAATGCGAGAACCACGATCCGTCCGACCCAGCCTTCTCCCCCCGACTCGTTCTCCCGCCGCCTCCGCGCCTCACTGAGCTCGCCCTGGAAAGTCTCCCGTTCCTCTCTGCCCATCCTTTTACGTCTCTGTTTCCTATTTGGCCTGAACGCATTCGCCGCAGGCATGCTCCCCGTCACCGTGATGAGCTGGTATATGTCCTGGCGCAGCCGATGGTTCTTGACTCACCGGATTGGCTATGCGCTCAGCGTCGTGTGGCTCGCAGCAAGCTTTTCGAATCTGTTCAGCGCTGCCGTAGCTCGACGGTTGGGTCTCGTCAAAGCCATGGTCTGCACGCACCTGCCCAGCGCTCTGTTTTTGGCACTTGTCCCGCTCGGGCTCATAGCCTCCGGTTGGCAGTTATTACTCATCCTCCTGCTCGCTGACGCGGTATTGGGATCCATGGATCAAGCTCCTCGCGAAGCGTTTGTCGCCGCCGCATTTCTACCTCGCGAGAGGACCCAGGTCATGGGCACGCTGAACTTTGTGAGAACTTTGGCTGCGAGTCTGGGCCCGGTGGTCACAGGGCTCGTATGGAGTAAACAGACGTGGTGGGTGCCATTTGAAATAGCGGCAGCTCTGAAGATCTGTTATGACGTGGGCCTGTTGATTATGCTGTTGAAGACCCCTCTCCCAGAGGAACACAGACGGGCGGTGGGTGGTTCGTTTGATGGCGAGAGCCAACATATGACAATGACTGCAGCCGACATGGATGTAAACGTTCTATTGGACGAGTTGGCCACCAGCAGCGGTGGAATGATTCCGCCGAGCGAGTTTGAAGTCAGTGACGACGAAGGAGAGGACGACAGGATGATGGTCACGGAAGTGCGGGAGGACGCTTCCGCGCTACCAAAATATGACGAGTAGCAGCAATGTGTGTCTATGTTTGAGACGGATGTTTCGAATTGGGTCTAGGGAAGTGTGGTTAGGGTCGTGGCATAGCTGGTAGGGCATGACTGACTCTCTATTTCGGGGTTGAGGCTATGGGATGGATGTACCGGAGTCACTGTTAATGGTCTTTCAATATCGGTGGAAGGACTGACAGCAAACGAGTTTCTCGGTCTAATACTCGGCGATATGTACCAGTCGAGATGAGGAATACACAAATCATGGTAGACTGAAGAGCAGTTGGGGAATCTTTCAAGGGAAAACGGGTAACTGTCTTCACGTCAGTGGCGACGATTGAACAACATCAGGCGCATCCTCTACAAGGCTTTTCAGCTTTGAGCGGGGTAATGCTAGCAAAGTATCGTGTCCCATACTCTTATTCTGCCCTCAGAAATCTAGTCTGACTTTATGGAGACATACAGAGCAAGGCTGCTGATCTGCGAGGCTGTAATGCCAAGACATCCATCGGCGAAATAAACTCCGCGCCCCGACTTGTGGAAACAAAATTTTGTCCCAGCGCAAACGCATCAATTCACAGATACCCTGGGCATTGGTGTACGAGGGTGAACTCTGCAAAGCGCCAGCCATGTCCGTCCAAGTAAAAAGCACCCATACCACAAATTCGACCCCCGTGAAGGATGCCCAATCATCGAGCCCTCTCAAAAAGCGAAAACGCGACCCCGAAGGCATCGAGACCTCCAAAAAGAAGAAAAAGCCGCGGACTGAGGATGTCGCGGAAAATCCAGCAAGTGCAGTTGCTGAGATAGAAACTCCTGCGGAGCGGAAGGAGAAGAAAAAGAAGAAGAAGGGGGAGAAGGAGAAGAGCAAGAAATCCAAGAACGAGGGCGATGCCGCTGCACGGAGGGTAGGAGATGAGGAAGCGTTGGTGGCGCAGGAATTGGGATCAGAAGATGAGGAAGCGGTTCACGAAGACTTGCAACAGACTGCAGAGGCAGAAGCAGCCGTCGTGGATGGTTCAGATGCAGAGGTCGAGGAAGAAGCAGAACTCAAGCTGCTGGAATCAGAAGATCCTAGCTCCTTCTACTCTACCCGCCTCTCACTCTACCTCTCGATACCTGCCGTCTCACTCGAAGCCGCCAAGTCATCGGTGCTTGCAGTGCACCTGGCACCTCTGCTTCTGACATACTTTCCTCCGGCGCAAGGCATCGTTCTCGGGTTCTCCGACGCCGTCTTATCCGCCCAACCTAACTCCGGCATTAACCTGCCTCTCCTACCTCCCCGAAACGGCGAGATCGAGGCACAAGCCGATGTACTTGCAAACACAGCCGACGAATTTGGTGTGTGTTGGGTCTGGCTCACAGCTACGTTTCTCGTGTTTAGACCCGAAAGAGGCGACGAGCTATACGGATGGACGAATGTCACGTCGGAGGGCTTCGTGGGCCTGGTGAGCTACAACTACTTTCAGACGGCCATTGGCAAGAGCCGTATCCCTCCGGAGTGGAAATGGAACGGGCCGAGCAGGGAACAATTGCAGAAGACCAAGAAGAAGGGCAGAAAGGGACGACTACGCGATGAGGACGGCATGGAAAATGAGGGGGATCGCAACACACAGGAGACTGACACAACAATGGTGGAGGCTCCTTCCTCACATGCTCTACTGGCCGATGATGGCGGGTACTTTGCAGACGCCAGTGGGACGAAGATCAAGTCGACGCTGAAATTCCGCGTGGCGGACACAGAAATAGTTCCGGCGCATGACAGGCATAAGTGGTCCTTGCAGATTGACGGCACCCTCCTCGACGAAGAAGCTGAGCGGAAAGTCCTGGAAGAAGAACGGACGAAGTTTGAGCGGGCGCAGGAGAGCAGTCGATTCAAGTCTCTGGGAGGAGACGACGCGGCCGCAGTGATGAGTGGAGCGTTGAGGCGATCGCTGAGCCGGGAAGGAAGTGTTGGCTCGAGGATTTCCGGACACACGCCGGCGCGGCATCGAGTGACTTATTAGAGCCCCTCTATAGTACCCAGCAAAGTTGGACTTGTAGTAAAAGGACGTGGGGACTATGTGCCAATGATCTGACGACCTGTACCTGAAGATTTCTATATTTGTGTGATACTTGATACCATGTAATGGGCTTTAACAATCGCCTCACCATGATTGGCCGAGCACGTGTATTGGGATCCTCGGGGCATCAGCGGGGCGCATGGAGTGACGCAATGCACTTTTTGGGCTCTTACAGCGCGCAATGAGCAAAGCACGCAAGCACCAAGTCAAGTCAATGGAAGGTCCCCGCAGGCACGCAGAAGAGACGCTGCGCTCACCATTTCGAAACAATGGCCGCATCATCATCCACGTGTAAAGCGACGAGTCTGGTATTCCTTCGCTCTCTCTCCTAGCCATTGTTGACCTCTGACCACCCACGGTCTCTCCCCAGATCACCTTTCTCTATCAGCGACCCGGACTTTCACAATTGATGTTTAGCCGATCCACTGCCCGCTGCTTCTCCGTGTCTTCTGGCCCATTTAGACCTCTCTTATCTCCAACTGTTTCCTTGTCTGCTGGCCCCCGACCTGGCCGACCCCTCACCTCTACCAGACCGTCACTGATTGCTAAGACCTTCTCGAGCAACACCTTCAGGATGGCGCAGGAATTCAAACTCAAGGATCTCGATAAGCTTGACTTGCAGGATTTGGAGAAGAGGGAAGTCGAAGTCGAAGGCATCGAAGGCGGCAAAGTCCTCCTGTGTAAAGTTGGTGGTCAGGTACACGCATTGAATGCCAACTGCACACATTATGGGGCGCCATTGAAGTTGGGTGTCTTGACGCCCGAGGGACGACTGACATGTCCCTGGCACGGAGGTATGCGACATCACTACTATTGAGGCGTCGATCCTAATCTGGGGTACAGCCTGCTTCAATGCACGCACCGGTGACGTCGAAGACGCCCCTGCTCCGCTGTCGCTGAATGCTTTCGATCTTGTTGAGAAGGACGGTGGAGTATATGTCAAGGGAAAAGAGGCAGACATCAAAGGTGGAAAGAGAACAGTCAATATCAAGACCACGCCCTCTTCTCAAGACAAACTAGTCATCGTCGGAGGGTATGTTCCGTGTTGACTCAATTCCCCATTGGGAGCAGCTCGCTCATTTCTGGTATAGCGGATCAGGCACATTCGGCGCCCTTCTCAAACTGCGTGAACACGGCTACAAAGGTCACATCACGGTCGTTACCGATGAAGGCTACCCGATCGACCGGACGAAACTCTCCAAGGCCCTGATCACCGACGCGTCGAAGCTCTATCTACAGCCCGAACAGTGGTACTCGGAAGGCTCGATAGAATTCGTTCCGGATACAGCCACCGCTGTTGATTTTGATGGCAAAACCGTCCAAACCAAGGCCGGGAAATCCCTCCCATACACCAAACTCATCCTTGCCACAGGCGGCACGCCACGTCAACTACCCCTCCCTGGCTTCAAGAACAACGAGTTGAGCAACATCTTCCTGCTGCGGAAAGTCAGCGACGTGCAAAACATCATGAAGGCCGTGGGCGACAAGGGTAAGAAGATTGTCATTGTCGGCACCAGCTTTATTGGTATGGAAGTCGCAAATGCGCTCGCCAAGGAAAACTCGGTAAGCCTTGTGGGAATGGAATCCGCACCACTCGAACGGGTCATGGGGACCGAGGTGGGCAAGATATTCCAGCGTAGCCTCGAAAAGAATGGCGCCAAGTTCTACCTGAATGCCGGTGTCGACTCGGCCTTACCATCACCCAAGGCCGCCAGCTCTGTCGGTGCTGTGAAGCTGAAGGACGGCACCGAACTCGAAGCCGATCTCGTAATTCTGGGAATCGGCGTGTTCCCCGAAACCACATACCTCCGCAACAACCCCAAAGTGCAACTGGAGAAGGATGGCAGTATTTCCGTCGACGAGAACTTTGCCGTCAAGGGACTGCAAAACGTTTGGGCCATCGGTGATATCGCGACGTACCCCTACCACGGACCCGGAGGAAATGGCAGCCCCGTGCGCATTGAACACTGGAACGTCGCGCAGAACCAGGGTCGCACTGTGGGACAGCTGATCGCTCAACCAGGCAGCAAGCCGAAACCTTTCATTCCCATCTTCTGGTCGGCGCTCGGTAGTCAGTTGAGGTACTGTGGTTCGACGGCGAACGGGTGGGACGAGTTGGTGCTGAAGGGCGAACCCGAGAACAGCAAGTTTGCGGCATACTACTGCAAGGGCGACACGGTGGTGGCCATGGCCAGCATGATGATGGACCCGATCATGGTCAAGTCGGCCGAGTTGATGAGACACGGCAAGATGTTGAGCAAGAGCGATATCCAAGGTGGCCAGGACGTGTTGCAGGCGGCTCTGTAATGATATGCATTTCCGACGAGTTGAATACATGAAATGAATTAGCATCATGTGTCCATGAACAATGATCGTCCCCGCCGACTCTGCCCCCTCTGGACACCCCGCGTGATTGCACAACAGTTGCTGACGGCGCTTCAAAAAGCGGTCCGCGAACGAGCCAAAAAAGGCCAAGGAAGTTGTTCGACTACAAGATTCGACACAGAACTCCCGGCGATGCCTCGCACGAGGATTTGACATGTGTCACTCACTACCCTAGGTGAGTAGGTGAGTGGCTCTACTTGTCACTATCCAGGTGAGTGAATTCAACTACTCGGTATTCCTTCTGTGGTTCCCTACTGGACTAGCTGGCGAGCTCCAAACATGTAGAGAGTACCTCGTTGCCTTGTTCCCCATTATACCATATACCAAGATACTCCGGTGGCCCTGGCTGCACCACTTCTGGAGAGCGTGTCGACCCAAAGGAGTTAGCGTGACTACCCTAAGCCCAATCCGGTCAGTCAACGGCACTGATTCATTCATCGACTAGCTGAATGCGGATGCAACAACGCCTCAGCGCTCACGTTACTTGATTCCACGTTGGCCACGAGATCAAGCCCGGATGGCGTTGTCGAAGGACGTACTCGGTACTCATGCTCGGCCTGCGAAATCAGTGTACGGCACCCACTCACGTTTCTGCTGGGATTGGATTCAAAGTTACCACGACGAGGTAGGTATATAGTCTTTGTAGAAGCCGTTCGGCCCCCAGAACCGTCGGCCGTTTGTCGAAGCATTTCCGCGAAAAGCGACAACGCCGTGGGTCGGTACGTTTGGGTCAAGGTCCACGGCCAGGAGGCGCGCCTGTACTACATACGAGGAGGCTGGGATGGGGACTACTTCGTTACTTTGTCAAGCGACCGCCGGTGCCGACAAGTCGCCAGTATCGCCATCTCCTCGCGGACCCTGAAGTATCAGAAACGCTTCCGCATGATTACATACGACTTGCCCGTACCACAGGCAGGTCGTTGCCTCCCTTCCGGTGACCGCTGGTTGGGAGAAGATCTACAGCCCCAGACCTTGACTACTTGATGAACTGGGTGGTGGCGTTCTCAGACGCCTTGAAACTAGAGCAGCCATTGTTTTGCTCGTTCGAACAAAGTCTTGCCCGGTGTGGTGTGCAAGGGGTGAGTTTAGTAGGCAATCGTGGTAATGTTCCCGGACGTTGGGAAACGTGTGACATGCATAACGTATGTAATAAACTCTCCACCTTGCGTCGCAGGGATGGGTGCCTGGTGGGCGCTGGGTAGGTAGAATGGTACTTGTACCGGGTTAGGTAGTCAAGAGACCTCGTCTCTGTCTGATACAGAGCCAGAATAACCAGAGACAGAGATTTCCGCCGTGGCTTCCCTAGGAATTGTTTCCGAGTATTGGATCCTCGTCCTTGTCATTGTACTCGGTACTCGGTGCTCGATATGTACTCTGTACTCTTACCGAGGCACGAAGTATAAAGTAAAAGACAGGGGATGACCCTGTGGAAATGGCATGCATGGCAGTTTGGATAGGAGTTCAATCTCCCCTGGGCCCGCGTGCCCGGCCCAGCCTTTTCAAGCCCCCAAGAATGTTGGCGTACAGCCGTTTCAAACCTTCATCGACCCGTCGACCCGCTCCGCGGTGAAACAACGGGGGGATTTGCGTGCCGGGGTTCCCCTGAACCCACATACCTTGTAACTGGTGGTAGTGACAGGAGTTGTTGTCACTACTCGTAGATCAAAAAGCTTGATCAGGCCCCAACCTCCTTGTACCATAAACTGGTAGGAATCGGAATCAAACGTGGGTGGCTTGAGGTAAAGGAACTGGGATAACAAATGGTTCATACGAATATACACATTTGGTGGTTGGCAAAGGCTATACATGCCAAGGTATCATACAGTTATATACATGCAGAGGCAGTCCTACTGCTGCCCTCGTCACCAAGCCCAGCCGACAATGGCTGGAGTCTCTTCCTCCTCTTGTTATAATCATGGCCATTCAACTTCGTGTTCACGTTCCCCCTTGCACCAAAAAGGTGATCTTCTGGGAGATCTTGGAGCTGGTCCAAGCCATACTGGTACAATGAGTGCTCGTCTGAGTGCGTGCTGCCGCCCGTGCTGTGAGCCGTTCCTCCAGCTAGTATCTCGAGACCTGTACAGTCGTGGTTTTTGTGATGGCCCCAGGGACCGGTTTCGTCCATGGACTCTCGCTGCTGACTGCGTGAAAATCTTGCTCCAACATAATCTTGTCGCTGTTGTCATCGCCCGCGCTCACCGTGCTGGTGACCTTTGGTACTTTTTGGCTCGCGCCTCTCTGCAGCTCTCCCAGCTCGGTCGACTGTCGCGAATCGAATTGATAGTATTGGCTGGCGGGTTTGTGTGAGGTGCGCTTGTCGGTTCTGCTTCGACTATAGGCAAGCCCGTCGGCATTGTACCCATAATTTGCACGATTGCGGCTGTTGTTCGACGTGAATCGCTGCGTGACACCGAGAAGTTTGGCAAACAGCGGACGCAGCGAAGGCAACGAAGCAGCCAAGATACCGATATTGAACTCGATGTTGTTCCACATGAAGAAGGAATCGTGAAAGGTCCAGTCAGGGTCTTCGAGAGCATGGGCCTGTTTGACTGTCTTGATAATGCTTGAGACGCAGGCGAATAGGCCCAAGCCTAGGACAAAACATAGAGTCAGCTTTGTCCGCAGATTTGCTTGCAGCTTCCACACCACCGGTATGGGGAGCAGTGCAAAAAGGACATCCGTGGCAATGTTGACGCTGCTGTTGAAAATACCAATATTTGTAAACGTGTTGTTGCTGAAACATTTGGCTTGTCCAGTCGCCCGCAGACCAAAATTCCAGTTCGCATCCACACGCGTGCCGCAGTTGAAGATCAGAGTGCCTGCGCAGGATATTGTAAAGGCAACGAGAAAGACAATGCACCCCAAAAGAAAACGCTGGTGGTTTTTGCTCAGCACAAATCTGCGCAGGAAGAATGCAATCGAGATCTTGACAAGGCTTATGCCGACCATGATGATTATGGAATGGAAGAATCGCCAGTGCGAAAAGAGAGTGGCATCAGGCAAGCTGACAAGCGCTGGGTGCCTCCCCAGTTGCCCAGCATTGCTCTCGCCCACGAAACAGACAATGACGCCGATTTCGCAAACCTGGTAGAATACTCAGTTAGAGAAAATGCTCGGGGTGAAGGGCTATGCCTCTCAGGAGACTAACCGCAGCTGCTATCATAACATAGTCATCAACCCCGAGGCTTTTGAGCAGGAACGCTCTCACGAAGACTCGAAGGAGAACCGTGAGGATAGCAACGCCTCCGAAGGTGCCGTGTATTGCGAGCAGGGCGCCGGCGTTGGATTCATCCTTGTATTGAGGAGTAGCAGCGGCTTGCCTCTCCAAAAGCTGAGAAAGACCCGAGATAACCATGGCGTTGCTGAAGGCGTGTCAATTGTCGCATCAACCAGGCAAGGCAGTTGTAGGTGGCCTGTGACATCTGGACAATGCGAGATTGACGGGGTTGAAATTGTCAGAACAAGATGGTTCAAAGCTCTTTGTAGTTTCAAGTTGGGTATGCCAACTCATTCTGAGCTCGCTCCCCTGTGGACATGAACCGCGGAGCTCCTCCTCTTGAGATCCTGCGCTTTTCGCAGTTTCAAGACACAGAAAAACCTCGGGTGGAGACGGGGAGACCTGGCCGGCATTTGATACCTTAGGAGCTATGCCATTTCAAAAGCTCAACAGAGTCACCTTTGGTCTAGTCCTGGTTGCATTTTGTTGCCTTTGGTGTGGTTGTTGTGCCTTGTCTATAATCCCATCGAGCGCCAACTTGGGACTACCCACCAAAACAGGGAGACAGGAACGCCGGCGCATTGTTCGCGCTGGGTAAATACCCCTAGCGTTCTGTGCTGTACTCAGGTCAGAAGAAGAGTTACAGACCTCGACACTTCCCTTCCTGTCCACATGTGTCGTCCATTTGCCACTTCAGCGTAAGAGTGGATCAATGCCTGGTCCAGGGGAAAACTCACTTTCTGACTGCATGAATCTTGCCCTGAAGGGTATAACAGCGGTGCAGGGGAGCGTGGAGACATCTGGCCGAGGCGCTGCCTTTGCATTAATATTGTGCAATAATATTTGATCACTTTAGCGAGCTCCAAGGGGTTGGATGGTTCTTGCATGGATTATGCTTGGAATTCTCCTCACGCTCAGACAAAAGGTTGCAGTATAGCGCGATAGACCCCGGGCTGGAGGAGACAGAAATGTAACCAAGCTCGGCGTTCCTCGGCGCAAGTGACTCGTGATGGTCGAGTAAGGCCTTTCACGGTGAACGACCTTCGTGTGGGCCATACTAGCTGCTGAGTCCCATGAAAGGATGAAGGAGAGTGCGATGTCATGATGGAAAGTATGTGATTAAGTCAACAACCCGACAATGCAGCGACTCATACCTCGTGCAGTACGAGGTCCTCATAGTCACACACGTACAGCACATGGGCAGGAGAGAAATTGTGCAAGAAAAAGTCCTTGGCAGGGGTTGGAATTAGCCTTTTGCGCTAGCAGTGTACTATACTATTTATGGTATAGTCGCCGCAACTCTACCCCGGATGGTCATTTTAGCGTCTCGTTCCGCTCGGCACGTTCCAAATGACCAACGTGGCCATCTGCCCTCGACCAAATATCTCTTCTGCAGCAAAATCCCATCTCTGCGAAGGATCCCGCGTGAATTTACCCCCTCACCATAGAACCTGCCACCCAGGTATACGCACAGTTTGAGGTACCAAATTCTCGCTCTCTTTGCCCTTGACCAACATTAGCTTCAGACCCGGTGTCTTGATGATGGCCCCAATATACACACCTGCAATCTCTAGACCCTGTCAATGTCTTGTATTGTATTGTGGTGCAATTGCCGAAATCAGTCATCATGGCCTGGGTGCCAGGGTCCATGAACGGCTGTGATCGGCACAAAGCCCCATCATGCTACGAGTACCTGGTCCATGCAGGGTTCCATTCTCACACACCACTTCACACAACTTACCCACATGGATCATGATGCTTTTGATCACCTCCGCTTGAAGTTCACTGATGTGGTCGCCTATCCAACATCCCCTCCGGAGAGGATCTCGCTAGAGTCTCGCTCTGACTTCCGACGAATGTTTCGATAGTTGTTAAATACCCGAGATGCTTATGCGCGAGTTCAGATAGACTATCGACTGCCGCGTGTCAACGTTTACCATCTCATTTCCTTTGGCTAATGTCTCGCGTGGCCTGCTAACAACCTCGTGGCAGCTATAGGTGCCCCAATAAAGACCGTTATAACCGCAGCGGAACCAGCGGGGATCCAGGTTTCTCTCTTCTTCTGGGAAATCTGCCTCCGCGAAGAGCGTTCCATTATTTGGCTCGAACCTGACTTTTGGTGTCGTCCGTCCACTCCTTGACTTTCTTTGAAAGAGCTTTGTTTCTTCGTACTCTTGCACCATGCATTTTCAATTTCTCCTTCCGGCTTTGTTGGCCGTTGGTCGTGCACGCGCAGCACCAGCTCCCGTTGAGGACAACTTGTCGGAGCGGGATGCGGATGTGTCTACCGCGTCTATCTACATACCAGCCTCAACTCTTCAGACCGATATCCTAGCAGCCAAAGGTCTTGTCAATCTTGCGTTCTATCAGGTGACGAATCCATCGGGCGGAAGTTGCAACTTGCTCAATGCGGCTGTACGCAGAGAATGGTCTACGCTCTCCAAAGACGAGAGGCGCGCGTACATTGACGCGGAGCTGTGCCTCATGTCGAAGCCGACGCAGGACCCCAACTTCGCGGCAGGCGCACGGTCCCGGTACGACGACTTTGTCGCGGTCCATATCAACCAAACCCTGTCCATCCATGGGACTGCAAACTTCCTGGCATGGCATCGGACCTTCACGTGGAACTTTGAACAGGCGCTTCGAAACGAATGCGGCTACACGGGGTATCAACCGTACTGGAACTGGGGCAAGTACGCCTTTGATCCTCTCCACTCGCCCCTGTTTGACGGCAGCGATTACAGCATGTCGGGCAACGGTGCTTATGAGCCACACGGCTGCACCGAAGGCCTGCCCACGCAGATCAACTGCATTCCCCCCGGGTCTGGCGGCGGCTGTGTGAACACGGGACCCTTCAAGGACTACGTGGTCAACTTGGGTCCCGTGGCACCGACCTTGGATATCCCGGGCATCATCAACTACTCCTCTCCAGACCCTCTGGCCTACAATCCTCGCTGTCTCCGTCGTGACATTTCATCCTGGGTGTCTTCCAACTGGACCAAGGACTCGGACTCGTACGACCTGATCTCGCACTACAACGACATTCTGTCGTTCCAGAACCGCATGCAGGGTGATTTCAGCGTCGGTTTCTACGGCGTCCACACAGGCGGGCACTTTACGACCGGCGGTGACCCGGGCGGCGACCTCTTCGCCTCGCCCGCGGAGCCGACGTTCTTCCTGCACCACGCGCAGATCGACCGGACCTGGTGGATCTGGCAGAACCAGGACCCGAAGAACAGGAGGAACGCCTTTGCGGGGGGCACCTCGACGTTGGATCCCGTCAACAGCCCACCCGGACAGCTGACCGATCCGATCATCATGGGTAGCCTGGGGCAGACGATACAGAACAAGGACGCACTGTGGACGACCGCGGGTCCTTTCTGCTACATCTACGTCTGAGAGAAGCGGAGGAGGACGACGAGGGAGAAGGGAGGAGAAGAGCCCGTTTTTGTACGTCCACGAACTTTCTCGACCCTGGGTATGCAAGAGAACCCACAGGAGTTTACAGCAAGCAGCATACACACATACACATACGCATACATACACGGAGATTTATTGGGCATCACGCCTCGTACATAATGTTTATTCTTGGAACCAGTTGCCGGTCTGGACAGTTGCAGATGATCTTCCTTGTGCCTCTCCATATGACTACACCCGAGTGTATGCCCACCTATGCAGGCTTTCCAGGCTTTCCAGGCTTTCCAACCTGGCCATACGCGTCTGCTGTCCTGTCTCCATCGCCACGTGAGACCAAAATGAAAGGACGCGTCAAGACTCGAGAGATGTTGAGAAGGAGCTTGAATCGCATAACTCCACGTACCGAGTACTGACCTAGTATGTCCTTGTTTGTCGTGCTCGATACACGTGTACGAGGTACTCGGTACATCTATATGCAGTTCAAGTGGTCCCTCCGACTTCAAAGGGGGTTTGTTTCCCTCGCATCTGAAACGGCAAGGCTGACTTGACCTTTAAAGGCAGCAACGCCCCTTTTTATCTCTTATTACTTTTCACTCGTTGGATTCCCCACAAACAGACGAGGCAGTGCAAGGCTGTCTCGATTCACTCCACGTCTCCTGAGACACATTTCCCTCCCCACCGTTTAGACCTGAAACACATCATCCATCCAAAAAGGAAAACAAGAATAATACGTTATTTTTTTTCCTGATCGGAGAATTGTGTTCACTTTTTTTTCGGATTTTCGCCCAACACCCAACACAGCCACCCCCTCTACACACTCTCTCGACACTTTTTACCTCGTACACGGGGTTTCGACCAATACCTTTTCTTTTTCACCACAACCTTTTTTCACGACGCAATTTTTCACCGTTTTCCTTACTCTCCTTCACTTCAATTCTACTGAGTAGATCGGACACGTTCCCAGGAACCTCCATTTTCCTTTGGCCTCACGAAACCGTCATACTAGCTTAGCTGGCACTGGGTACGAGGTACTGATCACTACCTACCTGACGCGCGGCAAGAATTCTCCACAAAAGGTATGTAGTACGTGTTTCATATCCCCCAAAATTGATTCATTACCCCTGTACCGAGACTGGTCATGTGATTAACCCCAAGATCGATAGATTGTCGACATCAACTTTGTTCATTCTCTAGCACAACACAACGCAACACAAAAGTCAGGCAGGCAGGACAGCACAGGAGAGCACAAGGCAGAATAGGCCAGGGCAAGGCAGACTGGTCGACTGGTGAGCTTGCTAGCAGGCTAGCAGACATCAACGGGGACGAGATATTCGTCGACACACGCGCCCCCCCAAAATGTTCGACCTCGTGAATTGGTTGATGCTCATGTGCTGCTGGTGCTGCGACCGCAAGGACAGGGATGAAGAGGAATACGACATCTCGGAGAGTAAACGCCGACAGGAACACGAACGCGAGGGTGAGAGTCGAGGCGGGTCAAGAGGGCAGGACGGCAGGGGTGAGCAGAGTCAAGGACAAGGACAGGAACAGCCACAGTCAGAGAATAAGGAGAAGAAAAAAATGCCACCGCGACTAGCGCATGCGCCGGTGCTGGAGACGTCGTCATGATCCAGGCCCGGTCCACAGAGGTCAGCGTCCAGCCTGTAATGCTGGGCTATTTCATCCCATGTCATCTCAATGCGAGATTCTTGCCTGCGGAGGTGGTGGTCGCTGGGTCGAGGTCAAGGGAATCGACTGGCCGGGGCGCAAAGATGAGCCGTGCCTCCTAGAGAGCAGATAGAGTCGAGTCCTCGCCTCTCCAGTCGCTAAATAGTGAAGAAGAGTCCTTTACTATCCCTCCCTCGCCACGCCAGGAGGCCACCAAACCAACCAAACCCCAAACCCCAAGTTCCTTCAAAATTCCGACCAAACGCGGAGCAATACAAATCCAACCCAATTTCACTTCACTTCAGTCACCCTTTTTTCTTCTTTACCCACTCGCCGCCGCTTCCTCCCCCCCCTCCTTGAAACTCCCCCCCCGGCGGCTCCTCCGCATACTGTAGCGCATCCTTGGGGATATCCACCACGGCCGACCTCGTCCAGATGTGCACCGCGCGACGCATCATCTCCTTGGACAGTCCGTCGAGACAGCCCGCCTTGACGCTCAGGGTGCGCGGCTGCGACGTCGACGACGACGACGACGACGACACAGCCACATGGACCAGCCGACTCCCGCACGTCGTGCAAAAGTACCCCTCGGTGCGGCCGTGCGGGTTCGGGCGCGCGTACACGGCGATGGCGCCCGGACGGGGCGCGAACGCCGCGATGTCGAAGAAGGGGAAGATGGCCGTCATGCCGTACGTCGAGGACGACTGGTGTCGGCACTCGGTGCAGTGGCAGATGTACAGCGCCTGGGGTTCCGGGAGGGGCGTGCGGAACCGGATCTGCCCGCATTGGCAGTGGCCTTCCATGAGGATCTCGCAGTCACAGTCACAGAGACGGGGACGGGGACAGAGATAGAGATACAGATACGGACGCAGACAAGCGCGCAGTCAACTGTTGTCCTGTAAGTCGTGAGTGAGGCGATGGGGCTGTGGTAGTCTCCCTCCTTGATACATGAAACACACCTTGGTTTGAAGTGCCCGTGTCACCTTTTTTTTTTTCTTTGGTTATCACGATTCAACGCAATGATCGTTCCGCGCTGGGTCCCGCCGAGCCTCCAGCGGGGGAGGGGACTCGACATTTTGTCTCTCCGCGCCCTTCGACCCCTCATGCCACACCTTCGTATACCTATGTACAGTACCTCGTATATGAGTAGGTACCTACACACCTAGCCAGGCGTGCCAGATACCTAACATCAGTCGAGGCGACTAACCGCCCAATCGCCGCAGTCCCCAATCATCAATTACGTCTTTGTACTTACTTACTCTGATCGAATAGCCTGGTGGGAAGGCCCTGATGCCATCTGCGCAGTCTCTATGGCAATGAGACGACAAAGTCTAGCAGAACCACCACATGTAGGCATGACGCTCAAGAGCATTCCACAATATCGTTCTAGGACGAGCAAGGTGCTTTTTGTTAGATTGGCGTAACATGTAGCTCGGTATCTGACAAGTTCTCCAGTAGAGTATACCGACCGTACAGCATACCATGATCTGCCATTGTACCGACGACCATCTCGTGATTCGGCGAGAATAGATACCGAGTCTGTTTACCTAGATGTATGTTCCGAGTACCTAGCGAGTAGCGAGTAGGTATGCATGTCGTTGTGGTTGGTTGGGGTTTCAAGTGCCGTCGTGCCGTAAAGCGAGCCGAACTTGAGAGATAATGTACTCGGTACCCCATACTTCGAGCGCCTGTTGGCAGTTTCTCCCGTACGGGCTCCATGATCGCGCATCTGACCCATCAGGACCATGTTTCCTGCGGCAAAGGCCCTCAAGCCATGCCGTGGCATATGCGCTGGTACCTTAGGTATGTTGGTACCACAGTGTCCCGGGCTTATGCTCTGCTGCGACGACCTAAAACCATGCCAACGGCGGCAGAGGAACACAAGTGCCCGCCTACATACATGTTGTCACCGTCTTTGAGGGCCGTGGTCTGCGTTTCTGCCTCTTATCTTTTGCATGTTGTCAATCTTTTGGGACCCCTTGTATATGGGAATGCATTCTCTCCTCGGGAGGAGAGCCGTAAGCTGCGCCTGAGAAGATCTTATCGGTGTACTGAGTCTATGTCACTCCACCACTTCAAACGACCGGTATCGCGGCAGCCGTGGCGCCTGGCCAGACCACAGCTACTCGTAAACAACCCTGTCCAGGCGCCTTATGTGTCTGTGTCTGACTAGACGGCAACAGTGTCATCGACTTGACCGAAATATACTTTTTGGAATCGAATGACAATCTCAAGCTTTCTGACCGTTGGGTGCGCGAGGGCGCGAGGCGGCTCGGCGGGACAGTCAGTCAGAGAGGGGAAAGGCAGTAGGCGACAAGGTTGCGAGTTGAAAGACGGGGACCAGCTCTCTAAGCGAGGTCTAGGGCTCCTAGTTAACGATCGACATGCCTAAATGTCCAGATTGGGGTGGCTTCGGGCTTCACCAAAGGCGGGATCCCTCTCGGTCCGGCTTAGCAACCTGTTCACAATCGGCCAAGTCCAAACCACGGGAAGCCTGGGAAGGCAAACAAGTGGCTGTCATCACTCGTCGACATCGAACCGTCTCAAAGCGAACAACAAATCTGAGCGGGGCACCCTCAACAAGTCGAACCATTTGGCGTTTCGTTGGATGTTTCGGCCGGCAAGCGAGCGCCTATTCCCCCGTTGACGAAGCTCGTATGAGGACGCCCACACCCCGTTTCGTCCCTCGCGATTTCTCAAGTATCCCTCAACTCCAGCCCCTCTCATGAGAACCCTGGTTGTCACTCCTGCCGGAACCTTGTATTCAACGAAGCAAGGGTGATGTAAGAGTTGTAAGTTGGGGGCCGGGTTGCTCGTAACTATGCCGGAATCGAGCTTGTACGGTACGGAGACTCCCCCGACAGATTGGGAAACAGACGACGTGGATACGTCCGAAGATGAGTTGGCTTCTGCTGCGGGAAATTCCCATGGACCAAAGGCTCGCAGTACGACCTCGTACAGTACCCCCAGTGTCAGATCGCGGCATCTCATCAACAGTCCGAAACCGCCTGCGCCCAAAGCTATATCAGCATGCCTCGTCGACCCATTCGAGACATTGCCCATCGAGGTAGATGGAGTGACAAACCAGCTCCTTCACTTCTACGGCCAGAACAGCTACTGGCAAACTGCCTATGCCCTGTCTCCCAAGATAAAACCCTCGATCAAAGGATCCTGGGAGTATCAAGCGGGCTCATGTTTGACTCATTTCCATACGTTGATGGCTCGTTCAGCACTGCACCAACTGCGCATGAATGCCAAATACGCCACGCCGGCCACTAAGAAGGCCCTGGAGTATGCGGCATTGAAGCACCAGACCAAAGCAATCACAATTCTTCGGGAAAACGTGGAACTTGGCTCCAACGCCGATCTCAAACTGATCTTGACGTCCATCATCAGTCTCGCGTCGTTTGAGCAACGATATGGAGAGCGTGAGAGGGCTGTGCTTCACTTTAGGACCGGAAGGGATATCATCCGTCAGATCGGCCTGCAAGACGGCCTCCACGATCGGTTGAGAGAGGAACAGGCGCTTTGGTTCGAGGGGATCTATCGGGACCCCGAGGCGAGCTGGATGTGGGGTGGAGAAGACGCAAATATGCGACTGGGGTGGCTAAAGTCTCTCCTCAGAGACGTCGATCGGATATGGAAAGATAGGCAGTTGTTGCCCCTGAAAGACAAAGGCCCCTACGTCGTTGAGGATTTGAGGGTACATGAGTTCCTGTTCCGGGAGACAACAGGGAAGAGTGTGAGTGTCTATGGCGACATCGATGAGTTCATCGCACAGCAACGGTGCGTCCTGATCCTCATTTCGATCATGTGCGGAGTCCTCGGAGTATTGGCAGGGCAGACTCACCTAAAATTGGTGTCCAAGATGATGGCACTGCAGGTCGCAATCCAAGCCTATGTCGGGTACATTGAAGATTTGTTGGTCGAGCATGATCTAGGCAAAGAGCAAGCGGTGGCCGATCTGCTTTGGATGATGTGCCAGAACTATCGCGATGCAAAGCCACGCTTGGCGAGTGCTGGGACAGTGATGGTGCGAGATGCCCTGCAAAAATTGAACTTGCGGGATTGTCACTGGTGTGCTAGCGGGATTGCCAACCTGGTGAAGTATCTTCCTCAAACCCGGCAGTTGAGTTTGAGGAATATGCTTCTCGACTTCATCAGTGGCGAACCATATTCGGGCAAGATCAAGTTCAACGAATTCGAGTTCAGCTATGTCGGCGCCTGATTACTGACCACATCTGACAACGGCGCGTCACCTGGTAAGAGAGCCAGGGATCGACGGACAGGGACATCGGTCAAAAAGGTCGAGTCAGACCCCATCGAGCCAGTCGATGTAGGGTGACACAAGGACAGAGACTGTCATTTACCTTCAGCAGACGGTGCCATTCCGGAGGCAGATTCCAAAAACGGTCGTTTGCATAAGAAGCGAAGAAAGTGCGGAAACCCCTCCCAAATGAAGCCCAAACACAACGAGCCGTGGTGTGTGAGATCGTCCCCAAGTGGCCAGAAGGAGGAGAACTTCGACATCAGTGGGAAATGACTCGAAACCTGAGAAGGATGAACGGCACTAGACGTCCCAAGGTATGCCTTTCAGCAGTAGGACCACAATGAGGGAATTGAATCTCGAGTTGTCTTTGGCTCAGTCCGACATCGTCTATTGCCAGGCTGAAAAGCCGTGCATTGTTTCCATTAGTCTAGTTCGTTGATCCGCAGACGGGCATTCTGGATTCGATCTTGTGCTGATAATGATGGCAAGCGTGGGGAAAAGCAAGTCTTGCTTCCTAGGCTCCCGAATCCCGGTCCCCCGCCTTGAGCGTGATGATTGTCTCGTGTGACTCTCCAAGTCTAGCTCGGCACGGCACGAGGGTGAGAGATACTCGAGGCGATGCAAAACCCTGGAGGAAACGACACCAACTCGGTTGGCGGAGGTCCTGAGGAATTGTACTTAGGTAAATCTGGCTGTAGTGTTTGACCGCGGATGCAAGGTTGGAAGTTCCGGCGCGGTCCACCCCCACGACCTGATCGACATCGCCTATCGGATTCGTTGCATCCAGAACTGCGTCCACGAGCGTCATCCTCAACGCCTGGGGGCGTTTCTCCAGGAAGGAGAATTCAAAGCATACAGGCGCTACACCGTGGTCAAGGGCGCTTCAGACCATGGTGTCTGGCGCTGTGATCATCCCAGACCATGGTACCAGGATACTTAAGGGTCCGTAGTCCGAGTTGAATCGCGAGAGAGAAGTATCCGCTGATATGCTGTTGACACGAGAGAACAAAGTGTTGTGCTTCCATTGACTATTTGACGGCTCTCAGCCGTCGGGTCTGCCTTTCCAGCCATTCAAGAATGGATCGACAAATTGTTTGGATGACCTCTCCACCCAATGAACTCTCGCTGCCTGGAGAGGAAACTTGTGCAACTCTGCTTGTGCATTCTGGGGCACAATTCGACAACCATTTCGTGCACCCTCCTACCTGCAAACACCACTGTGAGATAGCTGTGGTTCGAAGCCTCGAAAATACGCACTTTGCAAGCAGCGGAAGAGACAAAATCTCGTCCTCAGGCGTCGGGCCAGGCGATACCGACCTGGCTTACTCGATGACGCCATGTAACGTGTGCTTGTGTCTGACTGATGGTCGGATTGACGATGGCGACCTGCACCTGGATGATTTCGGACAATTAGCGAACCTCCAATCCAATAAGGCCCCCACAACAGACACCACACTCATTGTTCAAAGCATGACAGACTCAACGCTGTCTTCGCACGCGCCCGACGATATCTCTGACGATATCTCCGAGTCCAGCTTGCATCAGCAGACACCAGAGCCAGAGTCACAGCAATGGCAGGGTCAGACACGTTTGACATCATTCCTCCTTTCATGGATCTTGTCAGACCAAGGCCAAGATCATACAGAGCGCTGGCTTGCCGGATGCGAACTGCCACATTTTTTCACCCTGGACAGCGATAACATAGTATGGAAATGGAAAGAGACGCCACAGGTGACGGTGCCGCTGGAGGACTGGGAAAATACTGGCTCGTCGGACATGTCGGCCGGCGGGATCGATCTTTGGAGCGATGACAAAAGGTCGCAGAAGACCGAGGTGACCTCCGCTTCATCATTGTGAGCGCAAAGTGAAGGCAATTATCGTATAGTTATGCAAGTTGGTATCCGTTGATTGGGTTGGGTGGTCGACGACGTAAAGCATCACTGTTCGTTATTGCGGCGTTGAATGACCAGAGGCGGTTGAGCGCTGTTTGAGTACCAGTATCAGCAGGGTGCATGGACATGATATTGGCAAATGGCGATTGCATTGTGAGAGGATTGCGTATGAAGAGAGTGAAACTTGGATCTGTTGAGATGATGCATGACCAAGGCTGAGTTCGTGGCTCGGGATTCGCATTTACTTTTATCCGAATTGGCACTCCCAAAATATGAACTGCTCTCTGCTCTCACACGACCGCAGTCAGTAACTGTCTTAACCCTGAGAAGGCCAGCTGTTCCTCTGCGCCGGTGTAGAGACCCAAAAGGCCTCTTTTGTCCCTGGAAATGTCATGACTCCGGCCTCGTCCGATTGAAATGGCTGATAGCGTGGTGACACAAGCCTTCTCTCTTGTGGGATGGGCATTCCTCCCTGCTGTAGGTGGTTCAGCGGCGCAGCGCTTTTGGAGGTATCTTACTGATCTCAACCCAGTACGCTACAGCATTTTTGCAGTCGATATACTATCGTCTGACCATTCGCGCTGGACAACCACACCCGCGGCCCGGTGAACCCATATTTGCCTACCATAACCGCCGCTTACGCGTCTTGGTTTTGTCGCTCTACCTCATATACACCCTCTCCCAAGCCCTCTATGACATTAGACTCTCTGGAGACTTCTATACCCTGCTTGGAGTCACGCCATGGTCGACAGAAAGGGATGTCAAGAGTCGTTTCAGGAAGCTGGCAGCGAAATATCACCCGGACAAGTTGCATGAGAATGGTCAGCCTTTCCCAGGGGCCGATGGACTGTTCGTCCGATTCAAACTGGCGCACGACACTATTTTGGATCCTGCAAAACGATTCGCGTACGATCGGTTCGGACCCGTCATCGTTCAAGTCCAGCATCCTGGGCTCAAAACGATCCGAGACTATGTCTATGCTGGCCTTCGCTCAAAGGCTCCTGAATATTTGTCCAATGCCGGGCTGCTCATTTTGCTCAACTACATATGGCTGCCGAAATGGGGACAATTCTGGCGCTATTTTGCGGTTGCCTGTATGGCGTTTCTGGAGCTGTACTTCCTTACACACATCTGGCAACCTCCGAGACTTGTGGCACTATGGGTGTCGACGGCTCAGAGGCTCTTACCAGATCTCCTTCCACCACATCTTCTTCCGTTCCAAATTCTAGGCCTTGCGAGACGGATGTCCATGTCTGTCAATATTTTCATCTCCCAACTCGCTCCTCCCAAGGCCCGGGATCCGGCTATGAGAGACCTGCAGACGCAGCAGCAGATCGCACACTTGGCTCAGGCGGCGGGTAGATTGGATGCAGAGTCCGGAGGATTGCTTCAATTGGGATTGAGTCCGTTTAAGGGAGATGCAGAGAAGTCAGACCATCTGAGGTCAGGCATGAAGGAGTCGTTGGTCACAAACGCCTTGAAACGAAACCCCGAGGTGAGGGCAGCCGTGCAGCGGGCTCTTGACAGGAGGAGACGAGGACCAATGATGCAGGAACCTGACTGAGGGTGTCCTCGTAGTTATCTCTGTTGACAATATGTTAGACTTCAGGCTACACAATGTCATTTCCTTCTCGTATTCGCTCCTCGTTAATCTCACTAGGTTGGTAGTTCAGCTCATGTGTGCTGATTAGCGAGCGCATTTCTTTTCCGGTCCCGATCTGGGGCAAACGTTGTTGCATACTCTTTTGGATTGTTTACGATTCTATTGCGGACCACTAGTAATGACGGTGATAGGGTGTCAGTGACCGGATTGGAGACCAATGGAGACCAATTTGGAGTGACAGTGAAAGACGAGGCTGGACCAATCGTCCCCTCGGATCGCAGCCGCGGCGATCAAGTGCCACCTTGGAACTTGGGAAAAACGAACGAACGGAACCTTTTCTCCACCATCCCAACGCGACTTGGTGCCAGGCCAGGGCTGGGCTGCTCAGAATCCCGATTATCGCAAGAGACCTCGACCACTTCCACCTTAGACTCCCCTCATCCTCACCTGCGGCTCCTCCTTCTCGAGCCCTTGCGGTCCTCTCCTTCAAGATCTTGCACCATGCTCAGCGCAATATGTCGTCGCCCTTCAATAACACCTCGGCCCGCTTTAGATCATTTTGCGCCACAAACGATGATCTTCTCACCCTCCCAAGCTTGGACGACGCGCGCCGAGACCACATTCCGGACAACGTTAACACCACCGTTATGACCCCGTCCAATGACTCTCGTCCCCAAAGTAGCGATGGGAAATTACGGTGTTGCTGCGGGCGGATAGAATGTGCCTATCTGGAAAACAATAACACTATCCTGGGCGGCATCGAGAGAGATCTCGAGACCGCCGCAAGATTGGGTCAGGTACGTGCACCACAACATTTCGGAATATCGGGTATTGTTCATGTTTTGCCCCACCCACCGTTGGTTGTGCCTGGACGATCCCGCATGATGCCAGCTGAGATTATGCGAGAGAGTCAATACGAGGCTGCCGTTATGTAGTCCGGCACTCCCCATATTGCTGTTTCATGTCCCGTTTGTGTTTGTTCAGCGCGTTGCAGGCTGCGGCAGAAGAGATGGATTTCTTTATGCCCTCATCAGTTGGGTGCAGAGCCGCCGGCGAGAGAATGAAGACGAGCAGTGGGCTAACGTTTGCTCTTCAGGCACTTCTTAGCCGCCATGAATCCTACGTCTCCGACTCGGAACACGAGCACCAGCGGCTAACAGCCTATATCAACGAACTGGAGAACGAAAGGGCCGCTTTGCAGACTACAAACGAAAAGATTGTGGAGGAAAACCGGCAACTCTTGACCCAGCTCGAATCGGCCAATACGTCCCTCAAGGAGAGCGACAACCATGTCAAGAGCCTCGAAGCGCTCCTCCGTGATTGTGAAGTCGAGGTTCGAAGATTGAACGGTCTCAGTCGGCGGACAGAGGAGTTGGAGTTAAAGATACTTGAGATGGAGAGGGAACGAATGACAATGGCCCAACAGGCAGATGATGCGAGAGGGGAAATCCGGAGCACGATCAAGCGCTGGAGAGAGAGCGAGATCAAAGTCCGCCAACTCGAGCATGATGTTCAACGAATCGAGTGGGATGCAAAGGAGGACAGAGAGCGCTACGAAGAGATCATTGCGAGGCTCGAACGTGAACGTGTCTTGGAGAGGGAACTAGGGGGTGCGGAAGGTCGACTGAAATCCGCTGCTGCGTTTCGCGGTCTCAACGCCAACGAGAAGAACAGCAATGTGGTCGGCCACTTTGTGCGGGACATCCTCCAGGACAATGCCAATCTGCAGGCTGGTATTGTTGAGCTCAAGGAGTTGCTTCAAGCGTCAAACGAGGAGGTGCAGAATCTGAGAGAGCAGATTCTGGAGCATCAGCCTGTAGACGACGGCAATCCTGGGGCCATCTCCACATCAGTACCTTTGAGCGATCAACTAGGCTGGTCACAGCCCTCCTCGAATGTGCAACAGTCCGTTCATGTCCACCACCACTATCACGCCAAACTTGCGAAGCGAGATCGGGCTCCGACAATTCGAAGGTCATCTCGCAAAAGGACAGCGCTGGGTGTGGGTTTTCTTCCATCTACGCCAGAGTCTTCTGCACCTACAACACCGATGGCCGGTCCGTATCGAGTTGTTTCCAGCCCGGTGTTGCCCATCGCTCTCCATCATCCACAAGCCATGAGAAAACGGTGGTCTCTACAGTCCGCGGCTACCAGCTCGTCTGTGATGTCGAGTTTCCCAAGTTCTCCGCGATCGTATCTAGAGCAATCCAGCTCCATTTTCGACCGAATTGAAGCCGGCGAAGAGTCCTCCAGGCCTACGAGTCCCGAGTCGACTGGTGGTTTCACATCTCCCCAGCTGAAGTCCGCATCTGATTATGACGAGAGAACAAAAGAGCTACTAGCAGAAGAGGATTTCCACGATGACGCCACAGAAGTGTTTCCAGAAGCCGAGCTTACGGACTTGAAAGGTGATGCTAACCTAGACCCTGGAGAAGAGATCAAAGAGTCCTCGTCTCGTGATTTGACGCCCAAGCCCTCCCAACTTCTTAGTGCTGAAATAGTGGACGACACAATCCAGCCAGAGCCGCCAGATATACTCATCGAAGGGGAAGCGGTGCCGAATATGTCAGACGAACCAACAGATGAAGCAGAAAACAACACTCTGTATCAGCCCACCACTCCATATAAACCCGACGCGAACTCTAACCCTACCACACAACCCAGCCTTCGACGTACATCCTCACACGACTCGCTAGTGTCAATATCTGGCATGGATATACATATTGCAAAACGTCCAAGTTCTTCGAAGTCCCAGTCATCGAGTGTCCTAAGGGGAAACAAGGCATACTTTGCTCTCTCGCCGTCGGCGACTCGAAGGATCGTTTCTGCACAGCCATTGACTACCGTCACGGAATACACGGCATTGAGCTCTACGATATCATTGGGCACAGATTGGCCAGGCGGCGTCTCAGTTGGAAATCCGGTGCCGCAACGGAGTGTCAGCTCGAGCATCGCCGCATTAAGCGGCTTGGCAGATCTGTCACCCTCCCCGTCAGAAGACCGACAATCTTCATCCTCGGGATTTGGGCGTCTTTTCGGTGGATGGGTGAGAGGCAAATGGGGTGCTGCACCCGTAAAGACCGATGTCGACCTGCCTTCCCCGACCGCTTCAGTCACCACGTCGTCTTCGAGCGAAACCCATATACAAGCATCGTTGCTTTCGTCGTACATGGGCGGAAGGCCTCCTGGCATCAATCAGAAAGGGCCTGTACCAGGGTTCAAGCCGGCGCCGAAGATCGTGGGTGTACAGGTAACGATGGTTGACGAAGAGGGCCTGAAGGCGAGTTTGGCAGAAGGATTATGACTTTGACACAGGTGGGCGACCACGAAAACTACAATAATGTGGATGGCTGTGGGCGCGAGGCACTTGGGTAATAGATCTTGAATTTGGATTAGCGAGCATTTCTGAAAGCATTTTCTGTCTGGATTGGCATGATGATACCCCCTTTCTAAATTGCTAGCCTGGTCGTTTGTTTCCAGAGGCGAGTGTCGGGCGCGATGTATAGTGAAGATGAGGTCATATTGTATATATCTGGTACCGCTGATCATGAACGTCCCACATGCGGCAAATGTCAAGAAGAGCAAACTTGCAGAACCATGTCAAGCTGAACATGGCTGGATTTGGCGGGTTGAGTGGAGCGACGGCAAATTACTCTCTATCTCGAGATGGAGTTCCAGTCTTGGTTCTTGCGTAGAGTATAGGATATATCAAGGACCACCACCATCACCATCACCGCTACTGCCACGGCCAACCAACCAACTCTTCCGATCGTATTGCACACCACCTCAGTCCTCATTCCACGGCGGGTTCTGCATCCAGTCCCTGCCCCCGACCATGACGCGAGCCTTGATCTCCCGCAGCTTTTGGTATTCGTCGTCCCTGGAGAAGTAGTCGCGGCCGTCCATGGCGGCGACGGTGGCGCGGATGCAGGCCAGCAGAGCGTCGGCGCGGCGCATCTTGTCCTCGACAATCTCCCTGTTGTGGTTACGGACATTGCGTAGACCCCAGATCTCCAGGTCCAGCGTGTACCGTTGGCGCATCATCTCGCGCACGCGGCGGAGCTCCTCGGGCGAGACTTTTTGGCCCTTGGGCCGCGGGGTGGGCCGGTCGGCTTTGGAGATGAGTTTGAGGTTTTTACTACAATACCGGAGAAAAGAGGACAGGGGGAAGAGGGTCAGTCAATACTTCGTGCGTGTGTTTTCGATTGTCTTGTATGAAGAGGTTGAGGTGTACGTACTCGGTCTTGAACAGCCGCATGATTGAAGAAGGGGGCGCCATGTCTTATCTTGTGCTGGTAGTCGATCCTCTCTCCCCTTTCTAGTGTTTTTTTTTTGTCCCTGTAGAGGTGGAATAAACTTGTCAATGTGTACCGTATGTCATAGGTAGATGTCGGAATGTGAACGAGCGATCAGATCGGAAAGGATTGGACTCGATCAGGGAGGGGACAATATCTATCGATCGACCATAGCACCGTCTGCTCGACAGATTAGCCAGTCAAAGTCCCTCACAAGCAGACACATATGAACAAAAGAGAAAGAATACGAGAAGATAAAGGGGTCATTATGTGCCCATGTTCGGGGGTTCCTGGTCGGCAGAGGGAGGGGGTGGGAAGTGTCACTGATCAGGCTGAGAGAAGCTGGTCGCAGCCACCACCGAGCATTGAATGGACTTGACTCTGACTGACTTGGGTGAGGCGGAAAAAAGGCATCCATCACTCCCAATCCAGTACAATCTCAGCACAATGAGGCTCAAACTTGCCCAATTGCCAGCCTCTGTTCTCCAAGCGACCCTTGCTGTGCCTTGTTTTTCTGCCTTGTTTCGCTAGATGCAGTGGGCTTGCAGGAGCTGAGTCCTAGTGCGTGCATAAGTCCAGAGTCCTCCCTGCATCTGCACCTGCGGCTCCCTGCAGCCCTAGTGCACGAACCGATACGAGGACCACTTCTACTCTGCTTGTAACTACAGACACTCCTCTCCGTGTCCCTCCTACCTACACATTCAGCCTGACGCGGCCTAGTAATTGGTCGTTTGTCCCTCACATCCCTTGACCACTTGCTCCCGGGCAAAGCGCTGGCCCTGGGCATTCCCCCTCCTCCGGACCTCGGGCTGAATCACAAGATCCAATGTTGCCGTTGACGGCTTGCGCTGGACAAGGGGATTGGTGCCCTGGGCGGGAAAGATCAGATACACCCTGCATTTCTGCGCCATCACGTCCAGCCAGAAGCTGGCGGCGAGCTCGACAAATTCACGGATGAGTTGGAGGTCGTGAGGCGACAAGGTCGCGATGGCTTCAACCGCATTGCGGATCTCGTCCACCGTGACTGTTACTCTTTGATCATACGCAGGCTTCAGCCTTATGGATGCATCAGAGTCGGGCCTCTTCGCGGCGTCCCAATATTCCTTGATGCGCTCGAACCGCCACGTCTCTGATTCCTCGGTGGCTTCTGGCCAATGTGGCATTTCCGAGCCTGGATCTGGGATGGAAGGATTTCATCAGCCTGGAAACTACTGGGGAGGAGGAAGCAAAATAACAGGGCAACAATGCCCCTTACCTTCGCCAAACTCGCTCGTCCATTCACCATGTATTCGTTGGCCTTCGTCACCAAGAACTCCGAATGGAGAGTGGAAGATCTTGTCCCTTAGGATCATCCAGATGCCGCCTTGCACGAGCTGCTGCTTCAACTTCCGGGGATTCTCGGACCGTCGCAGTGCGTGCTCCTGAACCGGCCACCGGCCTTCTCGTTTCTTTTCCCATTGGATTCTTGCGAAGCTGTTGACCTCCTGGGCCAGCTTCTTGAAGCGGGTGCAGATCTCCGGGTCAGACAGGCCTTTGAAATGGTCTCGCTTGACCAGCTCCCCTTTCAATTCCTCCGTCTCTAGTCGGAATTGCTCGATCCTCTCCATCTCCCGTTTGCGAGACTCTTTTTCTTTCGTCTCAAATTCTTCCCGGAGGCGGTCCAGTTCAAGCTGGATTTGTTGTTCCGTGTCTAACAGAGCATCCTTCAGCTTCTTTTGTTCACTCTCGTGCTTTTCCTTTGCAGACTGCATGGTTGCCCTCCACGACGCAATTTCATTTCGGTGCATGGTGTCTCGGCTGTCCAGTTCGCCGCGATGGCGTTGTTCGACCATCTGTGCTTGACTGGCTGCGTCTCTCTGTTGCTTTTCCAGGGTACTTTTCCAGGTCTTCTCGACATCAATCATTCTGGCTTGATGGCTGGATTTGAGTTCGGCCATCTGGGTTTGATGTCGGGCTTGCTCCTGCCTAAGGTTGTGGCACTCCCCCGTCAACTTCTTCCAGCTTTGCTCGAGTCCGCTGTACTGGCCTTCCATCTTGCGAAGAGCCTCTGTCTTTGCTTGCAGGTGTTCGATAAGGAGCCTCAAAGCTCCTTCAGGACCTGACTTTTTCAAGACGATATCGACGTTCTGGGACCATGATGTTTCGCGGGCAGCCCTTCGGAGCTCGCCTTCGATGTTAGTCAATTCCTTGTATGCATCGGCATAGGGTTGGTAGGCCCCCACGAGGATACCCAGCGCGCTCTCCACTCCCGCTTCTCTTGATTTCAACGCATTGTCCACCTCTTTCCGCGCAGTCTGGGGCGATGCTTTTCTGATCTGACCTGCAACACGCTCCAGCACGAGGGATGCCGACTTTTTGACCTGGTAGTCGTCCACTACGAGGGCCAGCATGGCCTCGGCACCACCAGCCTTGTGAGCACTGTTGAGATCAGTCATCCGAACGTCGTGGTTTGCAGATCGCAAACTCTCCTCAACGCGTCGTAGGGCTTGCTCAGCTTTGAGGGCTGATTGACACTGGTCGAGCAGCAATTGGAGACCACCCGCCGTGCCGCGCTTTCTGATCTCTGCGTTTACCTCCATGGTCCGGACATGGCCCTTCATAGCGGCCCGAATCTTGTCTTCGAGATCATTCAAATCCTTCTCCGCGGCCAGCAGCGGCTCGTACGTCTCGACGAGAAGCTTGAGCGCGCCGCTGGTGCCCCGCTTCTTGAATGCAGCGTCGAGGTCACTGTCGTTCACCATTCCCTGCGCAGCTCTCCGGATCTCCTTTTCGAGGCGATAGAGCTCATCGTCGGCAGCTCTAGTCGAGCGAGAGGCCCCTGTACTCGACTGGCCGTCCGCTTGACATTGTGTTCTGTCGCCCATCGCGTCCACCTCCGACGGGCCTGCCGGTTTGTAAGTCGGCTTCGTATAGGCTGGCTTTGGCTGATCGCCGGGTAGCTCCGCAGGGTCAGCAGTGGTTGGCTTCGAGTAGCCAATGGAGATGGGCAACCTGAACAGACCACCACGGCTCTCCGACGTCTTTGTGCTGGACGATGTATCCCCGAGCTCATGAATGGTTGTGGCACTTTGCGACAGGCGATTCCCGTCTCCAAAAGGATCCAGCTCTGCTCGTTGCGACTTGGTAGAGGCTTTTGATTCCGAACTTTGGCTTGCTGCTGGATCATGGTCGGGCACCAGTGGTGGTTCTGTTAGGGAGCGAACATTTTCATTTTCCGCCGCATTCTTCTTTCCCTTGGCTGAAGTGGTAGTTCTGGAGAGCGGCGAGATAGGTGAACTCTCTGCAATGGTAGACGGTGTCGCCAATGTAGCCGCTTTCTTGTCAGTCACCTCGGACTTGTCACTGGGTTCCGTTTTGGATGATGATAGACGCAGAGGTGCTGGAGCAAGGCTGGGGCTGGAAATCTCGCGTAACATGCCCCTGGCCTTTTTCCTTAACCCGACCATGGTGGAAGAGTGCCGTAGATGAGACGAAGATGTAACAATGTTAGTGTAGACTGGCCTGGATGAAGAGTTCTATTACTCCCATTGAAGATGTTGGGTATGCTGGATTATGGTCTTTCAAGCCTTGGAGGGGCTGGAAGTCTGAGGTTTGCGAGAGTGTCTCGGGTATTCGGATGCCTAGATTGAAAACTAAACATAGTCCTACGAGAAATTTATGAGGCTGAAGACAAGTGAGTCCCTCTCCCAACTTTTCAGCCTGGAGGAGGGAGGAGGAGGAGGGAGCGGGGGCCATGAGGCGTAAAGCGGGGCTGAAATAAACCTTGACCCCTTTTGGCTAGTTTGGTGCTTTGGGCTGTTCTGGGATCCACACCCACCCATTCACAAACACACGCACGAGAGAGGCTGTAAGGTTGCCTCACACTGTCGCCTGGACGCGTGCATTAGCGCCGTCTACAACTCGACTGACTAGATCAGAAAGAGGGTGGCCCTGGTGGAGGCTATTCCGGACTCTGTTTGGACGCAATGCATGCTACGCCTCTCCCCTTCCCTCCCTGGTGGAAGCGATGCATACAGAGGCTGAACTAGGTTGGTCTGGTCTGTTCTGGCCTGGTGAGCCTGACTAGAACTGGACTATTCATTCCGCGGCACACATGTCGGCAACAGGATCACCTTACACAATCACAATGACAACCGTGAGGCGTCGAAAGAAACTGTCCAGACCACCGTGGCAACCAATCTCAGCCTGACTGGCCAACTGAGACCATGCTGTACCTGGCTACCTGGCCCATTGGTCTCCATCCCTACGTGGGCTACTTGGTCCCTTCTTGGACGACGAGCTAAGTATGCCTCTCCCCTACCACTCAGCCTCAAGCTGCCCATTTCCTCTCCTGCCCCTCCTCCCACTTCTCTACCCTTGGGAATCTTACATACTCGTATATGTATGTGTTTTTCTCTGTTTTGCTTGACGGCCCGACAAGTTCCCTGGCGTCTGCTCTTTGTTTCCCGCGTCTCTCACTTTTCTGCTGACTGATTGACTCTGACGTCGTGGTTCTCTCGCCCTTATTTACTGGTGTTTTGGTAGAGGAGGGGACGACTCTCTTCTTAACTAGTCATACACAATACTTACATAACCCCTCCTATTATCATGGACGAGAATGGAATGACACCGCACAGAGAGCAGCGGTTCGTCATCGCTGTGGACTATGGCACGACGTATACAGGTATGTTCATCCCCTGGTACAAACCACCACACACATCGGCACGCATATTTTGGTATACTGGTTCTTTCTTTTGCTGCTGCTGCTGATCACTAGGCCTAGGTGTCGCCTACGCAACTCCCAACTCCAATTATCTCCCGCTCGACGAGATCGACCTGATGGAGGACTGGGGCCACAACATGGGCAACCACAAGAAGATCCCCAGCGTCATCTCCTTCTCGCCGTCGACCGAGGCCATGGAGCAGCAGTGGGGTTACGACCTGAGCGAACACGCCATCTCGGTCGTCCACACCAAGCTGGAACTCGACCTGCAGGACGTGTCGGGCGAGCTGGACCTCATGCTCCACGCCCTCGACGGCATGTGCGACTTTAGCTTCCAGCACATCAAGGGTGCCGGCGCCGAGCACGCCTTTAGCGACAAGTCCGCCGAGAGGGTCGTGACCGACTACCTCACCAGAGTGTTTGAGCACCTGCTGGCGGCGATTGCCAATTTCTCCTTCTCCATCAGGATTCGCGTCCCGGTTGATCTTGTGGTCACTGTACCGACGGTATGGAATATTTCTCATAGCCCCAGGGGGACCACCTCCCTGCGCTCCTCTTCATCTGCCTCCCTAATCTCATGAGCAACAGGAATGGTCCTACCGGGCCAAAAACTCGACCTTCCGCGCCCTCACCACCGCCGGTTTCAACCAGCATAACTTCCCCAAGCTGGCCAGCGTCCTGTTCATCACAGAGCCCGAGGCGGCGGCAATCTACACGGCGCGGTATCTGAAGGATGAGGTCCGCGAAATCTTTCTCAAGGTGAGTTTGACTTGTTGGAGCGAGCGTCGATTGCCCGCGACTTTCTTTGGTGGCATTGGGGACTGACGGGAATTCTGGCGGAATTTAGCCAAATTCTTGTTTCATTCTTTGTGATGCGGGTGGTGGTACCGTCGTAAGTCTCTTTTCTATTCATTCATGGTGACATCCTCCCAAATTGTGCAGATTCTTACGGTAGGGCTCTCGCGTGGTAGGATGTCGTATCATACAAGGTCAAACAGGTGGAACCGTCACTCGTGCTGGAGAGAATCGGAGTCCCAACCGGTACGTATATCTCCCCTTGCCCTATACTTTATATCACTATTCGGCGGCGGCGCGGACAACAGTTGGACGACATACATGCTAAAGCTCCCAAACAGGCGACAAATGCGGCGCCATCTACATCGACATCGCCTTCAAGGAATGGCTGAGACAGCAGCTCGGCAACAAATACTACGAGAAACTCGACCTGAACCAGGACCTGCAGCGCGTCAGCTCGCACACGTGCGAGAGCAAGGCCATGCGCGAACTGATGAAGTCGTTCGACGTGCTGAAGAAGCAGTTCCACAAGAACCACAGGGACATGGCGCTGGATCTGCCCGCGCCGCTGCACAATTTGACCCTCGAGGGCCGCGTCGACTGCGGCGAGATCAAGATCTCAAAGTAAGAAAGGCACACACACACACACACACTCCGAAAATGTCTATGTTTGAGCCAGTGTTTGCCTTCTCCTGCTGACACTCTCCACCCCTGTTCCTTTCTAGCGCCACAATGACTGGATTCTTCGACTTTTGCGTGGGTAAGATCATGGATTTGCTCACAGGGCATATCCGCCAGATCGACAACCTGGGCAAGCAAGTCAAGGTGAGTTTCTCCCTGCCTGCACCGCCGATCTCTGCGGGATGAGACAGAGAAAGAATAGAGAGCAAAAATACTAACAAATGAATCCGCTTTGCTTTTTTTGGGGGATAGAACATCTTCCTCGTCGGCGGCTTCGGCGAATCGCCTTACCTGCAAGAAGAGATTGAATTCTCGCTGCGCCTGCGACGGATCAAGCTGCGACGGCCCGACACGTCGTGGACGGCCGTGGTCCGGGGCGCCGTGCTGCACGGCATCGAAAAGGACACCATCTCGAACCTGTCGATCGCGACGGCGTGCCCGCGCCACTTTGGCATCAGCGTCAGCGAGCAGTTCTCCAAGATCCACCACGAGGAGCGCGACATCACCGTCAACCCCATCACCAACTCGCAGATCGTCGAGGGCCAGCTGCTCTGGATGCTCAACAAGGGCGACCTGGTCCTGTCCGACACCCCGACCACCGTCTCCCAGCTGATTTCTCTGTCGTTCCGCGAGAACGACAAGGCCAAGCGCCACCTGACCGTCTACTCGTACTCGGACGACGAGGACCGGCCCAACAAGATCAAGAACTCGTTGGATGGTAAGAAGAAGCCCTCTCTCTCTCTTCCCTCCGTTTATCCCTTTTCCTCTTGTGTATTTCGCGGGGAAGTCCCCCGCACCCCCCCTTTTTTCCCACCCAACCCCCTAGCTGCGGTCCTTATTTTCATTGGTATAATGGACCTGATCCCCTCATTGCTCACACTGTGTTAGAACTCACCGTCTCGCACGTCCTCGAGTACGACCTGACGGGCATCGACCGCAAGCTTCTCGAGAAGCCAAAGGGCCGCCACGGCAGCTTCTACCTCGCCCGCCTGAAGCTCACGCTCTCACTCTCGGCCAACCGGCTGAGCTCGGTGCTCTCGTGGAACGGCGTCGAGTTGGCCGTGGGGGATGAGACGTGGTAGGTGGGTAGGTTTAGCGGAGGGGGAGGGGGATAGGATAGTATAGAGAGGGGAAGGCAGGATAGGAAGGACATGAGGGAGGAAGGAGAGAAGAGGAGGGAGGGAGGGAAAGAGAATGGGAGATATTCAAGACGATTTACGCCGCGTAGGTGTATAAGAAGGGGAAAAAGACGTGTGTGTGTTGGTGAGAGAGCGCAAGAAGGGGAGGGAGAGGCTTGTCCCTCTCACACTAATATTCCAAAAACTGTCCCCAGGAGAAAAGGGGAGAGGCCGACTATATCACATCCACCCAGACTAATCGCCGATGTTGTCATGATTATACCTGTCACCTTAGCTACCTGACGATGACTAACTACCTATATAACCTATATCTATACCGAATGTACCCCTGTCAAGTACTTGAGACTTGATACTTGATACTCGAGTGGGTCTCTAAGTACCTACCTATTTGGCTGGCCAGGAATCGGCCAGGATGGACGTATGTATTAATCATCTCACGAGCATAGTGAAGAGGAAGGTCGAGGCTGCACTAGTCCTAATAGGGCAGTTTGATGACCACACGGTTGAGGGGAGGGGGGGTTGTCAAAGCACTTGTGGTTCAAGGAGGCGGTTTCTGAAGACTCGCTAGCTGTGTCGTGTAGCCGGCGATATCGCAAGATTCTTAAAGGCGGCATCAATCAGGTCGTGATGTAACATGGAAGTCAGGGGTTTTGATGGTGAGACCAATGAGGAGAGAATTGGGCATTAAATGAGAGAGATAGATCCGAATTTATTAAACGCGATCCACGCATGAGGATGAGATCCACGCATGAGGATGAGAATGTCGACTGACTGCAGCAGTGACAATGACGTCGCTTTTACTTGCTGTAAACCATCTCGCTGTCATCGCTCGAGTGAGACGATTTTGATCTCGGTGGCGACCGAGTGGAAAAACCCACAGTACCGCAACCCATCCGGAATCTTACATGGTACTTCGCGCACTGTAAACTTGAGATCGTCTCGACAGATGGCCGCGAACTGTGAGAACGTGTCGCTTCGAATGGCGGCAGAAATGAGGATGACGACGTCCGGGAAGCGGGCTTTGAGGATGCTCAGCAGCTCGGCCAGTGGACGTAGGATGTCGGGGTGGTAGGTAACGTCGGCGCCAATGACGAGATCATAGCGCGTGGCTGACTTCTCAGCTTTACTCAGTAACTCAGCAATTGCTGGCTGATCCGTCCAGTCCAATTGGAGAACTTCTGGTGATGTGCACCCGTCAAGCGTTCCGTTCTCCTTATTCAGCAGGACATTGTTCTCCAGTTTCTCACAGACGAGCCCCAAGCCATCGGTGGCCAGCACAGACAACGCCTGGAGGTGGATTGCGCATAGCAAAGAAAGAAATCCAGTTCCAGCGCCTAGTTCGAGGACGTGCTTGTTGCTTACGATGTCTGGCCGCTGAGTAAAGAGATACCACGCTAGGTGCAGTGCAGCCTCCCACGTACGAAGCCCAACATTGCTGCCTCTCGAAAGGAGATTGCTCGCTTCATTGATGAGGATTGGTCGTACTCCTCGGGCGTCAAGGGAAAGAGGAGGATAGTATGAGTGGACACGCGATTGCTGTGCCTCGTCTGTCTGGTCCCCGTGAGGAAGACTGGACAGGTAGCCCATGTGCTCCATCAGATGATCCGAGACTTGCTGCAGCGTAATTAGACGTGAGTGGTTCAAGCTTTGGGAAGGGAGAATGACAAGGATGTAGGAAGGGGATGGTCGTTGTCAATGGCTGCGCCTCCGAGGTTTCAGCCTACATCTTCTTCAGGATCCTTGCAAGAGTTTTCAATCTCTTCAATCAGACGCCGCAGTATCCGGACCTGATACCACGGGGGAGGCAAGTATTTGTTCTGGCTAGCATCGAAGAAGTACCGATACAAGCAGTCCTGCACATCCGGGTTGACCAGGAGCGTGCCAGGAGGATAAGTCACATCATTGATCTGCTGCATGTACTGCCGATAGAATTTGACCACGATCGGCTCTACTCCAGCCCGAGCAATGTCCATCTTGACAGTCACCAAGATTGTGAGAGGTACGTTGTGTGCAATATCAAGAGCAGAGATGCCCGAGTATCAGACATGGAAAGGAGCATGACCCAACATGCGTTGTGTCTTCACGCATCAAGACAACGACAGAAATTGCAAAGGAGTCGGAGTTGGAGATATGTGGTGAAAAGCCACTAGCCTTATACGGAGTAGCGCGCAAAGCGCCAAGATTTCGAAATGCCAAGCCCACAATTTTCGCGGGAGGGAGCGAATCTTTGCTCGACACCGCAGCCCTTCCACAACTGCAGTCAATTCGAGTGTCAACCAAATTCTTTTCGACCAGCTCGACAGTTCCATCCCATCACTGTCTCGATTGCGATCCCCCCGTCGAATAGACCACCGCAAAGAATCGCAATCATGGCCGACTCACCGGTCACCATCCGAACTCGCAAGTTCATCACCAACCGACTTCTGTCGCGGAAGCAGATGGTCCTGTAAGAGCGCAACCTCTCCTCCCCCGTCTCCCAACCCGATTGCGCAATGGAAATCTCTACCCAAAAAATAGAGAATCTGAAAACTGACATGTGTTTGCTTTTTTTCCCTCCATCGCAGTGACGTCCTACACCCCAACCGGCCCAACGTCTCCAAAGACGACCTCCGCGCCAAACTGGCCGAAGTGTACAAATCCAACAAGGACCAGATCAACGTGTTCGGCATGCGGACGCAGTACGGTGGCGGCAAGTCCACCGGCTTCGCCCTCATCTACGACTCGGTCGAGGCCATGAAGAAATTCGAGCCGCACTACAGATTGGTCAGAGTGGGTCACGCTACCAAGATCGAAAAGGCCAGCAGACAGCAACGCAAGCAGCGCAAGAACCGGTCAAAGGAGTTCCGAGGCACGGCCAAGACAAAGGGCGCGAAGAAGGACAAGAGCAAATAAACGTGAGGTCGTCTCAGGAGGAGAGGTTGTGGTGGTGGTGGTGGTGGTGGTGGTGGATGTGGACTGTTGAGCCGGATCGAGAAAAGGCAATGGTCGCGCCTGTGCTTGTTTCATGTACCAGAAGAAGGGCAAATGAGAAATCCAAGCCTGGCGTACCATTTTTTTGCCCTTTTGAAAGCAGATTTGACGGGGCGGGCAGCTGTGAAAAAGAAAAACATGGAGAATGTTAACGCCCATTTCCAGAGAAAAAGGACAGAGCCGCCCACATCAATCGCGCGCCATCTTGAAAGGTCGAGGGGAGGGGAAACCTTTTTCTGCATCGAACGAGTTTGCGGAATGGGGGGCAATATGGCGCAACGAGAGAGATCGACACTGCAATTGAAATGAATATCAAAACACTGTGAAATGCAAAAAGAGACACACACACCAACACGAGTCATCGTCAGGCTATGCCACTCCCAACCCGCTGCGTGCGTGAATTCTGTTCGTACATTGTAATACACAACATGACCATCTTGCTCTCATTGAGCCCGTGTGAGGTAAATCAGGAACACCAAGCAAACCAGGGAGACAGCGAGGTAAGGGCAGCATTGCGTGAGTGGTAATGATGGTACATGGTTCGTGCTCCCCTATTGGTTCTCTTCTACTCTGCTTCCCAATCCCCTAAACGACTGGACCTCGACGGACTCCGGTCTTTCTTTGCATGCGCGCAGCGCACGCAGCAGAAACGAATATTATCTCAAACCCCGCCGCCCGTGGTTGGTGGGCATAACGTACACATCTGGGAGGAGGAGCACTCATACATGAAACCTTCCTTTGCGAGATCGCATACTTTTCCTTCCCTCTTCCAACCCCATCCATATCCTTCATTCTTACCGGGACGAGACCACCAGCTCGAACATTGTATGTCAATTTGAATCGATGACCCTTCCCATACAAACTTTTGGTCTCGGTGCTTTCTCCTCCTCCGTTTCCTCCTTTTCCAAAATCACGCGGTAAGATCAAGAACCAAAAGAAAACAAGGAGGTGATATTACTTGCCGCCGCCGCCGCCATGATAGCCCGAAATGCAGTGCCAAATGCCCTTGCCGTGGTGCAGTCCCGTGCTCTTTTCTGTGGCATGGGTAAACCCTCCTGTCGCTTATTAGGTTTATGTGGTTCGTACAACATTGCAGTATACAAAAAACAGAATGGAACGCAAACACGAAGGCCGAGCAACATTTTTTGGAAATAGTACAACACAGGTATTAGACGGGGATTGCCGCTTGTGAGGACACGTGTAGAGAGGACGGTATCACAAGCACCAAGAGGCCGTTGTCAGTATTTTGAAGAGGTATTGCTGAGCGAAATGGCTGTGGTGCGAGTCGACTCAGCCGTCCGACAACCAGAAAAGTCTGGACTGCAGTCATGTGCGCCAGGTTCTTGCTGTGAGACTAGGGCTCGTCCATAGAATGAACCAGGAAAGGACTGATTGGCAGCTCTCATGGGTTGTGAGTTGTGCCCATCAACTGAGCCTTTGTATCCGTATGCCACAGCATGATCCGCCACCGTGGACTTCAAGGTTTGGTGAGAGACCGCACCCAAAGGCGAATGTTGTGAGAGAGTGTCGTCCGTCGGGGCCGACGTTACTACTGCGGGCTGGGCTTCATTGACGGCAAGCTGCTCGCCGGATGCCACTGACGTCGCAGAGAGCACGTCGCCCAAACTCATCTGGCCGTATGTCATGTCCTGAACTCGGTAGGGGATGTTCTCCCTGGAATTGTGTTGTTCTTGACCTCCACTTGGTTCTACTGGGGTTGAGACCTGCTGAACAGATGTAACACCATCACCGTTCCAGTAGGTTTGGCTGCGTTGACTTGCAGCAGAAACCGGCAGATCGACTGAACTGGCTGGTGTAGGAATGTAGCTGCGTGCATTGATTGGTTGGGGCAGGATGCGGTCTGATGGCAGATTTCCACCAGCCCCCATTGTCTGGAACGATTGAGGCGCTTCGTTGGGCATTGTATAGGATGTGCCACTTGCCTGAGAATTGGGCTGAGGGACATATTGCTGGGTCTCTGGCCAAAGCGCGCCAGGATGTGGTCGAACCCCATGACCATGGACATAGTAAGCGTTGTTTGTTGACATTGGATCCGTGTTTGGAAGAATGTATGGAGGTGGCTGGGTCGTGTAAGGACTGGATTCTTCGTCATCTGGGTATGGCGAGTAGGGTCCGACGTATTGTGCTCTTCCCCAGTCAACATTTGAACTTTGATTAGTGTATCCACCATAGTCAATGCCATTGGGGACAGCATGATATTGCAGACTGCTTTGTGGGCTACATCTCGAGGGCATCGAGACGTAATTCAGACGATGGTGCGTAGGAAGGGAATATGGTGAATACCGTGGAGGCCCGTGCCATCCCCGAAAGCCATATTGGCTAGGATCTACCGAGGAGACCTGCATTTTGTCAGGTTAGTGTGCATGGTTGGATTGGAGAACAAAAGCTCACCCGTAGAAAGCGACACGAGTCCTCCAGCCCCGAGTTCTTGCAGTTTGCACATGCTTGTCTATCACCTTCGTTGCCGCTGCATTTGATTTTGCGTTTCCGGCATCTCTCGCACTGCAATATGTGAGCAAGCGATACGTTGGATATAGCCCGACGAGCGTTTCAATACGTACAGCAACTGGAACACGTTTTCTAGAGCCGCTCGATGCTCTGCTGTCCGGTTCAGACGTGGGTGTAGTGCGGCTACTGAGGTGACCTCCCGTCTCATATTGATCATTGATGTGAGAACTCTGGCTCAGGGCCATATGTGGGCCTCTCTCATTGCGTCTGAAGAACTCGAAGTCTGGGTACAGTGATCGTGTTGAGATCTAGGACTTCTGTCAATAGGAAGAATTGCAACGTCCGGGGTTTTCCTCACCATGGTGCTGTTGAAAATAAGAGTGGGCAGAAGCAAGCAAGAGCCTTGAATCCTTCGGCTTCGACCACGACCAGTCCTGAAGCAAGCTCTCTAACGACAGTCTCGGACCTTGGAGTGGCCCAGAGCTTATTCTGAGCAATGAGATGTTGAGAAAGAACAGAAGAGAGCCAGGATCAGGTTGATAGTGACATTTTCAAGGGCATACTCCAATAGGAAAAGAGATGGACAAGCTTCAACTTTGTTGCTGGAGCCAGATCGAGGAGGTATGTCATATCATGATCGACGTCAATCTGAAAAAGATTTGCTGCTCTCCCAACGTACGCCTAGATCAAGTCACGCCTCCGGAGTTGGCCTTTGAAACCTGATCTAAGATTCCCTTGTAACGGCCATGCTGCAGGCATCCGATGGTGTGACCATGATGCTTGGTCCACTGCGACAACATGATTCAGCGGGCATAACATGGGCTGACCAGTCATCGACCAACTGATGGAGCGCCTGCCATATCAGCTGTGAAACAAATCCGACGCACCAGGCCAATCAAAACATCATGATGCTCCAGAGACCAACCTGCAAACTGTACTTGAGCAATGAGTGCAGGTAGCATTGGTTCTGGATCTAGCGTCGACAGGTTCCATGTGGGGAAACAAGACAACCCTGCAACCTCTTTGAGCCACATCTGGTGGGTTGTGGGTTACGCATCTTCGTGCGGACATGCTTTGCAGAGGGTGGGATGGAAATCATCCTGTGTTGTCGGTCCTAACCTCAACAAGAGACAGAGGCTGGATACTGTTTGCTCTCAAGATGTCTCTGCTTTGATTGGCCACAAGCCCCTGGAGAAACGTGGCATATGCATCATCTGCACCTGAGCAAACTCACAGCTGGTAATCCCCTTTGAAAATTGGGCCATGGTTAGGGGGACGGGGGGCCAAGTATTTTGCGGAAACTTTCCAAATTCTGATATCGATGAAGATTGGCCACCAATTGCACAGCCTTGCCATCTAGTAGTCGACTGAGCCTTTGACCGCAGACAGTCCGCAGAGAATAGATAACTTTCCGTAGGGCCTTACTGAGTCCATAAAGGCTCTCCTGACTTAAAAAGGCCAGCCGGTTACGGGATAGGCCCAGGCGCTAAGCCTGCAAAAAGGTTGATGCACATGACAAAGGGTAGCAGTGGTGCATGTCACTAGGAGGAGGCCTCCTGAATCGGAGTGAACTCTGTGGCCAATGTTAGCCCCTGGACAAGAGCTGCACAAAGCCTGCGGAACATCACAGAATATCTTGGTTGCACAAGATGTCAAAAGGTTGACCTCATTCTTCAGAAGCCCAGCGTGCAGAGCAATCTGACAAATCAGAGACTGAGTTTCAGGTGCCTCTTGGTGACACAAAGGCGCATCGATACCAGGATGGAGCCTCAACGAGGCCAGAACCGCCACCACACTTTTGTGAGAGGCTTTCCAGGAAGACCCCTCCACAAGGTGTGCGCACAACAGGAGGTGGTGCCGAAGACGACCCTAAAAGTGCTATCATCCTCAAGGTGACCAGATAGTGCAGGGCGCAGCACTAAGTACTATTGTTATAGGACATCACGATTTGATGGTGCAAAGAGCATATCAGCACAGTGCCGTCTGGGGTTGTCAGGTTCTGGGTAGATGCGGAAAATAAATCTCCATCAGCTGACATTTGAAGATCAGCCAGGTGAGATCGCAGCCTCCCTCTGTGCAGACTCATGTAGTGCAGAGCAGTGCTGGTTGCAGCCCAAACGAGGGTTGATAGCCAGCCCAGGGCAGGGCCGCTGGACCTGTCATCGAAGCGGGTGGAAGCCGAGAAGGAAGGCGGTTCGTGACAGAATCGGGGGATTTTTGTATGACTGTGCATAGGAGAAGAGAAGGGATGGATAGTTGCATGACCAAAAGTCGTGTACAGAGTACTTTTTCGTCAATTCAAAAACATCCTGCATTAAAGTTGCTATCAGAACGACTAAGGGAGAGCGAGTGGTCGAACAAACTCGGCCTCCACAGTGGTGCTGACATGTGAGAGGACCTAGTTGGACAGATAGCCTGTTGGATCCTCAAGGGGGACAATGTACACCAGGATCAGATGTCCAGAAGGCCAACCCAGGGTCGTGATGGGAGTATTTGCGCAGAGGAGCGGAAGCGTAGGTACTAAGCCTCAGTTCAGCCCATCTTTGGTCTAAGACGAATGTCGTTTTCAGATAGCGGCAGGACTTGTGTAATGAGCAGGGTATCGGGGAGGTAGGTCAGGATGAACAGGAAGAAGAACCGTGAGCTGGACGAGATATTGATGAAGGGAGGCGATGGTGAGGATGGCGTGTAAAGGGTTCGGAAAGCCCAAAATGGGCCGCAGGGCGCAAGGAACCGCCTTGGCTGCGGATTTCAAATGACACAGAGATGACATTGTCATTTCAATTTTTCCTTGGATGGGACTCGACGGATGGTCAATTCAAAGCAACTCATGGCTTCAAAGCACGTCTTCAGCACCCTCCATCCCCTTGCCAATCAGTCTACGACTTCATCGCACATCATATGATCGCAACAATTGCCTCGTGACAATCGCTATTACCGCGTCAGTGACCACACGCACGCCCCACAGAAGTGAGTGCCTCAAGGTGCATCTCGAATCATCGCTAGAGTCTTCGCCATGAGTGTGATACTGGAGACATCTCTCGGCGAGGTTGTCATCGACCTCTTGGTTGACAATGCACCCAGATGCTGTGAGAAGTAAGGCCCATCTCTGCGATGTCGTTGCTGTCAGTGCACTAACCGGTGATTCAGTTTTTTAAAACTTTGCAAAATCAAGTATTACAACTTCTCCCCGTTTCACAGCGTCCAGAAGGGCTTTAGTTGTCAGACTGGAGATCCACTCGGTCCAGATTCGCCCGAAAGTGACGGTGGTAGTTCTATCTGGGGCTTGCTATCGGGCCCATCAAAGAAGAGCTTTACGGTCAAAATCGACCCCAAGCTGAAACATTCCCAGCGTGGGACAGTCAGTATGGCAACAGTGCCCTCGCCACACGATTCCGATGAGCGACTCGCTGGCAGCCAGTTCATCATTACCCTCGGAGATGACATTGATTACTTGGACGGGAAGGCCGCCCCTTTTGGCATGGTAGTCGAAGGCTTCGACACTCTGGACAAGATCAACAATGCCTTCACTGATTCCAACGGTAGACCTCTCAAGGACATCCGCATCCGGCACACCATTATATTAGAAGACCCATACGACGACCCACCAGGGTTGGTTGTGCCCGACTCAAGTCCTGCGCCGACCAAGGCACAATTGGCCACTGTTATGATCGCGGATGATGAAGAATTGGATGAAGAAGTGGACGAAGTGGCCCTAGAGAAACTACGAAGAGAACGAGAGGCAAGAGCACAGGCTCTGACTCTCGAAATGGTTGGTGACCTCCCTTTTGCCGAGGTCAAGCCTCCGGAGAATGTTCTTTTCGTTTGCAAATTGAATCCCGTCACAAACGACGAAGATCTCGAGTTGATCTTCAGTCGATTTGGCAAAATCCTCTCTTGCGAGGTCATCAGGGATAAACGCACTGGTGACAGCCTACAGTATGCCTTTATTGAGTTTGAGAATCAAAAGGACTGTGAGCAAGCCTACTTCAAGATGCAAGGCGTGCTCATCGACGACCACCGCATCCACGTGGACTTCTCACAGAGTGTTTCTAAGTTATCTGATACCTGGAGAGACGCAACGAACTCGAAGAGGGCGAGACAATCCGGGGGGTTCGGTGGGATTGCGAGTCTTGAGAAGCGTCGGCATTACCGTGAGGACGACGGACGTGGACAAAGTGGCGGCAACTACAGAATGGTATTTGACAAAGAGGACATCCGCCGAAACAAAGAGTCTCGGCGAGAGGAGGAGCCTCGAAGATCTCGGAGCAGAAGTAGAAGCCCGCGACATGACGGGAAGGATTCCAGACGAGACGAGTACCGACCTAAAGATCAGGATAGACGCGACCACAGAGATCGTGGGGAAAGAGGTCATTATCGTGACAGAGACAGAGATGTTGACCGGGACAGACCACGGCGAGGACAGTCGTATCGCTCGGGCCCCTGGAGGGACAGAGACCGCTAAGGTGGAAAAGCAGGAGAGCTCATTTATGCTGTACAACAACTACTACTCTCAGGATCCTAAGCATCAACTACGCGTAATAGTGTACCAAGTCGCCGTAAACTTGGCTGGTGATTGGATTGTATCGCGGTTATGCATCGTATATCTCTTTGATTGAAACCTTGTCATACGTCACCGCGAGGCTGAGATGATTTGGTGACGGCGAAGGATGCGGAGAATGTTTTGAAACCTTGTCTGACGTTTCGTCGTCTCACCACGCTAAACGTCGCTCCCTTCCCTCTCCAGAAGCCGCAGCTCAGCTGAGCCAGCTGAACCAAAGCTGATTTCGTTGACCCCCGTTTGGGAACTGGTCTGCTTTTGAAGGGGGTGAGAAACAGAGAGTCTTTTTCCGCCGAAGGAACACCTTTCTTTCTAGCCACCACTGTCCTACCACTTCCTCTGCACGATCAGATTCCATTGCGATCGCCAACAACAATTCATGATGGCTGCAAACATGGTGAATACGCTTCTCGAAAAGCTCCATCTGACATCCAAGGATCAGGGAGCTCCTGCCCAAGAACCTGGCGAAGAGGAGTTGAAAGCTCTGCGTCAGAAATACGAGAAGGCGAATCAAGAGCATGTCCTTGCCTTCTACGACGAACTCGATGTGGAGGGGAAAGCTGCTCTGTTTGAACAGCTATCCAACTTCGACCCAGATCGTATCAATGTCCTCGCAGACAAAGCCCTCCACCCTCCGAAAGACTCAGACCAGCAGGAAACCTCCATCAATCCCCTCCCCGAATCCGCCACCGCCTCCCTTCTCGACGCCCCAGATGAACAAAAAGAAGAGTGGTATAAGGCTGGACTTTCCCTTATTGCACAGAACAAAGTGGGTGTGGTATTGATGGCGGGTGGACAAGGGACGAGACTGGGCAGCTCTGATCCCAAGGGATGCTTTGACATTGGCCTGCCCAGCAAGAAGTCGTTGTTCCAGATGCAGGCAGAACGGATCTGGAAGGTGCAACAACTGGCAAAACAACATGCCGGCTCTTCTACCGACCCAGTTGTCCCCTGGTATGTCATGACCAGTGGTCCTACTCGAGCACCTACGGAGAAGTTCTTTGAGAAGCACAACTACTTTGGTCTGGCCAAGGAGAACGTTGTCATCTTCGAGCAGGGTGTCCTCCCATGCATTTCAAATGAAGGGAAGATTCTTATGGAAAGCAAATCCAAGGTTGCTGTGGCTCCTGACGGGAATGGTGGCATCTACCAAGCTCTAGTGCTGTCCGGAGCTCGTGCAGATCAACGAAAACGTGGTATTGAACACGTCCATGCTTACTGTGTAGACAACTGCCTGGTCAAAGTCGCAGATCCAGTCTTCATTGGCTTCGCAGCCTCCAAGGACGTCGACATTGCGACCAAAGTTGTGCGAAAGCGGGCAGCAAACGAACCGGTTGGTCTGATTGTGGAGAAGAACGGAAAGCCGGACGTGGTCGAGTACTCTGAGATTGACAAGGAGATGGCCGAAGCCACGGACAGTTCAGATCGCTTGAAATTCCGAGCTGCCAACATCGTCAACCACTACTACTCATTCCGGTTCTTTGAAGCCATTGAAGAATGGGGACACAAGTTGCCACATCACGTTGCGAAGAAGAAAATCCCCTATATGGACACCGAGACAGGCGAGACCGTCAAACCCGAGAAACCAAATGGGATCAAGTTGGAGCAGTTTGTGTTTGACGTCTTTCCATTTGTCCCAATGGAGAAGTTTGCCTGCCTCGAAGTTGACCGTAAAGAGGAATTCTCGCCATTGAAGAATGCTCGTGGCTCAGCGGAAGATAATCCAGATACCAGCAAAGCAGACATTATGGAACAAGGAGCCCGGTGGCTGGCGGCTGCAGGGGCTACAGTCGTGTCCGAGGGCAATGACAAGGGCGTCGAAGTGTCCCCACTCATCAGCTATGTATGTTGCGTTCTTTTCTTTACAATATGCCTGGGATGAAGCTAACTTTTCTCTTAGGGTGGTGAGGGCCTCGGCTACTTGAAAGGAAGAGAGATCAAGGCCCCGGCTGTGATCGAAAGAAGCCCATCGGAGTAGGCCAATACAGACGGCAAAGGGAAAAAAGGGCTACGTGATTATGATTTTGGATGAATAGAATAGCAGAGTTCCGCATTCGGGTACCGGACAGGGAGTTAACAAGCACGCTGGGATGATAAAAGAGATACGATATACCGAGTACCTAGACTGAATTGGGTCGCGCACCTTCAGCGGCTCCAAGCGGACATTTTCCATTGTGTGCTGTAGTTTCACATTACCTGTTCACCTTTCTACTAATATACCAAGGGAATGGGAGCCAATGGTCACTCCCATCACCATCGCCATCACCATCACCTATCACTATCACTATCATTCTCTCGCTTCAGCCTTACCACGTGCCACGCTCCAGAATCAACAATGTCTCCACAAACTTCAAACGGCGCTAAGCCATCTCAGGACTAGCTCACTTGGCACTGGTGGATTCCGGGATTTGCGACTCTGGACAGTTTCCTGGTCGCTTTCTTTTTTCTCTGTCACCAGTTGGTGTTGATCGGTCGTCGTACGGTTCTACGGAGGCTGGAAGTCGTTGGAAAGGTCGTGTGGGAAGTTGCGCCATCTGTAAGTGACCGTCTCCTCGAGTTCCATCTTGTTCCAAGCTGGCTTGTTCACTTGTGCCCCTCTTTGAACCCAATTCCCAAAGTTCGAGAACGTGTCCCCCCTTCTGCACCTATCCGCGATCTTGCATCTTCCAGCGGGCTAACGTCTGATCGCAGGTTGCGGGACTTGGGATACTCGAACGCGGTTTCAATTGAGCAGGTATGCTCTTGTCCTCTGATCTTCTTTTGGATGCGTCGCCGCCCGTCCCCAATCGGTGCTAGAAATCGTCGAACCTCTCACAGACGTCCCATGCGTGCGCGTGGAGGCCATTATCGTCGCGCATGCCACAATTACAAGAGAAGGGTTCTAATACTATTGCTCTAGGGACTGAGGAAATTATTCAGCAAAAAAACAAGTCAAGATGTCGACCCTTTCCCGACGCGCCTGCTACAAGTGTGGCAATGTTGGCCATTATGCAGAAGTTTGCACTTCCTCTGAGAGGTTGTGCTACAACTGCAAGCAACCAGGCCACGAATCAAACCAGTGCCCTATGCCACGTACAACGGAGAGTGAGTGCCAGCTTTTCAGTTGTCCCAAGTTCCGTGTGCTGATAGAGTGATTTTTTTTTCCCGCAGCGAAACAATGCTATCATTGTCAAGGCCTGGGACATGTGCAAGCGGATTGCCCGACTCTCCGCATCAACGGCGGCCCTGCTGGTGGTCGCTGCTATTCATGTGGCCAGATTGGTCACTTGGCTCGAAACTGCCCTACTCCAAACATGGGACCACCCACTCGTGGTCGTGGGGGTTATGGTGGCTTCCGCCCGGGTTACGGTGTTACCAACAACCGGGCTGCTATGTGCTACAAGTGCGGTGGACCGAACCACTACGCTCGAGACTGTCAAGCTCAAGCTATGAAATGCTATGCCTGTGGCAAACTCGTAAGTCTCACCGTTTGCTTCAAGCCCTTCAAGACCATGGTATTGACAAAATATATTCAGGGCCACATCTCTCGCGACTGCACTGCCCCCAATGGTGGACCGCTGAACGCGGCAGGCAAGACCTGCTACAAGTGCGGCCAGCCAGGTCATATCAGCAAAGACTGCACTTCCACCACTGAAACCAATGGTTCGGCGGTCGCTGTGACGAATGGAACTCCTGCTGATGCCCCTGCAGCTGCTCCTGCGGCGGATGCCACCGAGGTCTCTACCACCGCGGCCCCCGCTGCCGCGGTTGCGTAGAGCAGGCAACATCATCCCATCCTGCACCACTGCACGGCAGCTCAAGTTTCCTTGTACTGTTCCTCGTATTTTGCACGTTGCTTTTTGAGCTCCTCTTCGGGGCAATATCGACACACAGACAGTCTTTTCCGAAAGCCCCCATCCCCTCAGCATCCCGTTGTTTCTCTGTTTATCCTCCCCCTTTTTTTTCCCGAGTCCAATTTTCCGTCACGTTTACGATACCACCGGAGGCTGCTATGCCTTTGATTCCTTTTTTTTGGCAGTACGCATCGAATCATCGACGCCCCTTTTTGGCGTTCACGACCCTTCACACGACGAACAACCACTGCAAGACTATTCACGATACAAAAACCGGCAAGGCAGGAGAATAGGATCATCGACCACGAGAGAGAAGGAGAGTAATCGAAATATGGACCAGTCTGAAACTTGCGGCAAAATTGAACGAACATGACTCCAGGATTTCACACGGATCACCCCCATTTGACGGTTTCATCTCCGGCGTTTTCTGACGAGGATCACGGAATCTTGCTTTCCAACGCGCTACACAACGAAACGACTTTCCTTGGCTTTTCTCTCTACGATCGGAAGACGCCACCATTTATCAAAAGGATCTGATTGAGAGGAAGTTAGACCTCGCTTTCTGACGGAACCCCAATCGACTAGCTGGACAGATAAGATAGCATATGGAGCGAAGCGGGCAGTGGACGACAACGGAAGAAGTGAAAGCGATGCAGAATGAGCGAGAGGCACTTGAGTTGTGAGAGTGGAGAAGGACGGGAGCCTGAGCGAGTTGAAGCAATAGACTGGGTTGGGAAGCAAAGAGTGAGCCTTCGATTTCGATGAGGTCGATGGTTTGCTTGGAGCACACGAGAGAAGCACTTCACCCAAAAAAAGGAGAGTCAAGGTTGGCATCTGCAAAGTTGTGGGCCATCTTCCTCAGCATCATTATCATCACCATCATATCCCCTTTTATGAGATCTTTGCAACTTAATGAGAGAAATTTCTCTAGGCGTAGTAGGGAATGCAGTTGAGGTCGGCTGCTCTTTTTAACACTCATTCCCCTTTTTTTGAGCACGGAGTGATGCCTTTAGTGAAGCTGGGCCGTACACTGTTCATACAGTCGAGTTCCACGGATTTCTGGCCGCCAGTCTTGACAAGAATAACGATCGTCGATGAGTCCTGATGAAGACCAGCCTCCCACAATTCCCAGATCCTTATCTCCCAGCAGACGCGGGGTTGAGCAGCCCGGCTGCCTGATGCGTCCTGGGTGCGCACCAAAGGCCCTTCACCCACGAGCGAGATAATCGATTCGAATGAGCGGGAATCTACAAGGTACCTCGTACACACCAAACACATACACAAGGGACAAGGCGGTCGGCTTGAGATGGACCGAGTTGGATATCTCGCCCTTCGTCGGCGCTGTCGAGGAACGTCAGCAAGAGGAAAATGATCACCAGATGGCACCGAGAGGACGCATCATAGGGCTCTGAGCCTGTCCCCAACTTCCCCCTTGAGAATCCTCTTCGTCGATCCCAATCCTTCAACATGACCCCCCGTAACACGACAACGGCTTCATGTGGGCCACATCTGACTCCAGTTCGCTCGAACTTTCCAGCGAGAATTCCCAGGGGCCCGGCTGTGGGTTAGGCCTCGACGAATGCGAAGGGAGCCTTACGCAATTCGACACCCGCCGGACGATGGGCGCTGTGGCTTACTTTCAAGGCCCTTTTACCAGAAAAAGGGAATCCTTCTGATACGATCCAAAATACCCCGAACTCCTTTCCCCAGGGACCAGCATACGGACCCCATTGTGGAGGTCTCCAGCAAGAACTCCGGTGTGATTATCTCGGGGGCCGGAACAAAGCATTTATGGATTGATTGCTCTGATGGGTTATATCTACATGACTCCAGCAGCAGCAGCAGCAGCAGCATTCTGCTGGGGGAGCCGAGCAGATACAACCCGGGCCTGCGATCCTGCGCCGACACGAGAGCCAGACCAGAGTACAGCCGCTCTTGTCGTCAACTAGATATACAGCATGCGTTTATGGAGGCACAGCTTTACAGGCAAGACTTTGGTCTTTGCCGTGACGGCTGCTTCGTGTCAGGCATTCCTGCTGCTGGGCTATGATCAAGGTATGTATGTGCACATGTGTGGAACTCCTCTCCCTCACATATCGACGTCCCGCTCGGTGAACTTCGCTGGACCTCTGACCATTTCGCCCCCAACTAGGTGTTATGGGCGGAATCATCGGTGCGAACAACAAGTTCGGAGTCGACTTCAACCATCCAGACGCCGACATGCAAGGAAACATTACGGCTCTCTATGACAGTAAGTTTCACCTCGATCCCTTCAGCAGTACGATGATACGCGGACACGCAGGCTGATTAGGAGTTTCTCGTTGTTCCTGTTCTAGTTGGCTGCGTGGTAGGCTCTCTGATCACCTATTTCATCGGTGAGCGGTTGGGGCGACGCACCCTCCTGATCATGGGGGGTTCTATCATGATTGTCGGTACTGCCGTCCTCGCGTCGTCCACGACCATCGCACAGCTTATCGTGGGCCGAATCGTGACCGGAGTGGGCAACGGCATGAACAGTTCGACTGCGCCCGTGTTCCTGTCCGAGTGCTCTCCCGCTTCTCACCGCGGCCTGCTCAACACGTTGCAGGGGACCGTCACGATCCTCGGCGTCGTCATTGCGTATTGGCTCGACTATGGCTTGAGCTTCACCAGCTCGAGCATCCAGTGGCGCTTCCCCTTGGCTTTCCAGGCGGTGTTTGCCGTCTTCCTCGTCCTCCAGGTCATCGGACTTCCAGAGACGCCTCGTTGGCTCGTCCAACATGATCGCTATGAGGAAGCACGTTCCACGATTGCGGCGCTGCTGGGCAAACACGAAGACGACGAGCAGGTCACCCAGATGGTACTCGACATCCGCAGCGTCGTCGAAGAAGAGCACAAGGGTGGTCCCTTCAAACTGCGCGAACTATTCTCCATCGACAAGAAGCAGAACCTGCGCCGACTCCTTCTCACCATCTCGATCCAGGCTGGGCAACAGTGGAGCGGTTCAAACATGCTGAATTACTATGCTCCTGTCATCTACCAGAACGAGATGAAACTGACACGGAACCTGTCGCTCATCCTGGGCGGGTGCACCGAGGTGACGTACCTCGTGGGCTCGGCTTTGCCGCTGGCGGTCATGGACCGCTTCGGTCGGAGGATGTTGCTCATGATTTCGTCTGCAGGGCTGTGTTTCTGCTTTGTCATGGTGTCGATTCTGCTCAGCATCGGCACCAAGGCGACCGCGTACGGGGCAACAGCTTTTATCTTCTTGTTCCAGCTCTTCTAGTAAGTTTCCCCCCTTTTCCCCAGAAGAGCCCAGGCGTCATATCTGGCCAAAAGCAACGAGGCCAAAGCACTACGCAACCAGACCTCTCCCGCCTTCGCCATTTACCTCTGTACCTGTCCTTTGTCGTTGTATTCGAAGATACTAACAAACCCCCAACCAGCGGGATCGGCTGGCTCCCCGTACCGTGGTTCTACCCGTCCGAGATCAACACGACGCGGTACCGGGCGCGCGTGCAGGCCATCTCGAGCGCGTGGAACTGGATGTTCGTGTTCGCGGTCGTCAAGATCACGCCGATCGCGCTGCAGAACATCGGGTGGCGCACCTTTGTCGTCTTCGCCGTGCTCAACGCCGCCTTCATCCCCATGGTCTACTGCTTCTACCCGGAGACCAAGGGCCTCGAGCTCGAGGACATCCCGCTCCTCTTCGACCGCGGCGGCGTCACCGGCGGCGTCCTCTCGAGTCCCGGCGGCAGGACCGTCGCGCCGCACCAGCACGCCCGGGAGAGCCATGTCGGCGAAAAGATGACGGTGGGAGGGGGCGGAGCAGTGGGACAGGGGAGCGCAGAGGAGATTGAGCAGAAGGAGTGAGTCCAGTAGTGGCAATAGGAGCTGAACGGATATAGAGAGACAGGGGAGGAACGAAATAAATGAGACATGGATTAGATCCAGAAGAGGAACTGAAAATCAGGAAAAGTACCACCATGTATATATGTCCATATACCAAACGTTGGAAAAACAGGTGTCAAGATTACCAAACTGGCCGGCTGGTTGACGCACGACCTCCCAAGCAAGATATAGTAGAGAGAAAAGGAATGGACTTCCGAAGTTCATCGATACTAGGTACGTATATTGGCGAAGATCTCCTGCAAAGCCAACCTCAACCAACTTACTCACTTGGTCACTTGGTCACTCACTCAACTTACATGTCCTTTCTATATTTACGAGAGCCGCCAACTTCGAAACCAGAACTAAACATACAGCCAGCAGCCCTGGCGAGTCCCACGCTATATTAATATCAATATCAATAATACCTGGCATTCAATGAATAAAGTTCCGGTATGATAAATTAAAAAATAAAAGTTAAGCAAGTCTCTTTAGATTATGACTTTTCTATATCGGGGGAGTTTTTTTCCCCCCTTGTAGAGACAATATCAGTCGTTTGACTTCGGCATGCCTTATTATTTTTTTGGGGGCTTCTCGGCGATATAGAGACATGTATGTTCCTCCTAGAGACCGTGCCACCGTCATGTCATTCGATCGAGGGATAGTGTACCTCGTGGTATGTGGGTGGGTAGGTAGGGAGGTAGATAGAACCCTGAACGCCGATGCTCGTCATGACTGGACATAAAAAACCCAGGTCGAATAGTCGCAGTCGCAGTCCCAAAGATATGGATATATGGAGATGTCACTGACTGCATCATGAGACAAGACACGAGGTAGCCAGCCAGCCCACATTGTTCGACAAGTTTGGTTTCGCCTCGGACAATAAGGGTATCGCAGGATATACAGACACACAAGCAAAACTAAGTGTCTCTCGTTCGTTTGGTTTCGTTCTGGGTCATTCATTGGCTCACTGGCCTTCTCCCGTGAGCAAGTCCATTATTACCGTTCCCGTTTCCCCCGGCCTTTGCTCCTCCCAAGTTCCCTGTCGTAGACGTTGCTCCAGGCCCAACCCCAGATGTCGAGGGATTATTGGTCATGACAGCAGCAGCAAGACTGGCCGCGGGACCACCCTGTCGACCTGCCCTGCGGGCCCCGCCGGCTTGGGAGTTGCTCCCTTTCAGCGCCTCCTCAATGTAATATCCGAACACGAAGCGATACAGGTCTCGGAGCCATCCATACCCATAGACGCAGCTTGTCATCCCACGAACGGCTCGCGCGAGTTCGACCGCATTAATCCGTCCCTGTTCAGCAATGGTCCCAGCGACGCCTAGGTTGCGAAATGTGCTATCATTTGCAATGGTCTTGCGATAATTATCCAGCAGTGACACTTGCCACGCCAGAGTCCCGAATGCAGTGTCGGGCAAGTTCCGAGCAAAATTCGGCAGAGAGTTCAGATTCGGGTCCGCCGATGCCCGGGTGTAGCCTCGGCCAGTGGACAGAGCTGCTTTCACAAACAATGTCTTCAGAAGGATGAGAGTAGGATCCTCAGCGGGCGTACGAACAGTCGACACGGTGGTGGCAGACATAGGATTAGGTCCCCCTTCCGAGGCGGCTGATGCGGGAAGCGAAAGAACGGACGAGGTCGTTGACCATCTGTGATTAGTTGCGGAAGTCGTTCCTGGGTTTGCGGAATGTGCATTACGGTGAATGGGTGGGTTAGGTGATAGTTGTCTGCTTTGATTAGGCGCCGGGGTGGAAGAAGTCGACGAGGCCGAAGACATTCTGGATGCTTCTTCTGCCCCGAGCACAAGAATATTCGGCACAGGAGCTTCATCCGGCGAGATGGTGGTAATCGTGTCCTCGAAAATCGTGGTCGGTGTCTCGGGCAGTGCCCGGGGGTTGCCATTTTCATCCAAAGGAGCAAAACCAGAGCGTTTGGCTTGATTGAAAGCCTGGGTAAAGGTCGTCTGGCTCGGCCGTGGAGTTCCTCGCTCCGGACGAATTTGCGTCCAACCTTCTCGGAACAGGTCGCACAGCTCCCAGCATGCCTGGATAGCTGAACCGAGGAGCTCTTCATCGGGCCGTTTCCCTTCTCTTCGATTTTGTCGTAGACTAAACAGCATTTCTGCCAAAGACCAACAAGCTCGCAGCAACGAATCCGTCTCGTCCGCCATCTTGGACTTCTGCTTCATCAGCCGGTGGCACAGAGTGATGTAGAAATCCAACGTCCTTTCCCGGAACGCTTCGGGCAGACTGCGATCATGAGTATTGAATAAATGATTGTTCAATTCAAAGCTGACACGGAGGACAGAGTCGGCCGTTTCGTTATCACGCACGCGGACCTCAAACAGCGCTTGGCAAAAATCGCGACAGAGGTCGAGGGTCGGTCGAGAGGAGTTGTGAGAAAAGGTTTGCGAGAGATTGCTGTCTCGGGTGTCGTACAGGTTCTGGCACAGCTTCCAGCAGGATTTCCACGCTTGCTCTTGCATATCACCACGACCGGAGAAATTGAATATTCTCTCGCGATGAATGTGGCTCAAGCTGGCCAAGGTATTGCACAGGGTCCAGCACTCAGACAAGGCATTGCGGAGGGCATTGATTTCCGCTTCAGCATCCCGTAAGAACCGCTGGCCGAGCTGACTCTCGTCTCCGGTCTCATCGGTGCTGGGGTGGTCAGTGTCATCGCCCTCGAGAATGCCTGTACAGCGTCAGTAACAACAGACGCGCCAGGAATGATGGGCCTCACTGGCAAGACTGGAGCCAGGACGGCTGAGGGAACTGAGGTCCTGTCTTGTCTGGGCTCTCGGAGTGCGCGACCAGTCATGGAGAGGGAGCGAAGGAAGAGAGGTTTGCAGCGGCGTGGGAGGCATCGGAGCCTCATGAGTCTGAAGGATTCGGGGTCAACACTCTAGACATAGCAGAGCGCGCGCTTGCTGCTCACCTTGGCTCCTGATCGAGTAGCCGGCGGTTGTGTGATGGTAGATTCTGAAGCTTTTGAATCAGTCGAATCCGCCCTCGATCTTTCAAGATCCTTGAGCTCTTGTGATTGTGGCTCTTCAGCAATGCTTCCTTGGGGTTCGTCCTGCTCCTTTTCAGCATACGACTGAGGGATCTCTTGGTTCGGCTGAGACATGTCAGTAAAGGTCGGCAGCATCTGCAAGCACCTCGCCCCAGATGTCAGACATACAAATTTGCCAAATCCCGTCGGTATATGGATCACAGATTGAGGCTCCTTTTCTTCTTCCAGTCTCGCGCGGAACTGTTGGTCCAGGGAAGGACCTGTTTCGACCTAGATCTATCATCAACTCATGGGCTATATCTAGGTTCACTGTTTACTCGGCATACCCGCAGTGGAGTCGCAATATGTTGCAGGTTCTCTCTCAATGGAGATGTGACTGGTGGTCTCTGGATCTCATTCGAGGCTACAGGACCTGCGGTCACCGAGCCTTGTTCTGTGCCCTCCTCTTCCAATTCATCCACGTCCTCAAAGTTGGTCACGTCCGAGGCAACGGGCGACGGTGCCACAGGATCCTGGGGCGAAGTAATATAGTTGGTGGCAGACGGAGGCTTCAGCTGACCGTCCGTTGCGATACCGCTCCTTTCGACAGCAGAGGCAGCAGGAGACCTGGCTAAAGTCAGATCCATTTCGTCCACACCGGCAAGCTGGACAATCCTACATAGGGAGACCAGAGTTCGCGGCAGCCCGAGGTCGAGGCGAATCAGGATGGTCTGGGAAGGGCGAAAATGGGGAGAACAACGGGTTTGTCGAAGGACTAAACCCCAGAGGAGCTCTCACAGCCATCATCTTTCTCTGATAACCGCAATGGCCTGCGGCACAGTCGGCCACTCTTGCGAGGTCGATCTGTACCCGCAGGAAAGAGAAGACGAGTGGAGGCGGAGTAGAATGCGCAGTAGAATGCGCAGATGGAGGGCAAGGACGAAGGACGAGGCAGACTACTGTCAAGCGCTGCGAGAATTGCCGAATGTTTGGTAGATGCCGCAAAGCGTCGCACGGCTACTGTTGCGGCCGCCTAAACGGTCGCGTGTGCGGCACAGCAGGTTGGCACAGGGATATTCAAGATCGAGGAAGCTGGTTGTATAGAGGCGTGTGGTGGGAGGAGACACAATGCGCCCGGTCATGGATAAGCAAACATGGCACAGGACATGGTCAGAATCAACGAGCAATGATACCACGGGCACTGGAACGTGTTGGACAGTAATTGGAAGATATCCAGACTCCAAACTATGTCGATGAAGAAGGGAAGGTTCCAAGTAATGGAGGGGGGAAAGTCGAGAGGGCCAAAATGGTACCTGGTGTTGTTGGTGGAGGCCTGATGTTAAGTGTTGGCGTAGGGCATATCGGAATAGCCACAGGTAGCCTCTGATTCGATCAATAATGCATTTGTTAGGTCCACGATGCGATCTATACTTCTGTGAGGTTAGGGCATACCTCAATGTGGGAGGCACAGAGAACACGGATGAGGAAGCCAGGTGTGGAGGTGTATGTGTGTTGCGTCTGCGTGTCAGAGATGGAGAAAAGATACTCGAGTCCCCAAGACTCGCGCCGCGCCTAGCTTGTGAGCTGAGCCCTGGGATGGGGGGGAATGAATGTGATGCTAAGTCAACGGGCAGAACGACCGGCGGTTTCAGGAGGAGCAGCGCGTCGAGGGCGAGCTATGAGTGGTAGGAAGAGTGGAAGATGGGTGAAGTGGAACAGGTTCGAGTGCCATGCGAGATTCTGCAAGAAGCCACACGGTCCACATTGACAGCTCTTGTCCATCCATCCACCTTGTCCGGACGGGATATCCAGGTTACCGGAGAATTTGTGAACCAGCAGGTTGGAGCGCAGAGGAGGAGCTAGAGGGAGCCGGGCGAGGCCAGATGGAGCCGACGGAGACATGGCGAGAACTTTTGGGGGACAACCAGTGACAAACAAATGAGCCCATCTGCCACGCGACAGCACTAGCAAGCAGAAGGCAGAAAGCTTGAAGTGTGATGAAAAATGTAACTGAGGTGCATTGAGCTCGCAGAAGCTTCAAAAATGATCACCGGTGGAGGGCAACAACGCAGCCACTGATTCGATCGACAGCGTCCGAGAGGGTTCTGAGAGGTCGCGGTCTGCAGCCAAGTGGATCGTAGGCAGAGGGTTAAGCGCCGACACAAGGGAAAGGAGGTGCGGGAGGCATGAAGGCACAGGCACCCGGCGAAGTCGGTGGCTTGACGACAAGAGGTCAAGGTGAGATAGCAAAGTGCGGAAGAAGTGGGAAAGGACAGGGGTGATTGTGCGGCGGGATGGAGAAGGAAGAAGAGAGAGACAGCCACGGATACCAATCACATGTCACACAAGGCACTTGACCAGCTGCAAGTAAGCGCCCGGGCACCAGAAACCGGGTCTTTAACTGGTTGGCGGAGGGGAGTGTGCATCTGTAAGTGACTTAGCATGCTTAGAGTTAGTGCCTAAGTGAGTGATGGAATAGCCCCCGGGTGGTGGTGTGTGGGGGATAGAACAAGTACTCGGTACAGAGGTTGGGTGGGAGAGTCTACGAGGGTTCTACGAGGAGACACCTTTGCAGGTACTAGGTACTCCGTAGAGCGACCCCTCCCTCCCTGGTAAACAGGTATATAGCCTATAACGTCCCTAAGAGCCAAGCCCCCCAGGTGCTTAGGTATCCGTAGACACCGTGTGGAGTCTCCAACAGAGCTAAGAGCAGAGCTTCCCAACTGCACTCAATCACCATGTACTAGTTGTATTGGAAGCTCGTATTCGATTACTTTGAACCAACGAGAATCATTCATACATACACTAAAAAGTTATTGGTACACACCACACCCTCGCTACCAAAGAAGAGCCGCATCGTGACCAACTGAATTTGACCTTCATGTCTCTGTCCTAATGCCTTCCTTTCTGTGGCCCCCAAAAAACACCATGCAAGATGAAGAAGATGAACATCCCGGTCGTCACTCATTGCCTCTGTCCAGTTGTAGCCGCGCCCTGGTCCAATGAACCATGATTGTCGCAAGCAAGGTCCAGGCTATCGAATGGTCATCTGCTTGGCCATTGCGCCGCCTTTGCCGACGCCGCCCTCCCTGGACGCTGACGCACTGACGCCCGCTTTCCGCTCAAAGATCTTCCAAAACTTCAAACTTTCATCGCCCGCTGTGTGCTCGTTAGCCCATGTCGCTTCGATACTAGTTCATATCCTTTTCAAACTCACCTGCCGTTGCAAGCATTTGTCCATCGGGACTGAGGCAGCTGTGAAGCACTCGACTCTCGTGGGCCGGGATCTCCACATTTCGCACCAAAGTCGGGTAGCTCCAGATGCTTAGAGAGTTGTCTGGGAAGCCGCTGGAGCTCACCAATTCGCGGTAGTGATTGCTCCACTTGAGACTTGTCACTTGTGATCCGGTGTCGATACTGTTGACCCGGGCCCCGGTGGTCGTGTTCCAGAAGTGAATGTGTCGGTCGTTCGACCCTCCACCAGTTGCCAGGAGGTTGAGTTGCCAGGGGCACCAGCTGAGAGCCTTGACCGCAGCACGGTGATTTTTCTTTGCAAACTTGGGGGCGGCCAATGAACGGGCGTCCCAGATGGACACCAAGTTATCGTTCCCGCCCGTGGCTAGTTGCGCGCCGTCGCTGCGCCATTCCAAGCCGCACACTTCAGAGGTGTGGGACACCAGCTCGGCAACCTTGTGTTGGGCGACTCGGACGTCATGGTTGAAGACGAGTCCACTTCTTGCCCCTGTTGACAAGGTGTGCTTGTTCCATCCCATCACACCAACCCGAGTTTCATGTCCGAACATGCTCCGGAGCTTGGTACCTTCTTCGACATCCCAGATCTGAACTTCCCCGGACGCGAGCCCCACGCCAACGTAGGCGCCGTCGCCAGACCATTTGACACTGCTGACATAGGTATCAGGTGAAGTTTCCAGCAAGCAGCTGACAGTGCCGCTGTCGGCGGACCAGACGTAGACATTGCGCTCCAAGCCAATCGCCACCTGGTTGCTCGAGCTCCAGTCAAGCAGATTCAAGTAGTAGTCGTCGACCAGACCGGGAGCATCCAACACTCGCTCAGGTGCAGATTGAATACGGCGGCGGAACTGGGCGGACTGAGCATTTGCTGGTTTCAATGGGCGGTTGTATTGTGACCGGAGGTCAATGGGCTTGGATGATTCGGGAGGGGCAGGTTTGAATTCAAGGATTCGCTGACTTCTTGAAATGCCACATGCCGAAGCTAGTGATGATTCGTACGCACTGGAATCGGGATTGGTCCGTGTGTAGGAAGAGGTGGTGTTATCATCCTCGAGACCAAGGCCTTCCAGGGCGGTCGTGATGTCTGCATCTGCACCTCGTGCAGAGATCTCAAAAGCACTGGCACTGGCAGCGTTCGCAAGGACCAGGGATCCATCCATACCAGCAGTTCGAGGTCGAGTGTTCTCATCTGCCTTGCCAGACCCGGCAGTTGCCAGGCCCGCACTTGCAGCTCTGTTGGGAATGAAGCGGTCTGCGGTGTTATTGGGAAGTCTGATGGTGGTCTTGGCTGTCCTGGACCTGAGGGCCGTCTCTTTCCTTGACTTTTCTCTTGATGGTGTGGCAGATGTGCTGGGCCCGGTGCCTGTGAGGGTCCAATCCGAGACACCTAGGTCCAATTGCTTGGGAGACTGCCTGCCTTTGGCAATGTTGGACTTGGGTGAGTTGGCATAGGCAAACTTGGATACTGATCTTGAGATGGAGCGGGAGAAGAAGGTTGAGGGATCTGACTTGTGGATGGATTGTTCCTTGCGGCGAGGAGTAGAGGGGGAGGAAGTGGATGAGATGTGTGTGGCTACACTTGTAGTTCTCTGCCTTGGGGATGGGGTTAGAGGCATTCGGCCACCTGCGGTCTTGGTGGAGAAGAGGCCATGATGGCTTTTGAGAGGGGTTGACACTGAAGCTGTAGCCATGTTGTTGAGATGTGTGTGTGTGTTTGATCGAAAGGACAAATCAATGTTTCGATCAGGGTCTGCTGTTGAACCGAGAATCAACCAAGATCTCGGGGGTTAGTAGTAGTTGTCGATTAAGCAATCAGAACTTGACGAGAAAGTATCTGTGCCTGGGTCCAGCAATTCAGTGATTATCTCAAGATGCTCAACTGAATGGATCCTGAGAAGAAGCTGTTGATAGAAAGTTGGGTTAGTAAGTCTCTCAGAGTCGCTGATATTGTTGGATGATTGGGTAACCGAGCGGTGTTTGTGGCACGGCAAGGCGATGCAGTCGGGGGGGTCGACCAGATCTAGCAGATGCAAGTGTGATCTAATGGACTGTATGCTATGCACGCGCAAGAATGTAGAGGAGGATTATGTGGATTGAGGAAGCGGGAGGATGGTATAATAGAGGAGAAAGAAGAATTGAATTGTTCATTCAGTCAGAAGTTCCAGTTGAAGTACTTCCCAAGTTGGTGGAGATGTCTGCCACGGCAACGGCGACCCATCACCCACTATACCCTTTATGTCACTAGTGGCACCGTCGCCCCTGGCGGCGCGTCTTTACGTCAGCGCCAAGCTCCACTCCCCTGGATAAATATTAATCCGATGCCGCTTCCGCCGCCGTCTCACCTACAGCAACCTGAAACTTCCGCCGATCATTTTTTATCTTCACTCCCTTTTCTGCACGCCCCGTCTAAATGTCCTTGTCGTACCGTACGTGTCGACAGCCAGCAACGCTCTGATCTCTCAGACTGGCTCCATCCACTTGGATGAGCCTCCGGGCTTCTTCAGGCTCCTTCTTTGATTCCTATAAACTTGGCAAAAGCCATTAGACCAACCCTCTCACTCTAACCCGAACGAAGCCTTTCTCCGTAAACGCCGAGATTCCAGTGAATCTTATGATGGCCCAACCTTCGACACCACAACCATTTTTGCCTCAGAACTCTTCACTACCTGCCTCTGCGGCTTCGTGGGCTTTTGGAACTTCTGCTCGAGCTCCTGGTTCTGGTGCGAACACTCCCACCGCCAACACCTACCTCATGCCTACCAGTCCGGCTAAGAACCCCACCAGCATGAACGACGGGCTCAAACCAAAGATCACCAAGACGACCGGACAGAAACCGGCTTGTCTGGTCAATGCATCAGTCACATACTGTGGGAATGACCAGATCTACGCCTTTGGCGGCTTCGATCAATTCACTGATGAAGTCTACAATCACGTGCTCAGGCTAGATCTGAAGACGCTAAATTGGGCGCTAGTGGATAATTACGGAGATATTCCCGGGGTGCGGATGGGGCATTCAGCATCCCTCTACCAAGGCGACAAACTGCTCGTCTATGGTGGAGAAAATGAACACCGGGAGTATTTGTCGGATGTGGTCATACTCAACCTGAAAGACCATCACTGGACTCAACCCGATGTCCAGGGTCCCATCCCCAAAGGCAGAGCCAGACACGCTGCAGTCGTTTATGAGGACAAATTGTTCGTCATTGGAGGGCTGACAGGAGAGGCGAACTACATCCTCGATGATATCTGCTACCTGGATCTGAAGACCTGGACGTGGTCCAAAACCTGGAGCTTTGTGCAAAGATTCGATCACTCCGCCTGGATATGGGGAGGTCGACTATGGGTGCTAGGGGGCTTGGGGGCTGACATGGAACGCCCTTCCGAGATTTGGTGGCTGGATCTCAAGGGCAGTCCTGCATTGAGTGGTTCAGGCAGGCAGTTTTCTACTATGGGCCGCATATCCTCTGCCAGACATGATCCCTGGCTGCATCCCAGCCGCGCTGACCGAATCGATACATATACTGCCAACTCGGGAAGCGTCCATATTCGATCTACGAGGCGGGAGAAACCTGTTGCACCAGGGGCAATATCGTCTCTGAAGTTTGTTTCTGGCCCGCACGTCCCCCTCCAGTCTTCAGGCACACATTTCCATGTTTGCTCCTCTGGCGCCTTGCTGGACTTTGTCACACCTTCATCTACCATTCGGCATAGTGAATGCAACTTGTCGTCTCTCGAGCTGGACTCGCTGAGGTGGCAAAGACTGGTCGAGGGTCCTGAGTTATTCCAACCAGGCTACAAATGGCATTACTGCACAATCAATGAGGACGGGACCAAGGTTTGGCTCCTGGGTTCACCTGGAGACGACTCTACTGGGTCCAATCAAGAGCTCCAACTTAGCGAAGTTTTAGCTGTTGATCTCAAACGGTATGGGTTGCTCGGAAACCTGGACTCCCCGTTTGCGTCTGAGCAAAATCGCATCCTGGCTTCCGAGCGGCAGACGACGTATACAACCCCCGTGGGTGGTGTTGGGTCTGGTCTCGGTTCTGACCTGGCCATGACGTTCGATCAACCTCCAGAATCCGGTAGCATGAGCGACTTTATCATAACAGCGAATTATACCCCCACCGATGAGGACGACAACGTCTCAGAAGCTGATTCTCAACTGCGATTCTCTACCAACACGACTAGCAGTCAGGTCTTCGTCTCGGAAAACTCGGCCGTGTCTCCGCCGATCCATGTCCACAAAATGATCCTTCAAGCCCGCTGGCCACACTTCAAACGTCTCTATGCATCCAAAATGATCGAATACCAGACTTCCCGCTTACACATCCCGGAACCGTACTCGGTCGTACGGGCTTTTCTGTACTATCTGTACACCGACAGCATTGCCCCTCACCCTGTGTACTGCCGCGACCTCACGGATGTCGCTGGCATGCTCGTCATGGCCAACCTCTACGACATGCCAAAGCTCCGTCTTTTGTGCGTAAATCGCCTTTCGCGTGAGATTGATATCGAACACGCGGCCGTGATTTGGGAACGTGCAGGACGTACCGAGGAAGAGTGGCTCAAGCAACGCGCTGCCCGTTTCTGCATGATGAACTTTGGGCGAATCGTACGTACAGAGGGATTCAGGAGCCTGTCTCGACAATCTCTTATGGAGCTTTGCGAGGTAGTTGGGACGGAGGGGAGAGTGGTTGACGGCGACGAGATGGACGACGCAGAAACGGCGTTCACTTTAGGTGGGGTCCTCGGCGGGCGGTATCGAAGACGGAGTCATCGACCCAGTGGGGAAGCGGACGAGACGGAAGGTGATGATGATGATGGGATGGACATGAACTGATAGCAGCATCCAGCCTCTCAAAATGACGCGGAGGAAGGGTTGATTCATACCAAAGAAAGCGGGATATGTGGTCTTTGCCAGGCCACGGAGGAAAGAATGATGCTCCAAATTGCGCAAACGAGACGGGAAAAGTAACTTCCAAGTTCGATCTTGTCGAGGGCCGAAACTTTGATTTTTCAGCAAGGGTCTGCAGGGGGCTTTATAGCAGGGTGTATGGGAAGGGCTTACCAGGAAGGAAGGAAGGACGGCATGGCTGGAATCCACCAAAAAAATAAAGAGAATTGTCCAAAAATCGAGGAAACCCGAACAAGGAATGCACGAGCCAAAGCATGATGAACAGCACAGCAAGCATAGCGAGGGTGTGATTTTTTTTTTTTTTCCTTCTCTCACAGAGCAATGCGGGATAACGGACTGGTACACACGCACTGTACGGATGGGGAATGGGGATGGGAATGGGACTGCAACGGGCTGGTCTGGTTGTCTGGTTGGTTGGTTGATTGATTGGTTGATTGTGTTGGTGTGAATGAGAAATGCTTCACTATGCTGTATATGTACCTTTTCTACATACCCACATACCTACCTATCACCATACCTAGCTAGGTAAACAGGTACAGGTAGGTTGATTGATATGTGCCACAAGTACCCAACGCGACTATCTACACCATGACTTGACTTGACTTGCAGGGCTTTACGCGTTATATACTGACTGTACAGTAAAGTCGCCATAGAGGGCATGCACGCTATAATCCGGCTGGGCAGCTAGATAAGCAAGGAAGCAAGTAGGAATGCTATATAGGTTGGTTGGTTGATTGATAGGTTGGTTCATGGTACTGGTGGTAGTACCTCGTAGTAGTGTCTCGATCCACACCTGGAGGACCGTCTCCTTTCGTGTCGTGTCGCTTAGCGATCTATCTAGTACATTGTACAAATACAGCATCGAAGAGCCTGCCCTATGCCCGTCCGAGGAGAAGCCACACATACCAGAGGCTGAGCGTCCACCACACTGGTTCGTTTTGCTCTGCCCTGCTCGGAATCCATCTTCGCCTATTCGGGATAGGATGCGAGTGTCCACACGCGTCTACCTTTTCATCCTCGCATGTGCCCAGTACGCAGGGTCTGCCGACGCGTCCGCTTTCGAGTCGGCAACAAGTCAATCTTCTCCAATGAATCCCTTGAACTGGCGATAGGTTCTATCCGCTGTTTGGGTTCCCAAAGTGCTCTGTCCAAGTACTGTGAAGCAGGTGCTGTCTTTGCGAGGCTTTCCAGGCTTCGAGATCATGCTGGTCAAATTCCGGTACCAATTTTGTCAACCTATCTCTTCTTTCCTCCTGGTCTTGGTTTAACTTCTTCCGGCTGCACGCCATGCAACATGATCTTATTTGGTGTCTGAGGTGTATTCTTTTGGTAACCTTGACTCCAGTCGTAGCACACGGCATATGCAAACACTGTTCCTTGTCTATTGAACGCCGTTGCCGTGATCGGCGCTCCCACTGCCGGGTAGCCCTTGAGTCGATGCTTTGCGTTGCCATCCCAGAAGTGGAAAGTCCCATCACTGCCGGCTGTCGAAAACGTGCCATGGATCGGGTGGAATGAAATAGCATTGACAGCATAGACATTGGCGACGTCGCGATTGGGGCCTGTGGTGGCCGGTGTGTCACGATGACATTTGAAGCTGAAGTTGTTGTCGGCAGCTTTTTCTTCCACATATTGAATTGCACATCTGCCCTCGATGCTGCCCACCGCGAAGCCAGTAGCATCAGTGAAGCAACTAACCACTCTGGTCTGGAATTTCAGCGGGGACTGTACCGATTTGTAAAACTTCTCGGGGGAGTTGAGGTCGACAATATTGATGTATCGGTCGGCAGTGCCAATGACCAAAAGTTTGTTCTTCACATCCATGGTGTAGACTCGCTCCTGGCATTGTAATGTTGCAACGGGGTTAGGGGTACGCAGGTCCCAATATTTCACGGTCCGGTCCCACGAGCCGGTAATGAGGATAGATGAGTTATTGATGGTGGCGAAGCGACACGCTCGAACGGGTTGTTCGTGCGCGACTAGAGTCTGTGGCGTCATATTGCCTGATCCCAGATCAAGGAGTCGGAAAGTCTTGTCGGCACCGCAGCCTGCGACTTTTTGTCCATCCTAAAAGTATTGTCAATATGTCCCTCCCAAGGCATGAACTCCTGGGTACGACGCACCTCGGACCATGCGCAACCCAGCACTGGGGCGTCGAAATCTATAGCGGCCTTGCCCTCGCTCTGCCCTTGCTCATTCACTTGGTATATCCGCACTTTTTTGTCCCATGATGAGACAGCCAGGAAGTCGGCCTGCGGAGAGAATGCGAGCTGAGATGTGCTGTCCTCTGGTGGTTGCACCAAAGCAATATCCTTGGACAGATCTCCGGTTGTGCTGGTGGTGGCAGCCGCAGCGGGCGACGAACCGAAGAGTGTAGACATGTTACCCAACAACGGCGCGAAGGGGCGAGAGCTTCAGAGCGGTTTGAAAAGAGGGCGTACAGTCAAAAGGACATGAGCGAGAGACTGTGTATCGGGTCAAAGTCGGGGAGGTGGTAACAGGGACGAATTACAGTCGGTTAACGCGTTTACCATCATAAAGACTCGAACCAGCGCGACCGCAGATTGTCGACTGGCGTTTCCAGCGCCAAGGCTGGAGGATTGTGGTTTGGAGTCTATATTGGGCAATATGATCACGCCGCTCTAAAAAGGCGCTCGTCCGGCTTTAAAGCAGCGTCAAATACTTCAACCCCTGAGATATCTGGTTTTCAACGAAGACGGCAAGACCAAGAACACATGAATCCCACCAACAATCATCTAGACTACTTTAGAACAGAAGCCACACCCCTTCTCCTAAATTCTCCTACGGTCAATCGTGTACAGCGCTGCGGAACGACCAAAGCTTCCGAACCATCATAAAAGCTCAGAACAGACAAGTCTTGCTCTTGGGATGAGACGCTTTAGCGTCGAAGCTCTCAGCCCAGAACGCAGTAAAGTTGTGAAGTGGTGTCGTGATTCTTGAGGCCTTAGGCGTGACGTTTGGATGCCGCCTCGGTTATGGGCCAATGCCTACAACAGAGCTAAGTGTGAAGAACCATTACCAGTTGATGGCATAATACTGGCAGCGGCAGTTCGAAGACTAGCAGCCTCCGCGGCGATATGACAGGACGGGGGAAGAATTCCCCAACATAGAAGATAGGAGCAGACTCTACCACAGCCTGTGTTGGCATTGCACCTACTGACGGGCCTGATCGCCTGAGTTTTGTTCGCCCTACACGCCTGATTCCTTGACTGGATCATCCCCTTGTTTCTGCTCCGGTTGGGCGTGCCTTGAAGCTGCTATTTGTACCATGACTTCGGTCTTGGCTCTGCTGGAGGTCGGAGCAAACGTGTCAGCAACAAATTGCTGGACCCTGGACGGAATCAGAAAGGACTGGGCAGACGCTTAGTCTATATTCATATACTTTCAAAGGCAGTGCAAGGGATCTATCTATCTGGTCACAGGGGCACGCAGCCTCGCGCTCTATATTTATATATCTGTATATAAGTATGTAAGTCCCACATGACTAACCTCCCATCTAGTCCAATGCCAGACAGTTCTAGCCACACCCATACTTCTCTCGCCGCGATCGTCACAGTTCATTCATTTACCTAGTAGATTGTGTGAGACACAGACGTGGATTGGTATGCACAGCTTCTGAACCAGTCCCTCTCTCTCCAAGGCCTCGCGGGTCAACTGCCGAGTGAGTATACCGACGAGATACCTCACATGCACCCCGTAATAGACTAGGGACTATTTATAGAGTGGGGGAACAGGGTCACTTGGTAAGGTGGTTAGAGAGAACGGACGGAGGTTCGACCTTCCTTGTTCGGCTTACCCATGTGTCCACCACCACATCAGATGTACTTGGTATGGAGTCCCAGCGAAGCGAAACGCCTGGGCATCTGGTTACCTAGTTAGGGAGGGGGGATTCATGGGTTCATGACCCACACCATTAGCCTAATCAGGAAATATCACCACGGCAATTGATAGTCCGTGCCTCTCGCTGGATCAAGCCGCAGTCGTCAGAGAGTTTGAGGCCCTCTTGGTTTTCACGATAACAAACAGGACATGTGCACTAATTGCTTTCAATATTGCGCCATCGCCTCGCTTCCACTGTTCCTCACATGATGATTGTCCCCAGCTCATTTTGTAAGGATTACACGACTTCATCACGATATATTTGCAAACGTCCTTCTCTTGGATCCAACACAACCGGCTCAGTGGCTTCGACATTTCTCCGAAAGCGTACACCCAGTGGAGGTTTGACCATTTGAACCAAACGTCGGGGTAGCATTGCCGCCGTCTATGAACTGCCTAGATTGCGTGATAGAATCCGTCTTCGTCCGGGCCATCATACATGTCGTCGAAATCGTCGGGATATGGATGGTGTTCTCCTTCCCCTCCTTCCCCGCCCTCGTCCTCTTCATCATATTCATATTCTCCCTGGTCTTCCTCTTCCTCTCCCTCTCCTTCTTCTTCCTCTTCCCCGAAATTCGCGGGGTGGCCTTGGCCACCTTGAAGTGGGGGTTGGGCAACTCGAGATATGGGTTGGGCAATGTTAGAAGCTGGATGGAGAGCTCGAGAAATAGGATGGGGAGCTTGGGGAGTCGGGTGGACAGCTGGGGGGGGTTATATGGGCAGTTTGAGAGGATGAGGAGGGGCCGGCGCCCTGGCTCTGGCCACGGTACGCAATCGCTGCCTGTACAAGTTGCTGCTCGTAAGCGAGGTTGAGTTTGTCCTCTGTGGTGAGCGGCGGCAGATCCGGAATCCCGTGCGCTGCCATCATCTGTCTGGCCTCTCTGTCGAATCGTGCCTGATCCGAGGGACCTCGAGGAAGGGTAGGAGGCTTCAGACCTTGGGCCTCGAGCAAGCTCGCGAGGTGTTGGTTGACGACTTGCTGCGCCCGCTCCTCTTGCTCTCTCTGCGCCTGTTCTTCTGGCGTCTCGTCATCGCCCAGGCCTGCCTCGGGGTCAAAGTCGAGGAGACCTTTGGCAGGACCCCGGCCGCCTGCCACCGATGACGGTCTCGGTTGTTCCTTCAGGGACACTGAAAAGGACTGGAACGTCCCAGTGATACTTCCCCCTTCTCGAAGCGTTCTGGGCTCTCCCTGTCCTCTCGGGCCCGAGTACGCCACTCCGGAGAAATGACCACTGCTTTTGAAGCTCACCCAGTGTGCTGTTAATTTCAGATTGGTCGCCGAAACCGGAGAAGTGCCTGTGAATGTCTGGGTCGGAGCGGGTTTTTGCAGCTTGTCCGTTCTGGGTGCCTGTGGGCTATAAATGATGGTCCAGGGAGCGTCCGGGGGCGTCGTTGGGCGGGAACTGTCCCTTCTACACCTTTTACGCTGCCGCCCTACCACTCCGTGTTGATTTCCTGTGTCGCCGTACCATTTAA